TATATATAAGCAGCTGAAATATAAAATATCTTCAAACTACAAAAAATGTTTGTGGTCAAAAATATTCAAAAAGAAAAAAGGAATATCTTGCTAACCAGGCAGCAAAAAAAACATTGTAAAGGCAAAATAGATTAAAAATTTTTGAGCTTTTGGATTATTCACATCCATTGCACAAAAATCAGTATTGATAATTGTTTGGCCATCATCTGATATCTACAATAAATGATTGATGCAAGCAGCAATTTTAACTTCTCTTCTATCATTCATATCATATAGAAATAAATTCAAATTTGAATATTGTTGTAAAAAATACAGTTCCTATGACTATTTGTTACTGTTATCAAAGAAGAAAATTGCAAAAAAACCAAATGTATCCATGAGCTATTTATAGCAGAATCAGGTAATGCAAGCCGATTAACTTTCACAACAAAGGCCATGGGAAGAGCTGCAATAAAAGCAATTGACCATGCTATAGGTATCACTTTGAATACACGAGAAATCGTAGGAGTATGCAAAATTTGTAGTGGAAAACTGAAAGTCAACAGTAAGTCTGATTGTAGAAACAAGTAAAAACATAATTTTAATTTAAAAAATATGAAAAATATTGTTGTAATATATAAATTATGTAAAACGTAAAAATTGCAACTTTATTCTAATAATTTGATTTCGAATTTGCATATAATTATTATTACTAGAAAATAAATTAACAGAAAGAAATTCTTTCCAAGTACTGAAAGAATAATTTATTAATTTTTTTCTTTTGTTTTATAATATTAACCAAATAGCAAGCCATCGTTCCATAGTAAATGCTGCTATAATGAGAATCGATGCATAAGATGTAAATTCCACCAAGAATGCTCGTAATTTGCATATGATTGAACCAAATTTGTATGGATATGTACTACCTAACATGTCATGTAATTCCATTGGTAATCCTAAACCAAAATTAGTACTGTCAGTGAAGTAATAATGAGAGTAATAATAACGTAAATAAAAGTAATTATATTGATTTATGGAAAATTGGCCAATTTAAAAGTAAAAAAGTAAGATCAGTCTAGATCAAACCGATTAGTAATATCAGCAGATCAGAAACTGCCAAACTGAATAAATAATAATTAGTAGTGCTATGCATAAATGAACATTTCGCGATGACAGCGCATGTACAAACATTTCCAAATACACCAACCAAAAAGATAATCAGATAGAAAATAACTGTTGGTAGAATGATTGAGTACTAAAATGTAATGCATGATGAAGTAAACGAAACAATAAAAATAAAAGTGAAATAAATTATTTTGAATCATAAAGTATTTTTATATTTAAATAATTTTTGTTTCATTTTTTATAGCGAACCGGGAGACAACGTTCTCCGAGAGTGGAAAGCACATATTCCGTGATATTTGGCACTGCATAAACAAGATTTGAACATGGCCCATCGTCCATGCCAGCAATTTTCTGAAATATTTCTAGATTTGCTGCTAGTGAATTCAAATTAATTTCAGCATTTCCTTTCAATGCTAAAAATTTTAGAAGTATAAAATGATGATGATGAACGCAATAAGTTGAAAAATTTACATGCAATGCTTCAAATTAAAGCAAGAATTTGAAAATATTTCAATAGAATGTGCCATACATTTTATTATTTATATCGTTTTAATGGCAAAAAAGTTAGAAAATAAATATGATAATTTATATCAAATAATCAAGGTTTGCTTTGAAATCTCATCTATAAAAATGCAAAACATTTTTTCAATTTTTTTTTCGAAAAAGTTGCTTACAGTTTTAAAAATCTTTAAAATGAATTACTGAGTTACAAAAATTAACAAGTACAAATACGAAAATATTAATACTAATAGTTTTACACAATTAAGATTTAAATTCATATATCCACATATTAATTTGTTTTTGGAAATAAATTGAGTTTTTTTAAGAAAAGAATTCATAAATAACTAATGACTGATTATTATTCTATTCAGTAGATTGAGAGTTTTCTTCAGCAAAATTATGAACATGACAAATTGCCACACACACACACAAAGGCTTTTAGCACATAATGGAATGGACACAGGTATAACTTTTTAATTTATTCATTATTTCAACGTGATCCTGATTAAATTTTTGAACCTGGGCAATTATTGAAAAAAAGTATTAATTACAGTGTGTTGTTGAAATATAATAATAATCATTGATAATAATCTTAACTGAGTACAAGTATACAGCATTAAATTAAAATAATGACAGTATATTTGATAAAATTTTTCCCTAAAAGTAGTGGACAGTAACTTTTTTGAGAATAACTCAAACAAACTTCTTAAAAACTTTTATTTTAAAATAAAATTTTAAAAAAATAAAATGCATTTAAGTGATGAATTTTCAGTTAAAAAACGTTATTCGCTCATTTATTAATTTTTTAATAAAATGTTAAAATGAGTACGCATTGCTATCCAATTTGCTTTTACTTATACTTTTCAAACTTTTATCACATATAATAAGTTTTAAGATCTGTTTTGAACTTTCATGCTTTAATTTAAATAAAATTATTAAAAATTTGTCATTATCAAAAAAAGTTTACTTTCATTTTGTAATAAAAGTGAAAAATGAAGGATAAATTGTAATTATAAATAGAATACACGCAACACACCAATAATTATATTAGCTTGGCACTTATTCGCTTAAATAATACCAAAGCCTATGTAATACTGAAATGTAGACATGAATATTGCTATGAATTTGCAGAATATAAGTTGACTATGCTCTTGTTCATTACTTTTATCAAAAAACTAAACAAAAGATAGATAATTTAAAAAAGTACACAATGGAATAAAATGGATATAAATGTTTGCATTAAAAAAGCAGTTCATTATACTAATTAACTCTTCGATTACAACGAATATTTAATAAAAAAAAAAAGTTGCATGCAAATATTTCGCATTATTTTGCTCAACAAATACGTTTAAATTTATTATCTGAAACAAAAAAGCATGAAAAAATAAAATCAGTTCAACTGATTTGTTATTATTTGTTATATACTTGAGAATCACTCGAATTTGTTCAGTTTGCTAAATATAATAAGCTTTAAATAAAAAAAAGGCAAATAATACAAGTAAAAGTTATTTAATATTCAGCAATAAATCAAATTGAATTATGGATCAGAGTCGTTTACTGCAAAAAAATTTATCAATATAGAAAATAAATTGAATTAACAATTGATATAAAATTCAGCTCATATTCAAATTCAATTTATCCTTCAAAGAATCTAATTATGTGTGACGTAAAAACAAAAGTGAAGTAAATCGTTTAAATCAATATAAGTTGTAGATGATAGCTTTTATTGAGATGAGCAAATTATGATTGGTCATGAATGGAAATTAGAAAAACAATAATTGAAATTATTAATTCATGACATTTTTCTAATAAATGTGAGCTTATAACTTGAAAAATTTTTTGACGTCATATTTCTTGATTTTGATTTATCACTGGCTTGGCTGCTTATCAAAAATAAATAAATAATAATACAAAAGCTACAGCAAATTTCGACCAGTCATTCTGAATCTGAAATATAACCCGTTGACGACTTTCATCTACTCAAATATTCATTAGTTATTAATATTTGCTTCTGAGTGAGTTGAGCAAAATGAGTCTTAATTTAAAACAAAAATATTAATTTGTCTTTCAAGTTCGAAATTTTGTATATTACTTTATTGATGCATTTTAAAAAATTCCGCTTTACAAAAGATGAAATTTCTATAGTTTATGTATGCTATCAGAATTGTGCAGAAATGTCTTTAATGAATTTTGTTACAGTTAATCAATTATAAAAGTCTTGTAAAGTATTCATAACTTGCAATTAAAAGTGAAAGTATGCATCATTGATTTAAAAAACCAAAGTTCTGATTGTAAAAGTATTTAGTACTTATGCAAGAAATAATTTTGTTGTGCATGAAAAATTACTAGAAATAATAGATGACAACATGAAAATAGTCCAAAAATAATAAGAACTAGTTGAGTTAATGAATCAATGCAAATAATTATAATGAATCAGTTCAAAAAGTTATTAACTGACTTGTCAAAACAGTTACTGAGCTAAAACTCAAAAAAACAAAGTAAGACAATTTCTTTGTTTGATAAATTTTAAATAGCTGCCTGAAGTGTAACATCATCACATCATGCTTACAAAATTACTGGTAAAATTTTGTACCAAATAAAAGCACCAGATGATCATTTTGTCTCATTTTTAACCCAATATCCTTTGCAAGCTTTTTGAACTGACTACACTTTCAATTTAGAAATAATGAAAAGCAAAAGTTAATAGCATTTAATTTACTACTTTTACTATATTGACTGACTTCTTCAATGAAAGGTGAAAAATTAAAAAATCACACTTAGAAATCGTAGTAACTTTTAAAAAAAGTACCAGGTGAAGCATTACCGGTATTTTAGTATTCAAGCAAGGTTTTAATAGAATTTATCATTTAAATGCAATTAAATTTTTGTAGACAAACAATTTTGATTCAGAGAACAAAGCAACACAGCATGATATTCCAATGATAAAAACTTATTTGCATAAAAGAAATATAAGTAATAAATTAAGCAACCTTTGTAATTAAACTTTATGGCCATACATAAAAAATATACAAGGATGGAGTATTTAATGACAAAATTTGATAAAGCTTCTATAATGACAGTACACTTAATCATATCAGAAAGATTAAAATAAGAAAAGGCAAATGTATAATTTGGAATAACGTTTGTTAATTCCCCAAAAGATACCACCTCAGACAGTTAGCCACAGAACTGCACCATAAATTGAACTTATTTCTAATTATCTCTTTTATGGATTCTATTTAGCTATTTTTGACTAGTATTTACTTGCGAAAATGTGATCATTTCACACCGAACAATTACGAATATAACATATCTAATTGATTTGATAATAGAAACTTGTAAATCTCCAAACCAATACGCGCCAAATTACACAACAAAAATGATGGTGCAGAGCAAAAAATGGTAGATAAAAGCATTCGTGCATAAGGAATGTAACATACTCAAACTTGTTACTTTATTATTACTCTAATCTTAAAATAGCAGAAGCAAATGTAATGGTATTTTTTTACCACTCTCAATGTTGTTGCAAAATTTTTCAAAAACTTAATCAAAAAAAAAATCAAACGATAAAAAAAGCTCAAAATGATCAAGCTTGGTTCAAGCTTTTTTGATCAAATTGATTTAATTGATTTCATATTGCACTTCATCAAAATGCATTATTAAATTTATATAATTGTTGCTGTGTATAATTATGATATTATTTGTAATGAGCTGTATCAAGCGAGAAACATTAAAGTAATAAATATTCATTGGCATGAACTTTTCTGGTTGAAAACAGAAAGCAAAAAAATTTATGAAATAAATAAATGAGTAGGCAAATAGATAAATAAATAGAAGCCTGAATTTAAGGCATCGAGAGACTAACACTTGATGAGTAAGTAAGTAATAAGTAAGAAGTGATTAAATAAGTAAGCATCTGATGATTTGCGACAAATGAAAGAAATAAGTTAAAAAGTGCTGAGTGAAATTAAAAAAAGTTACGAGATGTGTTTAGAGCTTTTGTGTTGTGATACATTTTTTGGCTTCATTACCATTTATAAAAATAAAAAACAGATTAAGCTAAGAAGTAAAATATAAGGTTGAATAATGCAAAAAACTAATCTTTTTCTACTTTTTTTGTAAACTTTTTCGTTACTGTTAATGCAATTTTACCAGTGTTGACTTTCTCAATACTTTCATTACTATACTACAAAATCGCATTGCCTCTTCTGTAACATCACTTCAAATTGAGTTGAAATCCTCAAAATTGCGCAGATGCACTCACAGACGATCAAATGATTGTACTTGCAAGTTATCATTTAAATTATTCTCTTTCTACTCATTGCACTGAATAAAAAATAGTAATTAATTACCAATTTATTTACTATCATTGCAGAAAACATTCATTCATTTCTTATTCTTTTGACAGCAAAAGCACAAGACAAGATAGATATTGCAGTAGCTCTTGCGATAATACAAATAGCAAAATACGAGAAAAAAGTGTAATTTTGATGTAAAGCTTAGCAAAATATATGCAAGAAAAGATAAGGTTGAATAATGCAGAAATATTTGGGCTTAGGATCTATGCACTAATTCGATAATACAAACAAAAATTGCATAGATAATCAAGCAATAGCTTCAAGTTTTGATTCTATAGAATTAACATCTGCATGCGTATTGTTGCTAGTGTGATGAAGAATATGGAACAGATTACATTTACTGCACTGAACAATTGAACTTTAAGTGTCAGATGGATTTGACAAGAAAAGTAGTTAAGAGCAAAAAGGCATTAAAAAATTTTAAAATTGATGCAAAAGGCAGAAATAAAAAGTTTGTAAGTAAAAGAAATGAAGGATAAGTTATGAAGCATTGAATACTTCAAAATATTGTCTAAACGTTTGATTTCAAATTCACAACGTTTTTTTTTCAAGCATAACTGTAATGTGTTATTTATGCGTAAGTATTCGTACATGTCTCCTTCGATGCTTTTAATAATAAGCAAATAAGAATTGTAGCAGAAGCATTGATTTATAATGCATCATAATGATAATAATTTTCTGTAGTAGTTTTATAACGTCACTGCTTTATTTATAATTTTATTAGGGTGACATTTGAATTCTTAGATTCTAATTTACTGTCATTCATCAAGTAGTACTAACAATGCTATTTAATATTTGTAGTCCGATGGTTGATATAAATACGTTGCTAATAGCAACATATCAGAATTTTCGTAGAACTCTATCATTAGTCTTTAGTTATTCTCACGTTTTTATATTTTCTGATTTCATCTTTAATTTTACGTATATTTTCTGATTTCATCTTTAATTTTACGTATGCAGCGTCTTCATGAAGTGATTAGTAACAAATGTAGAAGTAGTCTAAAAGTAAAGTGATAATGCACTGCAATGATATGATTCAATATCCAACAGTTTTCGAGAATAATTTTCATCAAGTAATTTACTTGATCTTTATATTGTAGGTTTGACTTGTTAGTTTTGACTTGTTATAATTTTATATGTTACTGTCTGCTTACTTTTTTATAGATAAATTGATGAGTAAATATTAATCTAATTTTATAGAAACCAAAATTAAAAAAAAAAAAAAATTATACAGACATATTTTCATACATTTTATGTGTAAATGGCTGGAAATCTTTGAGGGGAAAATAAAATTTTTGATAAATAAAGCTTTACTGAACTCTGTAACTATAATATATAATATAAATAAATATAATATAATCTCGAAATGCTCTTTTTGATAATTTTGCGTAACTAAATAAATAAATTAAATGCTTCATTATTTAATCTCTTTGGCAGTTAGAATGATAAGAGTTCGAAGATGAGCGCTGTTCCTTAAATTATTGCTGAATGAAAAGTTGTACTTGCCATACAAAGTATGTAAATTATATAAATTACATACTTTCTATTTTTCAGGAACATTTTTTGTAATATAAAATGAAAACAGTTCTTTTTGCATTCTAATTATCATTTCTAAAATGCTATTACGATATAACTCATTGCAGTAAAATGATTTTCTAGGCAGAAACAATAGAATGCAAGCAAAGGCAAAGCGCAGATTTGTAAATACGTATCTTACTGAAGTTGGAGATTTGCGCAGATCAATCAATCGTTCACAGCTGTATAAAATTTTGATTGCTTCCGGTAAAGATGTATTGTTATCTGACCTTGGGTCAACAGGTCGGGTATTTTTTTTTCTTATTGAATGTGGAGTATAATCACAAAATAGGAAAAAATTGCTATTGATAAAATAGTGTTGAAAAATAATAATGTAGGATGTACAAAATTTTTGAATTTACTTAGCTTGAAATTTTTAATTAAAATATTTTTGAAATATTTTATGAAGATTTTTTCCTTTGAAAGTAAAATAAGGATTTCAGATAACAAATTAATGATTTTGGAATAACAAATTGAAGTCTAAAAATAAATTTGTTGTGAAGTTTACTCATTTTCGAAAAAAAATGGATTAGAAATGAATTTAAAATCTTTGTTACAAGCTCATATTCTAGTAAACATGAATTTGAAGTCGTGTAAATGCTTTTTGAAAACTAGATTAAGAACTTCCATTAACACTTTTTATGACTATTCTGAAGCTTTTTTTAATATTTCTTTCTTCAAAGTTGTCATTTTATTATATTACATATAAGAAACACTTTATTTTTTTGCAAATGTTGAAAAAATAATAAAGTGATTGATTTGCAAATTTAAGCAAAACTTGAAATTCATAATAATTAAGGATGTCTGTTGTTGATACATTAATAGCAATGTTTAGAATCTGAAGCATTAAAAGTTTTTGAAACATAATATGAAGCTGACCAAAAATAATTCAAACTCCCAAATGAATTTCACTCCGTTTACTAAGATTTTTAATACTATCCTTTTTGACAACTTGTATGCTTCTTAAACATTGAAACAATTTTGAAAAAAATTACCATATTTTTCAGTATATAATTTGATTGTTGATTGCAAGTTTGTGTTCATGAATACTATTTATTCGTTTGTTGCAACTGGGACTTTTTTAGCCATAATCACAATAATAATTTTGCATATTACTTATATTTTAAATCATGTATTACATTTACCGTAAATGAACAAAAAAATTTTTAAAATTATTATCTTTAATGGAAAATACCTAATTATTAACGAAAAATGCAATAATAGCTCATAAATTTTAAATATATTATTTATAGAACACATTTAGGAATAGCCTCACTTCAGTACTAAATAATTAAAATATTACTGTTTGATACTACCAATTTACAGATTACACAGAAACATGAACATTTTCTCTAACTTATGCGAATTAAGGAACTGTTAATTTAAAAGCTTATTAAAGTGATCTAGATAATCTAAATCTTACTAAATCCATTCGTTTGTGTAGAACTGTATGACAAAATTTGTGAAGTAGGAAAAAGTATAAAAATTAAACAAGCAGTACATTTTATAAAAATATAATTGAAAAACTGTTATTTAGCAAGAAACATTAGTCATGTGTTTTCAGTTAGTATTTTTTGACTGTTGAAAAAAACTAATGAGATTTAAAGGTGAAATTTTTTTCAGGTAAAAATAGATGAAAAAGTATGCTATGGAAGTACTAGCCAAATTATCAAAAAAACTAGGAAAGGAAATAGAATAATAAACAAAAAGAGTATAAATTTTGGTTTGTTTATCATTCAGATAAAATTTAGGTCATTTAGATTTTTCGAAAAAAAAATTTTTTTAGTTGAAAAAATGAAAATTAAAATTAAAAAATATGAAGTTAGTTAGGTAAGTACGAGACTGTAGAATGACAATAATCCATTCAAACTTCTCAGTTGTAATCATAACTTCAAGAAATGAAGAAAAGATCTGAATCTTTTTTTTTTTGCAATTAATGAAAGCAATTATTTGAAGTTATTTTAGCTAAAATTGATCAGTAAAGTTTTGAAAACCAACTAAAGAAGAGAAAAATAAAAAGTAATTGCAATGCTTATAACTTTGAATGATTGTGAAAGTTAACCTTCAGGAAAGAAATTTAAACAATTTTTGTTTATATTTTGCAGAGATTTATCAATTTAACGAAGCGTACACAATTTTTGATCAGTTTACGGTAACGAATTTCTCAGAACTACTGGAACAATGCAGTGATTATTTAGCTGCAAGAAAACAAAATGAACAATTCGTCGCGTTACAAAAACTCCTTGAAACTTTAAATGAGGTTTCAAATTTGCATATCAAAATTAGTTTCAATAATAAAACAAACATACAAAGAAAGATAGCGCATTTGTATTTTTTAATTCCTTATCGATCACTGTGAAAGTAAAGGAGAAAATATAATTAACTAAGCTAAGAAAGATTTGGATAAAAGTATATTTTTGTTTGAGGAAAGTAAATGAATAAATGGCAGTAGAGTAAAGAGTAGAAGAATATTGTTTAATAAAGTAAAGACTACTAATATTATTTTACTGTGCATTTTTCAGTTATTCTTATTTACACATAACATTTAATCCACAATTTACTTCATTTAACTAAAGATAATAAAATTATTTTTGCAAAAATTTCCAGCTTCACTAGTTTGCTTACAAAAGCTAGAAAAACTTTTGGTATTAATTGTGACAGTAACTTTTACAATATCATTTTATCACATTTTAAAGTTACTATTAAAATTTTATTTCAAATACAGACTACAAACAAATATTATATATGACTGATTGGTCAATAGTGACAGAAACTATGTGTTTTCATATATATATATTCATATAAGCTAAACATTTTATTGAAATACTTGTTATTTTTTAGCAAAAATTACTTTTCAGTACTAAAATTTAAAAAATATGATTTTAATAAAATTAAAGTAATAAATTTTACCACTGCTTAAAGAATAATTTGTATATAGCGATGAGTCAAAGACTGACTGTAATAATTTTTTAAGTAATACAATTAACTTTCTTTATTCGCTAATAATTTTAATCTTCATTTTCGTAGAGAATTAACAACAATATTTAACTTTTTTACAGGATGAAAACTTTAGCTGCAATGAAAAAAAGAAAATCCTGCATTTTTTACAGTCATTTGCAAAAAATGACAAAATTGACTGCAGAAAGGTTTCACTTTCACCATAAATAATATGACCACACAGATTTTTTTTTAAATTTTAGTTTACTCTTAAGACTAATGCTTAGTATCAAAACTATCTATTATTCAAACTTTCTTTATTTTGTTTTAAAAAAAGTGCAAATTTCATTTGTCCGACACTGATGTTATAATTGCAATTAAATCACAATTTACTTGATTTTATAGAGATTTGGTATACAGCAAATATCATATATTTGCTAACTTTTAAACTTTTTCTTCAAAATCTTAAGAAGCATTAGGAAATACGCATGCTAAATGAATAAAACTAAACGAAAATTTGAAATAATAACATAATTTCAAAAGTTGCTCTGAAATTGCAAATATGTGGTTAGTTCAAAAATAGTCTCAGAAATGATTTTTAAAATGAAGAAAAAGACAAAAAGTTTGACAAAATATTTTATTAAATTTTCTTTGATCAAAAAAGTGATAAAAATAATAAAATATATATGTAAAGGAAAATTTAAAGATAGATTTTTATAACTTTTAGCTTTTCAACGAGTTTGAAAAAAGTCGCACCAAACTTATAAATATTGTTCGACAACAATATATGCAAAGTCAAGCTGCAATGGCAAAACTTGAAGCTCGTGATAGTGTTGACTACATATCAAATAGAAGTATTTGCTACCAAGCATTTTAAAATTTTTAAATCTTAGAATGTAAATTTGTGATAAATTTAAAAAAAAATTCTTACAATTTTATTGCAGACAAAATTCAGTTCGATTTGAATACAACAACATCATTCTCCTCTCAGGTAAATAAAATTATTCAGAGCCATAATGCTGATGAATGAAGTCAGTCAAAATATATATATAAATGTATGTATATGTAATTGATTAATAATTATATATATATAGTTTTTTAAAGTTGTTATTATAGATTTCGCGTCGAGCATTTTGCGTAGTAAATAATAATGACGATCGTAATTTACACTATTATTTCATTGTCAATCATTCGCAAACTGTATGCATCGTTTGCGAATTATTAATGAGCAGTAAGTGTTGCTTATTATCATTAACTATTAAGAAGCAAATTTAATCCACTTAGTTATGATATTACGGAGCAAATTCGATTCTATTTGATAGATGAAAGTCTGATTGTAGTGCAAATTTTTGAATGAAGCATTAGATTAAATCTCAGTTAGACTATTTAACTAAGAATCCAAATTATAATGATAATTCTAAAACAAAAGCTATCATGTCAAATCTCAGATGATCAACCACCAGAACGATCCTACAAGAATGACATATATGTTACACTTTACAACAATATTGAGGAGCAAATTATTACTATTACTTTGAAAGCCGTCGGAGACGTAAATCTTTTTTTCTTATTCTATAAAGTAAAGATTCTTTTAATTTTATTGATCATCATTATACATAAAATAGTCATAACAGGAATTTAGTTTCTTCGCAAGGTCTGTACCTTTCAATGCTAATGAAACAGAACATACAGCTTCAGCAGTATATAAATTTATGTATAAGGAGTACACAGATGTTTGAAATTACTTTAAAAGTAAGTACGTTGTCATAAAAAGAAAAATTAGTTATTGTTTTGATAAGTAATATTTTATGCCAAGCAAACATTATAGTTTCCATGTTATAAATAAATGAAATAATTAGATTTTATAGCTTCTTATTTTATCTTTAAGTATATTCGCTTTGAAAAAGACGTAAGAATAGAAGCTGTAAACGAATGTTACTTTGTGACTTCTAAACTAAAACTACAGTGTAAATTTAAAATAGAAATCTTGTGAAAACTGCTTGCTATACAAGTATAAGAAACAAAAAATGAAATGATTTAAATGAATTTATTTGAATAGCAGACATAAAGTACGGATCTTTATTAAAAAATTTTAGCCATTTTTATAAATCTTTCAAAAACTGTTAGAATCTGATTTTTTTCAAAGAGTTGCTGTTTTGATGGCCTTTTCAGTACTTGGATTTCAATTCGCTTTTTAATGATTATGAGAAAGATATTTTTGATGATTTTTTCAACTTATTATGATGATTTTTTTTTTAGAAATTATAGAATATTATCCATATGATCTTAACACTTATTTAATGGGTTCAATATTGTAAGAAATTTTCATGAAATATGTAAGCGAAGAATGCTTATTGGAAGCAGGAGAATACATTGTAAGCATTCGATCACTTAACTGCATGGAATTCAGTAATAGAGAATATAACGATGATACAATGGAACTTGTTGGAGCAGATGGAAAATTAACTAAACATTTTAAGTGAGCAAATTTTTGCTACAGTTTGAGTACTTACAAAAATAACATTATTTTCAAATCATTATTCATCAGAAACCTTTTTTATATTGAAAACTTGTTATGATAAAAGAATTATCTATATGGATATTTATCAATGAAATGTTTTAGAATGACGTTAATGAATATGTTTGATATGTTTGATTTTGATGAAAGTGGTAAATTAAGCCGAGAAGAATTTGAAATATATAATGTGTTAGCTAGTGGTGAACATGTTTTGGATCAGGTTAGAGACTATTATTGTGTGATTACAATTTAAAAAATTTAATAGCTATTTTGCTGTATTTAATAAGCAGTATATGTGAGCTATGTACGAACAAATTACAGTGCAAAAAAGAAAGTTGCAAAAGTTGTACTGGTAGCTAATTTTTCAGCTTATTTTAGCAAAAAAGAAAAACACTGAAAATACTAGCAAATTTTTGTTTTTAGTTTTGTAATAAAAAAATGAAATTAAGAATATTAAGAGATTGAATTAATCCATCTTTTCACTTCCTTTTTAAAATACTTGTCACTATTTTTTCTCATAAAGTAATATTAATAAAATTAATAAAAAAGCATTTTTAATTGAAAAGTTAAAATTACATTCAAAGTGATAAACACAGCTAGCAAATCTCAAACATCTGACTGCAAATTGGCAGCGAAGAAAAACAAAATCATATTTAATCACACTTTTACATACTAAGACCTTCTGTATTCATTTACTTGAAGCCAAAAAAAAAACTAAGTAAAAAAATAATGCTGCTGTTGAAAATGAACGATATGTCATATAATTTTAAATTATAGCATTTCTATAAATTGAAAATATTATTCAACTTTACATCAATCAACTAACCAATCAAATAATAATATTCAAAAAAAAAAAGAAAAAAATATCGTTATTAACTAAGACATTAGTCTATTGCTTTATGTACTTAATTAACTAAAAAGCATGCAAAAGCATGCATGCATTTAAAAATTGCCTTAAAAGTTATTTTTTTGAAAATAGCAAATTAATTTCAAAAATGATATCCTAATAACTTTAATTAAATAGTGACTGCTTTTCGAATTTCTTAACACTGAAAAAAAAATGTAATACTTTAGTTTTTACGCTAACAAAACATTTTTATATTCAGGAATGGGAAATATTGTGCAAATGTTTTGAATTAAAAAATGAAGAATTAACAATGAATGCATTTATATCACTCCATCAGGTTTAATACTTTATAGTAGAGAAGTTTTTTTTCAGTATAAATAGCAAGGCACTATCAAAGTAATCCAATTAAAGCTTTGTTACAGATACTAAAAGGTTTTTTTTTTCTCGTATAACTACTGTATTGTGCCAATAGTTATCTATTACATTATAAAACAGCATTTAGATTATTATAATTATAAGTTTTGATAATTATGATTGCTTTCGTGTAGATTGAAGCAGATGGAAACCCTGATTTGACCGACATTTGGATGTCACTCATTTCTGTTGGTTACGATAAACGATTGGATCTTGTTGAAGTTTTTATTTTCATTTTTATTTTTAGTCACATTTTTTGCTTCAAGGAAACTAAATCTGCAATAAGCAGTAAGTAATTGAGATAAGGCATTTGAAGAATAAAAGTGTATATTATGGTAAACTTTGGAAGTTCAAGAAATATTTGCTTTCAAGTTATTGCTTTCGAAAAGGAATTTGCTTCAAGTTATTGCTTTCGATCAATTTACTTAGTATTTATCAGTAAAAGTAAAATTATTTATTACAGTAATTTCAACACTACAACAACATTATCAAGTAAATAGATTGAATTTTTTAAAAAATCTTTGAAATCTAAAAAAAAAAGTCATTAAAAAAATTATAAAAATTTCATCTCAACAATATTTATAATATGCATGAAATTTGAATTCAGAGAAAAGAAAATGAAAAAAATATTACAGAATTGTCCGTGTTCATTTACAATTTTTTCTGAATCACAAATTCATATGAGAGAAGTAAAGTTACGTGAACCAACGAAAATAGAAGAAGAAGCTTTGGGTGAATATTTTTGGAGAAATGGCAAGGAAGTTGATAATGACATAGACATACGTATTTGGAAATGCGATTACTTTGCCATTGGCGTGGCAGGACCAATGGTTTCTTAATTTTTGAAACAAAATTAAGCAGTGATTATTACTACTTGAAATTAATGATTAATTCTCATACCTTATCAAATTAATTTTCATTTCTAGACTTGTACTACTCAAAAGTTATGTAAACATCAACGTGATCTTATCAGCAAATGAAGAGCTATTCACTGCTCTTTGTGCTTTATTCTTTGCAAAACTTTGTTTTATAAATTTCGATTTAATCTTTCGATAACTTTTAATTTCTTTTCCTTCCAGTAAAATTGTTTAAATCCTTCATCAGTGCTTTATTAAAGCTTGCAAATCCACAAATTAGTGTTTCAAAACTTTTAATTACAAACTTAATACCGTATGATTTTCTATTAATAATAATGGTTTGTTATATTTCAGAAGCTGCCTTACGCTGTCAATCTTCATTACGAAAGATCAGCAAATGTATTAGTTAAAGAACACATAAGTCTTCAAAGGATACCACTAAAATTTATTAAACCAAAAGTTGGTAGTTTCAACTCATTTCAAATATTTATTGATGAAGTCTGTCAAAAAAAAAGTTTCTGAAAGAAAATTATATGAATATTTTGCAGATACTACTTCAAGCAGTTGCAAAGGAATCTGAATGGTCATTAAATTTGACAGTTGAGACAACAACATGAAGAAATAGTTAGTAGCCTGTGCAATATCATATGTATATATATATTCGTGTAAAAAATTTCAAGTAAATAATATTTACATAAGTTAAGTAATTTTTGCAATTGAACTTTATGGCCATACATAAAAAATATACAAGGATGGAGTATTTAATGACAAAATTTGATAAAGCTTCTATAATGACAGTACACTTAATCATATCAGAAAGATTAAAATAAGAAAAGGCAAATGTATAATTTGGAATAACGTTTGTTAATTCCCCAAAAGATACCACCTCAGACAGTTAGCCACAGAACTGCACCATAAATTGAACTTATTTCTAATTATCTCTTTTATGGATTCTATTTAGCTATTTTTGACTAGTATTTACTTGCGAAAATGTGATCATTTCACACCGAACAATTACGAATATAACATATCTAATTGATTTGATAATAGAAACTTGTAAATCTCCAAACCAATACGCGCCAAATTACACAACAAAAATGATGGTGCAGAGCAAAAAATGGTAGATAAAAGCATTCGTGCATAAGGAATGTAACATACTCAAACTTGTTACTTTATTATTACTCTAATCTTAAAATAGCAGAAGAAATTTAAATCATAATTACTATTATTATGCTAAACATGATAATGACAATAAATTTCAATTAACAGTAATAATAAATGATGGTAAAGATATTCAAAGAAATCTGATGAAAAACTAAAGCAATAACTAAGTTCTAAATGGATCGCATCATCGGCTGCATGACTTACAATTTTTCGTGCAATGTTTTATATTCTAATAAAATTCATTAAAGCAAATCTATAAGTATACTCAACAAAAAGTAAAACTAATAATTGTATACTTTGCAAAGATTAAACTTTTTATTTCGCATTGTTTACTCGTCAGACTATTTTTCCAGCTGTTGAGGGCATTAATTAATTTTCTTGTTTATCTGCCTGTTCTTCAACGACAACTTTTTCCACATTTTCTACGGATGGCATTTTTTCTTACTCTCAGCGTTGTTGCAGAATTTTGCAAAAAGTTAAAATGATTTTTGAATTCCACCGAAATGCATTTTGGTTTATTCGATAAAGAGTGACAAATAGTGCCTACCGTACAAAATATAATTATTTTCGTGTTATTAAATCAATATTACTTATATAATTTGTAATAGATAGCAGTATTTTAAAATGAAAAAGATAATATATTTGAAAAATTGAAAAAATTTTGCTTCGATCGTACTATTAGTACATACAAAATTGAAATTTTTATACTAGGAAACAGAAAAAAAAGGCATTGTAAAGCCAATCGTGTTCACTCTTAATTTTCTTTGAATCAGATGTTGACTTGACTTGAAGGAGAATAAATGAAGTGAATCCATAGGGACTTAGAAAGATTTTTATGTAAGTGTTTTAGAGATTCAATGATATCCATTACTCTCTTCACCAGTCGATATTAAAGTTTTTGTGATTACTAAATGAGCATTTTTTATGGTTGTAATGTGCAACAAATATGGGTAATGAAAAAATAATCATATAAGTGTGACAAAATATTGTATCATATCATTTCATTTTCATAGGACAGCAAAAAATTACTAAAAAAAAATTTAGCACAAATTATTGCTTTTAATAGAAGTATTATTCAAGCGTATTTCAATACTTATGAAAATAATAAATGTAAGGATTCAGCATTTGAACATAACAACAAATTTGTTCATCATTTTAAATGCATAAAAAATCAACAATTCAAAGATCTTTTAATGAATCAAAATATTATACACTCATAATTAATTACAATCCACGAATGCTATAATGATAACATACTTTTTTTAAACCAAAAAATGGTAATAAGCATTCATTCTAAAGGTAGAATTAATTCAAAAGATAATAATATGATCTGAAAATATAGTATTAGTATTAGTAAAACATTTGTATAGTATTAGTAAAACATTTATAGCACTATTTTTGAAAAAAAAAAAGATATCAACTATACTTTGCTATACCTAGCAAAACTTAATGGTTACAAATATTGCTCCCATAAAGACAACGAAAGTAGAATAAACTTTTACATCAGCAATTGAGATATCTTTTTGCACCAATAAAAATTATACTTTTATTAATGAAAACTTTTCATTCTGTCATTAATGACAATTCTAATTTGCAAAAAACAGTTTAAAAGCTATCGTTATAGTCACTTAGAATTATGATAGTTTAGAAATGTGTATATACTTCAGTCATATAATGAAGATAATTAAGCGAGCCAAAATTAATTTATTTCATTTTAATTTGCAATTTATAACAGTTTAAAATTCATGAGATCGGAAATGCTTTATAATATTACTTAAATCTAGTTTTCACATTCAAATGCTATTCATTTTTGTAGTTCGCACCTGATAAAAAATGAGATTATCGTAGTCCGGTAAAGAATCACAATACCGTCGATAGAATTCTAAGTACAAAACTGATTATTTCTGATAAGTAAGTAATAATTATTCTCTTATTGCGAAGTATTTTCATTACTTACAATTGCTGCAGTAGAGAATAATTTAACAGTATTCTCAAAAATCTTCAAATTTAATGCTGCCATATTCACAAATTGTATTAAAAAATTTATTCTTCATTCATAAAACATAATCGTTGACGCAAAACATTATAATGACTACATTATTACAGAAATATTTTTTGAAGGATAGAAGAATTATACTATGCGGATGCGAAACATAATTTATAAGAATGATGAAAATGAATAAAATGAATAATGTTAATGAGATAATGAGATTTTAATAAAGTTTCCAAGCATTTCGCATCATCAAATCAAAATATGCATCAGTATCGACAGATGCTGATACACCACAGTAATAATTCAGAAACTCTTCCTTCGTGACCTAAAACGAATCACAATTTTTTTATTTTTTAGTAAAAAATTTAAAATCAAAGAGTTTTAATATTAAGAATTATAGATAAACTAGTTTTAAATAGTTCTACTAACTTCACTCTAAGCTTACATGCAGTGCTCTTAAAATTTTAAACTCTTTTTTTCTTACAAAATGTTTACTTATCAATTATTAACCGCCAAAAATTAATATCGATGGCATAGGTTAATACCCTATGAATATGTGAGGACAAAAGATAATTTCAGAGTACTTGGCTAAAAAACAGCTTTTTGCTTGCGTCAATGTATCGTAAAATGTATGGCTTTCCAGTGAATGCAAAAAACTGATATAACTTATTAGAAGACAATATTCAAAATTGTTTCTGTGAGATAAAACTTTTCTTATACAACCAATGCCTGAATCACTTGCACTCGAAAGTAATCATTATAAAATGTGCTTTACAAATTTTAAGAATCTCCTTTTCTTGCATCCCATAGAGCCTGAGGAATTACTGGAGTAACGAAAGAATGATTATATTTTTAATCCTTTAACTTCCCTACCTTTCCATCCACATGTCCACTAGCTTCGAAATTCTTCAGAAAGTCTTTGAAAATATCCTCACGACTTTTTTCACCAGAAAGATATTTTGGATGTCGATCAGCATGATAGACTTCTTCCATATCCTCAATAGTTACTACGCCATCTCCAGTTTTATCAAACTTTTTAAATGCAGCATCGATTAGTGATACACGAGTTTTCGACAATGGAGGCTAAAACTATTTTAAATCGAAGCAACATATGATGCTTCATGAATAGATTTCCTCCATTTTCCACGCAGTTTTTGAAAAAATATTTGTTATTACTCAAGTATTAAAAAAGTATCTAAAACTGTATCAGAGTACTTGGTTCTTCAATCATGAAATACCATTTGTTTTTTAGTAATATTATCTTTTTATTAAAACTAGTAGCTTATCAAAATAATATTCGTATGAAAGACTGAAATAAGTATTTACTTTTAGAAGAAAACGTTACAAGAGTAATAATGACAATGTATGAATAAAAATAAATAAAATGCTTTGTTAGATCGGTGAATAAAATGGATTGTTTTTCCGGCTTCAAATGCTAAATAATAATTTGAATAACATGCCCGAAGTGAAACCAAAAATTCATTGAAGTCGATATAACCAGAACCATCTTTATCAAATTTTTTAAATAGTTGTTCAATTTCTTCATTGGGTATATTCACACTAAAATTGTGCAATCCTTTTCGGAATTCCTCAAGATCTAACTTGCGATCACCACTATCATCCATAATACGGAATGATCTAGAACTCTACTCGCCATCGCATGGAATAAGTAATTTGAAAAATTGATTCTAACATAAAAAGATATATAAAATGAGTTTAAAATGAAGTTTCAGTCAATACTTGAATATATATTCAATTGTTAAATCATCATAAAACTGATGCATGTAATTTGCAAAACAATGTGTTGATAAAAGACAGAAGATCCAATTCATCTTCAAGAATAGACATTTATATATGCTAATCATGATCTAATCATTGTATGATTTGGCACACATTTTTTGCCATTGATAGATTGATTTTCTGTTGAATGCGTGGTAAACTTTAATTAAGCATTTTTTCTTTCAGAACCACGAAAATTTCTCATTAATCGTGAATCAACACTATAGTGCTGATTTGTGATTGATGAGGAATTACTATATATATATATATATATATATGTAGTAATCAATGGCATATATAATAAATAGTAGTGGTCTAAAAGTGAATAGCAACGGCTTTTGATTTCTCTGAGGAAATCAACGATAGAACAAACCAGTCTTCAACTATTAAATCATTCCAAAATATGAAGCCAAACGTAAGTACAATCTTTTTAAAAAATTTCAAAGGAAAGCTCATTTTTAAAATATTTCTCACAACCATAACTTGTCGAAGTCAAATTAAAAATGACTATCATTTGGTGATAATAATAACTGCCTCAAGCAAATTTTAACTCTATGGAATCTAAATAACATAACTTCATTGCACATTTTTAATTCGCAAAAGATTTTTACAAGAAATTATATAAAATCAATTTGAAGCTAGTCTTAGTTTGCAGAAACCATTAAATTCTTTCCTCAATATATAATCTTTGGACATTTTTCAAAATTTAAATCAATGTATGCAGTAAAATTTTCAAGTTCAATTTATTTCTTCCCCCATTGCTCTCTTCTTTATATCAGTAATACATGAAATTGTTGATGAACAATTAAATGTATATAAAGAAGAGAAACCTTCCTAGAGATTTAATCCCGGCATTGCCTCGAATTAAACATTGCAGTCGAAGTCGTTCTAAAGGATCTTTCGCAGTTTTCAATTCTTTTGAAGCCTTTCTTTTAAGTTCTTCCTCGCTCATTGTTCCTTCACGAATATTCACTACAGAGTTGCCTTAAATTTGCAAACTACACTCAAATTATAATTCTTAGCTTTTTCACAGATTAATACGAAAAATCTATGACTGCAGCAATGCTTTACATAACTCCATTTGAATAAATTACTGTAATAACAAAAGGAAGATGAAATCTTTCATAAACAAAGCAGAATAAATAATCGTAGGCAAAGGAAGAAAAGTAGACAATTCCAGTTAAAACCAAAAAAAGGTTTACAAGGATACAAATTGAAACAGAGCATACTAATCTACAACAAATATTCAAATATTGTGCCAAGTTAGGTAAAATTACGTTCATCTTACTAATAATAGTGTTAAAAGTGCATGTAGAAGATCAAATAACAGTAATAAATAAGATATGAATTCGATAATATGCAAGAAATCAATCGCAGTTTTTCTCAATGTAACGAACAGACAGAACCAAGCAGTTTATTTTTAAGCCAAAAAGTGATGGATATTAGCATAATACATGAATTAGTTTTGCATTTAGCAAGTGCTACTTTAGTTTGCATAATAACAGTACAGAGAGAGTATAAGATGAAAAAGTTGAAGAAGAAACTGACAAATAATTAGTAAATGTCTTTGAAAATAAGTTTAGGTATGTTTCTGACATTACTGTTGCATAACTTTAAATGATACTGTCAAATTCTTAAAGAATGAAGACAGATGGATGTCATGTAAGTAAGTGATGAGAGAGTGAAAATCCGATTTGAGACACAATTTCATTTTTGGAATGAAATTAGGCAATAATCATTTACAAGTTTAGTACTAAAATACCATGTAAAAAGTGAAGCAAAAAAAGAAGAAAAAACCTTTTACATCAAAAAAATCTCACACATTTGCGCACTTCAGTGCTAATTTATTGACAGTGCAGTACAATGCAAGTCTCTTGAGATATTTCGAACGACTAATAGTAATTATAAAAAATTCATTAAATTGGTATTTGTAGTTTACATAATTACACTACATTACGTTCCTTAATAAGAAAATAAGACTGCTAATTTTAATCAAAATGCAAGATTAAAACAGTCTTACTTTTTTAAGCATTGGTAATTACTAAGTTGAAAACTGATTGATAAAATGAATACCTGTGATGTACTGAAAGCATGCAGAATTGTTCATACGGTTCATCTTGAATTATTATCTACTTATCAGATATTTTTTGCAGCAGATACTAAGTAGTAGGCAGATTTAGTTACAGAGCTAAGATCGATTTCAGATAAATACGGGAAAAACCTTAGCTCCTTGGGTTAGGAATGAAAGCTAAAATAGCAGTCGCAGTTGTCGTATTCACAAGCAAGTCACCGTCATCCCTTGGGTCTGTTTTAAATGTACAGCAAGCTTAGCTTAGCTCTTAGAGTTGATGCTTTACTCTCACCTCCCCCACACTATTCCTCGCAGGCCAAGATTTTTTCCAAATAATTATCATTTTTTCTTTTCATACCATCATGTAAACCAAATAAAGTGCTATCTAATTAGCATCCTTTTTCCATCACATATTTTAATTAAACACTTCAAATTACGATAATCAATTGAATGTATCTGAAAACTAATCAATAATACTTCACTGCTTCTTTCCTTATAAGATAAATAATTTAAACACAAAACAATTATTTTTCATTACTTAAAAAACTACAGTCTTTTTTTTGCTCTTCTGCAGTCATCAATGAAAAAGTATTAATTTGTTAGTAGTTACTTTCTAAATTTTCCATTCCGCGTATAAAAAATTCCAAACTTTCTCAAACAATCTTGCGATCTCTTCTGAATCCGATGAGATTTATTAAAAATGCAAAGTGACATTTCCGCAAATGAATGTTTAAAAAGAAATGAAGAAATTTTTGCCGTTTATAATGTTTACTACCTAACAATGAAAAGAAACTGCATCAATTCTTGTGCTAGATGAAAGCAGCACTTCTGCTATCATTGCTTTATCCAAATTACAAATTAAGCATAAGAGCAAAAACATTCATTCAAATAGTAATGCTATAACTGAGTTGATCTCTAGAATACAAGATTATTCAAGTGATAGTATTTTCTTGATTTCTACCTAAACAATGATAAAATGTTCAAAAATCAAACTCTTTATAAAATAAATAACTTTGAACTATTAAATACAGTAAATAGTTGCAAAATGTAATAATTATGAAAGATAGAAACAGCAATTATCTTAAAAAAATGATCCCCATTATATCCTCTTGAAAGACTGAAGCAACAAAGACAGTAATATAAAACTTCCTATAAAACCAATATTAATAAAGAAACCGTTGCAAGCAAAGCCACTCAATGAAAAATTTATCTCACACAATAAATCTTGTAAATCTAACATCATTTAAATACCTCATGTCATAGAAGTTAGAGAAAAGTCGACGTCATCAATAGATAACAGTAATTTATACAAAAATGGCATTATCGTTGTGTTCCAAATGAAGAGAAAGATACATAAAACAGAAATACAATAAAAACTGACAAGAATGGAAAAATGAGAATCCGATTCTAATCCATCTGTTTGCTGCACAGGGTAACAAAAATAATAAACTTTTTTAACGAGCTTAATAATTTGCTTAAAAATAGTTGGAGTAATATACAAATAAGTAGACAGCTTGTATAGCATTCATTACCATGGAAACTGAACAAAATTCCTTTACACAAATAATCTTAAACATGGTCACATTTACATACATGATTTTTATAATCATTTAATTATTTTGCCTAAAAATTAAGCAAATAAGCAATTAAATCAAATGAAATGATAATTATAAATGCACAAGTCGCTTTTGCGCATAAATTTGAAATACTCAGAGACTGCAAGCAAAAATTTCAGATATAATATGAATAATCTTCGATAAAAATTTTCAAAGCAAAAAAATACAATTCAAAAAAAGTAAGTCTATCTTAATTTAAAAATAGATAGAATAAATTTTTGCTCCCAATTAAATAAAGTTTTAGCAAGATTTTGTGAAGATTAATCATTATTGGAAGGATAAAGAATTTGCTTGAATAAATCATTCATTTTGAGAAGTAAATCTATTGAAATGTTAAAATTCACCAAAGCGCTATCAGAGTAAAACAAAAGTGTGGTAAAAGATGACAAATTTCATCGCTTTCATGAAATAAGCTAATTCTTAAAGTCACAGTTTGTTTATTCATTGAAGTGATAACAGATGTGATAATGAAATATGCATATTTCACTGTAAGTACTAAAACAGTCATGATATTGCAATATTTAGATATGCTGGTACGTTATTATCAAATTAAACAGCTAACAAACGTAGAATAATATTATCCCATTAACAGTACACGAAGTTCTTATTTCTTGAAAAAATTCCGATCTTCATCAGTGGAGACAGACTCCAAAAATTTTGAACTGCACGTAAACAATATGAATCATACCAGTGATTCAAATATGATAATAAATGTTTCTAAATACTTTTATCCAATTAAAATTTAAATGACACTTTTTTTAAACATGTAAGCATTACTAATATAATACTATTATGATCAGCAGTGTTAGAAAGGCAATGAATGAAACGACATTTGCATGTTCTCTTCAACTTTCTTCAGATAGCTATAGAAAAACACTGAAGAGAAAAGGAAAGTGATGTCTAGATACAAATTTCGGAATATGGATGAATGTATACAAAAAAGATTCTAGAATGAACGGAATCAATCGCAAAATTCATACATCAAGGAAGATGAAAGTAATGGAGAAAAAGAAAAAAGTGCTAGCTGCTAAATAGATTTGTCTATCACTCAAACCCAAATTGAGAAAGTGAATTCACAAAAATCAAACAAAAAATTATAATTTATAGCACTGTATTTGGATAAAAGATACAATTAGAAAATGCAATCCCATTAAAAGACATTTACAAATTTATTTTGCTATATTACAGTATAGAAATAGATGCAGATAGTAAAACCATGCGAAGTTTTTGGTGCAAATAACGAAACGAATTCTGTCAGAAGATTACAATGAAATCCTCATAATATATCCAATTCAATCAAACAATCTCATCTAGATGTAGAAAATACTGAAGCTCAATGATATAAAAGTTTTGAAGAGCAACTTTTCGCTTTCCTTACTGAGTCATTGAAAGAAAATAAAAGCAGCTTGGTACAGATTAATTCATAATGAAACTAATAATAATTGTTGATACCAATAAAAAATTACCGTTAATGAACGAAAATGCCAAGGCACAAACAAAACAAATCTATCCGTTTAAACAAAAATCCTTTAACACTAATCACTAGCCCTTCCAAGCATTTAATACTAAAGTTGACGAAAAAAATTTTTTATACGTAGCAGCACGGTTGAACAACACCAAGCTAAAAGTGCAAAACTACCAAATTGTTTGCAAAAAAAGGATAACATTAGTCATTGAAAGAAAATAAAAGCAGCTTGGTACAGATTAATTCTTAAACTCTTTCCACATTCAAACCATCTCAACTCTTTGCCATTCCGACCATCGAGGTCCTGTCGAACCTACAAAAGTGTTTTATTTAGAAACTTACATAAGATTGTGAGAATGAAGCAAGAATGTTATTAGTTACAGAAACGAGGTAAACAGCTACTAAAATAATGACATAAAACAATCCCACACACTAACTTTTAATTTAATCTTAACCCACTAATTTGTTTTGCTTTGTTTTTTTGTGAGCGAGTGATAACCGAAATCAATGTCTTTTGTATTTAAAATACTTTAAATTTCAGTAACTCCTTCAACTCCACTTGGATCTCAAAATGAATTTTCATGCCGTAACTGTGTATCGATATTGGCCATTTGTAAATTCTGCAATAATTACACCTCAGCAATGTCCACAACACAATGATTAACTAAATTTGTTACGTAGTTTATAATTACAAGCAACTAAAACGTAAGTCACTTCGTAATTTAAAGATGCGGATGAATGAAATGTTCGATTACTCTTTGTGCCTTTAAACATCAGAAGAGTTTTCATTACCGAATAAATATATTGAAGATGCCATGTTAGATCATTTCAGAGAAAATGTGGTTGAAAAATAAAACAATTTCTAAACTCAAGGAAAGACTTTTTGACTCAGGAATGGAAAAAGTTTTTGTTATTAAACTCATTTTTCAAGAATTTTAAAAATTTTTTACCGTCGAATCTTTTATTCTTGAAAAATTACAAATGTTTCCTCAAATCCAGATACTTTTTTGTAACACTGTAAACCACTTACAATTTCATTTTCAGTATTTACGTCCACTGAATCTTGCCAACGTCTAAATGAATGCTGAGGAACTGAATTGCTTGAGCGATGTTGCGCTTGAAACCGTTTATATGCAAAAACTAAGTTTTTAGACAACACGAAATTGAAACTGAACAAATGCTTACTGTCATTTCTGTAAATCATCAAGATATAGAAATAGAAGACTCATATATATAATAAATAATTACGAATTACCCATGGCAGGAAACAATGACGTGAATGACGACTTTGTATCAGAATTCATATGGGCTTGTTGTGTTCTTCGTTCTTCATTAATCTTCTTTTGCAATTCATTAATCACTTGTTTGTTTTTTATCGAGCAAGAAGCATTCTGAAATTTAAAAAAAATCATTTTTTTGAAATATTTTTTATCTTGCCAATTGTTCACTAGCATTACCAACATCAAGATAATTGCTTAAAGAATGTAATTCCTTAAAGTGTAGTTTTGATGTCTTAGTTTGACTGAATTACTAGAGCTATTATTAAATATGTTAGCTGATTGAAAACCAAAAATTATGTGCAAGTTAAATGCATGATTATAATTTTCTGATTGACATGGAAAAAAACATATTTGTGTTTCATTCTAAATCACATCATAAATCCGAATACGACTTTAATCATCATGCACAGAATAATGTTGGCGATGGTTACTCTATTTATTAACAAGTAAACATTTAAAAAAAACTAAATCACATTATTCTTGTCTATAGGAGCAATATTTCGATATTGAACGTGTTCACAACAATCACTATGATTTCTACAATTTTCATTCCCTTCGAAATAACCTTCTCCCATTTGTAAACATCTCGCCAAGTATTCATCTTTTTTTGTCTGTTCTGCTCGCTGTAGAAAAATTTGCTGTTCATCATCTTTTTGCATAGATTTGGCTAGTTGTTCATCAAAATTAGACTGCATTTGCTTTAGTATGCGTTCTTCAACTTCAAATTCTTCTTGCAAACGACGAGCCATTGCTTCATCTTCTTTACTGCTTAAACACCAACTTTAAACAATTGCCTATCAACATGAAAATAAATGACCTAATATGAATCTAACCCCGGCTAAGTTTGTCGCGCAATGTAGTAAAGAATACTGAAGATTAAAATCAGTTATGAAATGTAAAATGAAAGAAGCAAAGAAGCATAAGAGAAATGATAACATTTGCAAGTTCAGCTGGCGTCGCATCTGATCTGCTAATTGATTCTCTAATTTTTGTTCATTTTTTGAATGATTGTGGTCGCTACGAATTTGTCGGCGTTGACCACGATTCATTTCATAATGTCGAGTGAATTCTTCATTTTGCATCTTAAGCGCCAAATTGTAATCTTCATCACATCGTAACCGAGAAATTACTAAAATACTTGTATCTCGTTATTTTGTCACCAAGTGATATCAAAAGCATCTAATGGACTATTTATTTATTTCGAATTAATAACATGTCGATACGAAATAACAGATGACTAACTTTCAGCAACTTGTGTAACCGGTTTAGGAGATTCATCGGCAGCTTTCATATTATCAATTACTATCTGTAGTAATATGCATGTCATGAACTTGGTGAAGAGTATTTAATATATTCTAACTATGGTTACACAGATAGAATATATTAAAACAAAAATTCATTACTGGAACAAAATTTATCATTCAACTTTCAAAGCAGTGACACAGTGTCACAGATTTTAAAGTGCTTTGATCAAATGTCCAACAGAAATGTTAACGATCTGATAAGAATATCATAAAAAATTTTTTTAAAGTTTCACCTGGATATATCACTTAAATATTCATTAAAAAAATGGAATTGACGATTAATGAAATATGATTTGAATTGCAAAAATCTATTTTACAGACTAAGAAATTTTTAGAGCAATTCCTAACATTAATTGTAAAAATGACATGTTCCTTAAATTTTCCATCGAAAGCATAACATTATTATAGCAGGGGATGAAAAATCAGAGTGAAAAGGAACAGTCATTACATTGAAGAACTAAAAAATATATGCCAACATAAAAGTTGCTGAATGTACGACAAGATTGAGAAGAATAGATATGAAAACAAAATTAAACGTTGTCTACATTTTTGCAAAAACTACAAAAAAATTTTTGAGTATATAAGACTTTTCTAGTGAAAGAAAAATATTTGCTGAAAAAAAAAAGCCAGCTTCGAATAGTTTGATTGCAGATAATTTGCATATTGCACGATGATTTGAAATATTATCTTGTGTCAAGAATGTATACAATCAACATTAGCAGAACAGATAAAATGAATAGTGGAAGGAAAGAGAGAATGATTAGATAACAAGAATTGTACACTAGCAATGATTTAAAAGCAGAGCAAATGGAAAAGTTTATGAGCAATCAGTAAGTTAACAATCACTTTCGTAAAGATAAAAAGTTCGTTTGCTCATGACGTAGTTGAGATTCTTCCAAACCAAACGAACTAGCTCTATGCAACTAATCATATAAATGACTTACCCCGGAAATCTAAACTTCTATATCTTGTAACGCATACTACACCAACCTCCTACTACAAGTTGATGTACCTTCTGTCATACTTACTGTAACTCTTATCTATTTCCAATGGCATGTAATTTATCTTTGAAATAATTATCATTCAATTTTCCCTAATCCTAACATTATACAGACTCAATTTTAAATAAAGACATTTTCATTCACTACTCCCACACACATAATCTACACTATGTCCAAATGGTAAAATGAAACCCTTGAACTTGCAAAATTTTTAAGAAAAAAGAAGGCAGAATGCGTATATCTTTACTTGAATAAATGCATAAAGTTTATTTGAAATATGTTATATTTCTATCTAAAACAACATACAATCATGAGTAATGAGTCCAAGAAAAAGCCACCACATATATCATCAAGTAATATTCATACAGCTTTGAATCAGCGTTAATTTAACAATGTTGACCCTGAAAGTTAACCTTGCTTATGATTATTCTGCTAAAATTCAAAAGATGCAGGTGAATACAAATGAAATAGATATACAAAAATCAAACTTGTAGCAACTAAGAAAATATTTCGTGCTTCAACAAAAACTAAATAAGCAAGCTCTCCACAAAGAATGAAAATTATTAGAAACAAGTATAAATACAAGATATTTTCAAATAAATATTTTGAACATTAAGTAATCACGCTGCTGTATGAAATGACGTAAAAACAAATGCTTACATAATTATAAACATTACCTTTCTTTACGAAAGCTACAAACCATTACAAATTTTGAGTACAACTGTCGAATAAAACAATATATGAAGACTTATTATATAATGATAGACATGGCTGTTCCGAATACTTCACTTGTAGAACTTGAACAGTCGATCACAAATTATTTCACTCCTATTCCACTTGATTAACATATCAGACCTACTTTACATCAATTAAACCATTACAATCTAGGAAGAACAAGGGTGCAAGATAAAATAAACAAGAACCCGTGTCACAACTTGTTGCAAGTACATTGGTTTAAAAGTAAAAATCTGTATCATGCGACGTCAACAAATCTTCGAAACAGTTTGAAAATTTAAAGACCAGAAGTTACCGCTACTAACACAAATTTTATAGTTGCACAAGAAAATACGTGCATTTGACATATTACATTCAGAACGAAAAAACAAGAAATAAAGAGCACAAAATGTCTAAAAAAAGCCTAAAAAATTCCCTAAGTTCTTCAAGTATAAAACTATGATAAATAATGATAACAATAATAAGTATACATTAATATACATTTTATTAACTATGATACTAAAGTAACACGCACTAGAGTAATAAAAAAATCAACCAGAAGTGACCATTCTCAAACTTCAGTCAACATAACTAACAACCGCTTTCAGAAAAAAACAATTTCTTGATATCAGGTTGAACTGATTCAAATCTCTCGAAGTGTCGTTTTTGGCAATTTTCTCCCACACTGCTTTGAAGAGCAGCAAAGAAAATGTAGTTTTAAACGATTTAAACACCCAAACAAGTGCAATAGGCAGTAAATTAAGTTGGCTGATTACATATAGAGTCGAATTAAATTACGAATCTCCGTGTACACTTGTCGTAATTCGGTAGCTCTAAAATCAAACATTGGAAAGTAAAAACATGTTTCTGTAGAGAGAGTGATAAAACCACCATAAAAAATTCCGGTAAACAATAGTTTGGGTAAGTTAAACCATAAATTTATAATACTGAGTGAAGATGAATTTTTAACTTACTCCACCACACTTTTATGAAACCATTCTAGCTGTTCAGCTGTAGCACAGAGACCACCACTGTGAGGGAATTTCTCCAAGGTTTCTTTGAGCCATACTGATAATTGCTATAAACAACACTAGGCCACTTAAATGAAATAATATTCATGAATCGGTGTTTTTTTAGCAACAAAATTTTGACCGATTAAGGATTTTCAATGTTTTCAGTTATTTTTAAGGCACATGAAACTGCCTACTTCTTTTGATAATTTTCCAACCAGATGGATAATTTCTGCCATATCACGTTTCAGAGAACCTGAGACAGTGAATACAGCCGCTTGGAGAGATCCACTAATTAGTTTTTCTCCAAATTTGAAAAACAACTGTTCGGCTTCCAAAACACCAGCATCTCGATAATTGGACTATAACAACATAGATCACAACTTCATTTAAATGAAAATCTAACTTATCAATCAAAACAACTAACCACAACATTATCATATAAAACATTAGAAATGTTACCTATTTTTTCATAAACTTGCAAAACCATAACAAAAACGAAGTAATCGACTACCTTCCTTGCAGTAAGTAAAGAAGTGATGAATTCGGAAAAAAATTTGGTAACTGATCTATTTGCATCCACATGATCAACATCCAAAGCTATAAGTCCGCATTCAAACAACTGGACACTAATTGGTTCTTGGAAAAATACTGAAGGAGAACGTTGCACAAATCTGAAACTAGTATGAGTCTGTGATAATCTTTCTACTTTGCTTTTTGAGATGTAGGAACATTCAACTATGAATTACTGGTGTGTTCGGAAATTAAAAGAGAGTCAAATCAACCTGATCGCTAGCCTGAACATATCATCGATTGTGTCTGGATGGTTACGAAAACCGTTCTGTTCTTGCAGAAGTTTGAAAGATGCACTACACAAAATCTAAAAAAGCAAAGAATCCAATTTGCATCTGGAATTATTGTACAGAAAGATATCAAATGCAAATTACTCAAATATTTCTAAAGACTTATTTTAATTGTCGTTCACAAAATTCAAGTCCATATTAATTTCGATTGAAACCCCCTAACAATTAAACTAAAATTTACGTTAAGCATGTGAACTAATCCTGAACGACAATCTTCTATATGACCATATTCATCTACCAAAATACTAGCCAGATACAAAAAGCATGAGTGCGGATAACGACTGTACATATCAACCATCTGCAAAACGAAATAAAATATTGCTTAAAAAAAAGACTTTTGAAGAAAATCAATATCGTAAAGTATCATAACTGATATTAATCACAAAATTCAAGTCCATATAAAAAAAGACCATACACTATATTATTTAGTAAGTTTCCAAATATTCGTAGAAAGTACATTTCATCTTTGCTGATAATAATAAGGACACTTTAATCTACAGCAATTTCAACGCAAATTTAATAACAATTACCTGTTCAACAAGGGATTCAATAAAAGTAATTGAATGAACTTCAAGAAAGCGTATCATGAATCGTATTGCACGACAACAGTGCTCAACAGCACGAGTATTGCTTTCATATCTTTTACAGGTTTTCAGTACAACTGGCCAAACTTCTTTAACTGTATCAATCAACAATGTAGGAACCGAACTGTTTGCAATTCCAAAACCTGAATTCGATTAAAATGAATGAAGTACAACGATAAATTGGAAATAAGCTGTTACCTGACCGAAAAAAGTATTTCAGCAAAAAAAAATTATGTTAATTACTACCATTTAGAATAGTGCTTTTTTGACTGCATGGCTGATGCGTCAATGGCTGAACATGTCGAAAGATAGCAGCTATCCTATCCACCCACAAGACAGGATCACGACTTAATGAAGACCAAGAATCAGCATTTTCGTTGGTGTTTTGCATTTCATTTAGTGTCAGACTCGAAGTAGAATCCAGTAACTATATCAATTCAAAGCAACTGATAAGACGTAAAAAATTTCAAAACAAGATAAATCAATAAGATGTGAAAGAATGTTGAACGAATGCCATAATATTAGTATATATTGAAAAATATACTTACTGCATTCAGACGAGTGATTTGAGGCTCAATTAAATACCTCAGGCGACTTATAGATTCGTTTCCAGGTAAACCATTAAGCAATGATGAGCAGGCTTAAAATCAATTTTATATATCATGTGTTCAACACTTAATAATTTTGAAATATTTCAACATTTTTTAGCTCTGATCGACTTTTATTTCTATTGTTTCCATCATTATTACAGTTTCAGTTATGATGCTACTTTGAAAGCCCTGCATTACTATATCAAACCAGAATAAATTTTTTTGTCTAATCAAAGTTCAAAATTATACATCAAATTATAATTGAAAAGGAAGGAATAAAATTAGATTTTCACAGAAGCATTAAATAAATTCAAATTCTCCAAACTTTCTAGACCTTGTAAAAGGAGAAGAATTGATTGTTCTAGTAGCTGTCCTTTGCTTCCTCCACTTTCCAAAATTGGAACAACGAGAAACATAGAATAGAAATGGTTTACACAACCACTTTCACATTTTTCACAAATACCATACAGAGCTTCAGATGCAGTCCGAACGAATAGTGGCTTCTGAACTTTATCCAGCAACCAGTCGATGCACGGCTCTAAAACAATCTTTTTAGAAAAATTTAAGATGACAACATGAATCAAACTTTTGAATATTAATTAAAATCTATTTAAAAAAATATTTATTCAAATAAAACAAACCTCGATACTGTTTATTTTCGTACAACCAATCGGTCAAATTTCCGATCAATTTTATAGAAGTATTAATAAATATAGGATGAGACGCAACAGGCATAACCAAAACAGCATGAACCAATAGGGGAACCACTGTTTCTTCTGTTCTGAAAGATTTCACTTAACCAAGAAACAACTAAAACAATCAATTATCTGCTACATATACAAGTGATCACAATACTACATTGAAAGATCAATTCCATGCCTTCACAGCAATTTCACTTTTAGATTATGAATTTTGGTAACGAAAACAAAAGCTTTTCTTTATGCTTACGGAAGAACGTTATGTACAATGACTGAAATAATGTAAAGAGCAGCTTCTGATTCATCCCACGAGCCAGCCGAGACAGACTGCAGTATGGATAGCATCTATAATTACTACATTAATTTTACTTTGAACGTTTTATTCATATTTTTCGATCTCACTTGACTTCACTTAATTTCCTCTTTACAAATAGGTCATTTAAAGATTGCAATATTTTAAATCGTTTCAGGAAACGATTAAGATTCTTCTAATTTTAAGTCATTTCAATGATAATGAACTGAAAGATCCATCACGCTTCTGTGAAAACTTTACAAAACCTAAAGTATCACTAAACAAAAAATATACGAACATACGATAAATGAAAAATACATACACTTTGGATGCAGCGATCAGTTCCAACAACAAAAACGACATCTTTAAGCGTGTCAGAAACGTGACTTCGAAATTCAGCAAAATCATCGCTGTCGTCCGGAATATCTTCTTGATCAGTATCAAAGCGACAATGCTTATAGAGTGCCATAATGTACCTGTTTCCATAGATAAAAGCGAGCTCTAACTTGATGAGTGATAATATGAAACAATTTAAATTTAATTGGATCAGTTATATCTACGATTCTTTTTGATTGTTGAGCATTAAAAACTTTCAACTCAATTTCATGTGCTTTGCTTTATAAAATTTTTGATACAGATAAACAACTAAAATTTTAATGGAGAATATTCTACCTTTCAATGTATGGTTTGAAGTGAGCATTCAAATCATCATCATTTTTCTCATACAGATATTCAGAAAGACGGTACCAAATATTGAAAGTCATCTCTACTAACTAAAAAGTAAATGAAAGAAAATGAAGTAGCAAGTTTAAAGTTTAGCTCAATATTCTAATAAGAATCAAGACTGACACTATAGTCATGGTAACCAGCCAACAAAAGGAGCATTTCAATGCTTCGTAAGTCCCCAAGATTTTTTCCCGGCTCTTCAATCATACGCTCTAGAAGTGATTCACTTAATTCGCAAAAAACTCGTGCATACCCTTGTAACCTGAAATCAAATGAATACTTTATTATTTAAAACATATGAATATACTGAAATTATGCATCAAGAAGGAATGCAACCTAATCTCAATCAAGACAAACATCATAAATTTAAGAAACCGAAAGAGAGAATGTTTAATGGAAACCTGTCAAAATCATCATTAGCAACAGCCATTGAGAAGCTGTCAGCCATCCCATAACAAGCAGTTTGAAGCACAAAAGCAAGAGAACGATTAACTTTGGTATTTTCTGCTCGATATAATGCAGCTACAATGCATTCACAAGCAGCATCATGGAGAGAAGTGGGTGAGTTGTAATTCTGCTATAAGTAAAATTCACAATCCATACACATTTGTTTTTCTTGCAAAATATACAATTTTCTGGTATCAGAAAAACAAACTCTGGAAGTTTTTACGTGAAAAATATCAATTTACTTGGTTTTTAATTTATAATCTAAGCCAATCAACAAGAAAGATGAACCAGTAACGAGAAGACGTATTTCAGCAAATCACTCGTTGCTATATCATCCGTTGGAATCAATGGATTCAGTAACCACGAGCTGAAGCAACTTAGAACTCTTTTCAATATCGCATCGTTATCACTACTCAAGGCACAAACTTGGCTCTAAAATAGAACCTAATCATAGACACTTTACTATTTGTAAGTCTCAGGAAGTCCCAAAAGTTTCAAGTTATGCATTTCAAACTAGAAAGCAGTATTCTGAAAAATTAAAAAGGGAACTTTAAAGAACAATATGAAATAATCTCAATATTATGAAATGTACCAGATCTTAACGCCAAAACAAGTCCTTCATAATCAATTTTGGCAAAAAAAATGCTTAATCTCTATGCTTTAAAGTTACTTCAATAACCACCACACCGCTTCACGAAATTACGAGAAATTGAATAGATCTACAGCAGTCAAATAAAAAATAAAATTTACTAAAAAATGAACGACTGCTTGCGTTTTCTGAGCTAGCTCTGTATTGATCACACGACGTCTGTTATCACCAATACGAAGATATGTGCTTTGTACTTCTTCTGATAAGGTCTTCAAAAATGTAAGCAATACAGGTGTTTTTTCTGGGGTTCCAAACCTGAAAAAATAAAAAACATGACAAAAATTTTCAAATATGTTGCAAATATGAAGAAGACTAATGATGAAAAATAATCGAGAAATATTGCTTATCCCCTATGATGAAAATTGATAAATCACGCAAGCTCAATGCTATTTTAAAGAATAAGAAAATAGAACACCAAGCCTGAACAAGTAAAAAATATTTGAGTACCATTAAAAAAAATTACAATGCCATTTTGAAATGAACTTGCAAACTGAACAACAATCAAACCTTTCGAGCACCTCAACGACAAAGTTACTCCACTCTGGCACTTGTAAATAGAGATCACAAAGAGCAAGACAAAGTTGCGTTATAATGACAGAATTTCTTTCTAGTGGGTACGGTTCATAGTTTCTGAAATGTATTGAAAATCTTATATAACGCTGGCAATGTGATGAATATTTTCAATTAAGTTTAGCTGTAGTACAAATATAGAGAAAAAACAAAAGAAGTGAACAATAGAACGTAATGACACCATAACAAAATACGAACCGTAAATGGTTAATGAGAGAATCCCTTAATGACAAGTGTGTAGAAGCTGGCAATTCCTTCATAGAATGTAACAATTTTTGTCTCATGGTCTGAGCAGCAAAGTAACTGGCTGTTAAATCTCTGCGCTCAGTTAATATACGATCACAAATAGACCAAGCATATACCTAGAAAAGCAGTGTTTCCGAAAATTAGAAACCAGACTATAAAGTAAATGCTTTAATTTTCATTAACTAGAGGACAAATAATCTTAAACTTTCAGATGAAACAACAAATTTTTGAATTGGCCCGCCCTGTTTCGCAAAAACTGTAGAGAAATAAAAGTTCAAGATAACTATCAGTAGTAATTTGATAAGGCAGTGACCTATGATTAATTTCTTTAATCAAAAAAATTTTTACGTTTCACTACAAAAGTTACACACAATCAACACTTCCCAAAATTTAGCAGTCATATTTTCTCAGAATGAAAACATACAGATTTTTGAAATTCACCAAGCCATGTACTAGCCTTGCTGCAGGCAGCACTGTCTGATCCATTTAATATCGCAACTGCTTGATACACATTTTCGATATCATCCATCCTTCAACGAAATTTATTTTAAGACAACTGTTGATAATTAGATATAATCATCTAATACGACGAAATATCCAAACGCTTCGTAAAACAAAATTGCTATGAATCTAAGAAATCCATCCAATAATATGTAATCATCAAATTTAATACAGACAGAACGAATATCAATCAAGCATAAAAACGACGAAGATCCTAGTGACCACTTTACTGAAAAAAAATGCGTACGGAGAGAACTTGCAGTACGAAGTGTGGCACCACAACAAGTATACAGTGACATTTACTGCAGACTAATCTGTATTAAATGGCTGTTATGTTTTGCAAACGAAATATTTGCATAATGTACACACTTTAATCTCGGGAACTCAAACTGCATTAGATACAAAAGCTGGCGAAAATCTCCATAACAAAGACAGTACACTGAGAACCAGTGGTAAACTAAAAGCACCAATATATTTAGAGGAAAAAGCCATAGAACAAATTTTGTTCAAGTTCATAATCCAATCAGTTTTGCTAAATTAGCATTTATTGTGTTATCGATGCAAGAATACGACTTTAATGGTCTGAATCAACAAATGTGATAGAGGTACCTAATATTTGCAAAACGTGTCCCAATATGTCATTAATTCCATGCAATATCAAAACTTAAATAAAAATGCAGAATTGAAATATCAAGAAATCATACAATAATTGATAGTTATAAAGCAGGTATGAAAGTTGACCAGCTTCAAAAGAATTTAAGTAACATCTACTTAACACGCTTTATGCGAAATACGAATATATAACACAAAAAAAACAACAACTGCACGTTAGGGAAACAAAGAAAATTGGACCGTAGATAATTCTAAATTAGAATATTAACTAAAGACTTACATTTCAAGCTTCATATCTCCAAGAAAATTCGACTCTTTAAATCGTTACAAGCAATGAAAAGATAAAACTACCATGATAACCATGAAAAATAAAAGCAAATAATCAAGGTAATTAATCTGCAACAAGAAGAAAAAGACAGTACCTTTAACAAAATATGAACAAACGGAAACCAATGATCCTATTAAAATATAAGAATAGTAAACCATACAAAATACATCAACATTCACCAAAATATGAATACTAAAAATGACATGTCCTATAAATTCCCATTTTCAGAAAATGCAGAGAAATAGTACTTTACGAAAAAACATAAAATGAACCAAAGATTACAAACTAAAATAAAGTCAGCACAACGAATTGATGGGAAATTTATATTTTTTTGATATGGCCACAAATGTAACTATATCGAGAAATGAATGGATATTAATGTAAATATTTTTATATCCCTCATTACTTAAATTAGCTTATTTTTCACAATAAAAATAAGTCGATCCTCGAATCAAACAAAGCACGAAAGCAGCAGGTTTCCGAGGTGAATCCACCAGCAAACCGAGTGCTGCTGATTTGGAGAACATGTTGAAGATATCCAGTTCTTGATAAATCTTCAATTTTCGGGAGAGACGGCCCGTTGAAGGGAAGCTCTAGTTCGTGATACTCAAAAGGAGCGCCACTGATACGCACTGGTGCGAATGATGTTGTATCACAACGTTTTAGATAAGAATCTACAATAAAGGATATCGTATTGATATGTTTGTGCTAAATAACTTAAATCAAGAATCAATCATTAAAAAAATTTGAAACGGAAAACGAATATGGAAAATTGACAAAACAAATACTTCGCACAAATAAAAAAACAACAAAAGTCTAAGGTTATTAGTTTTTACCTATTCTTGACTTCTTACGTCTTGCAGCTTCCTCTTTTTCAGCAAGTTCTACTTCAATCTGTTGTTTTCTTTGTCGATCTAGAATTAGTTCGGCTGGTAAATCAGACTGCCGAAGTTCATCGATAATTGCCTTAGCTTTGCTAACATTTGTTGAACTTTCCATCAAATTCTAAAAAATTAATTCAAAATAAGAAAATGAGGACAAAATATGACACCAATCAGTTCATAACTAACTAAAAGTTACTTCATCTTGAGCACCGTTTACATCATGTATTTTCAGTCTTTGCTCTTCCTGCAATAATTGCCGAACCCACATCTGATCATCATCCAGCTAAAAAACTGCGTAAAAACTTAACATAAAAAATGTCACTTTATTTGCCTCTTTATTGACAGGAGCGTAAAATGAGAAGTTACTTAATATCTGATGAAAATTAGAAACTATAAGTTTTTTCGATCTAAGAAATATCATTAATTGCATGTACCTTGCGTTTGTTTCTTTTGATAATAGTAACATTTTCCTCTTTGAAACGATCGATTTCCGCTTCAGTTTCTTCAGTATCCATGTTGTGAGTTAAATTCAATATAATAGCTTCTAGACGTTCCAAGTAATTATTAAACTCATTCAAATCAGTGAAATCAGATCGCTTTAAATTAAAAACCTGAAAAATAAGCATTTAAACAAATAGGTTTAAGAAATGAAAAAAGCAAGTTTAGAAAAAGTACTTTTTTTAACTTCTTGCGGATATAGTTTTCTTTTTCTATTACAGGATCCTCAAAAACTTGAGGCCAAAATCCCTTCTTCCACAATATTTTGCCACATTGTGGACAAGGACCACTATTCCGTGCAAACAGGTTATCTACACAGTTCCTAAAACTTCACAGTAATGAAAGTTGACCAAAGGCTATACAGTTCTACAAAACATAATTTTCAGGATCAAGTCATCTATTACAAGTGCCCACCTGATTACTTATTGTAATATTTTTTACCTGCATATTGGATGACCACACACATTAATCATCATCAACATCGCTCGACTACTATACTCTTTGGATTTACACTTTGGGCATTCTCGCATTTTGACAGTTCTACGAAAAATCCTTCGTAATATCACAACTCACAACTTCGTTTTCTGCTCGATGACAATTTTGTCAATGGGGTAACTTCGATATAAGTCAGACTGACGATTAATGACTTGTAGCAACTCTCGACAGCGCTAGAAAAGAAATTTTTAATATAACTATCTGGTTTATTTTATTTGTATATAACTATATATGTAATGCAAGAAACCACTCAGTTACATAGAAAAATTAATCGTTTAAATATAAGGACCAAAGATCCTTACAATAATAATCATACTTCCCACATAAATTTTAGATCAACTGACTAAATACAGAATGCCATCATAAGAATAATAGAATTATTAAAGTAACGTATAAACAACGAGTGGAATATTTCAGACAAACATATTAGTCTAAACATCTCAAAATGACTTTGTTGTTAAAAGATATCAAATGACCTCACGGAACTCTACTTCTGAAATATTCGTACACTTAGCTGCTTCAAAATGATCACGTATTCTTCGCTTGAAAAATTCACGATAACTGTATTGCGGAAACTGCAAGAAAACACATAAAGAGTTATTGTTTACTATCAAACACAATGAATGATGAATCTAAATGTAATCTTTTAAGATATTCATACACAAAGAATCTAATGGTACATAAATTTACTATCAATGCATACACAAGAGATCTTCAACATAGAAATCAAAATTCTGCATCTGCAACAACATTCACCTCATTATTAACTTAATCTCACATTGAAGAAAATGATGCAAACAGAAGTGTACCTTTAAAGCAGACCGATACAACTGTTTGTAAATACTAAACCAAGAGAATTGCGGAACGCGGCTCATTACCTTTCAGTCATACAGAAAACTTGTACTGAAATTTTTTACTTCTCTATCTTATACTTCCTTCTCCCTTTCTGTTGCACTACTTTCAACTCTTGCATTTCTTCCCTAATCACTACTAACCTTCTTTTCTCTCTCGCACATATATCTCTTAAACTTTCTACTGCTTCAATACTTCCCCGTCTCTTTTTATACTATAATCATTTGCAGTTTGCTACCGCTATATGCTAATCGTTAACATTACTTATTCTTTATCGTTGTGAATTGAGCACTGCAGCACAAAACTTTTGACGTGAGATGGCGCTAATGTTAGCAAACACTTCAGAAGAACAGTGGTTATTCTCAATTTTGTCTAGTAGATAGTATGCAGTCTTAATACTGGCATTTACCTGAGGATTGTTACCTGGAAATGAATAAGATTCTGCTTTTTTTTAAATCAGGAATGAACATCCAAAAGTGCATTACCCTTTGTACTTAAACACTTACTACATCTCTCTTCATATAGTGTGAGGATCACAATTCCATACCACTTACTGCATCTACCCTTCATAGCAATGTACACAGCCACCGTGCATGGTTCTCATCGTCATTGCATAACTTTACACAACAGCCATTCAATTCTCAATCATTTCGTAAAATCAATAGACCATCCGAATGCAACCATTACTCTGGCCATCTCTTAGTGCATGCATTTGCATGGCCCTGGAGATGAGAAATGAATAAATGACCACATACTGCAATGCGATGTCAGTGTCTCAATCTCTTTTGATGTCAGAAACATTGAAACTTTTTTATTCCCGAAGAAATTGAAACTATACTTCAAAGACAATAATTTTCCGATACATAAGCATCCTTTAAGTCTTTGAGATGCAAATAATGAAATATTATAAATAACACCCATAAATTCAAAAACAGAATGCAAACCGCTGTTAACAATCACTTTTGATTAATATGAATGACTGACTTACTGTAACATTAAAGCTCACAATTTGTATCTAAATTTGCCAGGAAATGAAATATCATCTCTTTCAGCCGAAAACCACTAGAGCTTAAATTAATTTTAAAAATGTCGCATTAAATGATTATGTACGAGTGACTTTGCAAGTCACATAATGCATACTGGAGATCAGAAGTTTTGTGCACCAATAAATAAGACATGACAAAGAAATCTCTGAATTGAATTACAACGATAGTCATATAACAAAATAATGGTCGTAATATTTACAGTGTGCTTTACTGATAATAGAAATGCATACACGTACATACAGTCATTTTCCTAGTCTGAAATTATAAGCATATGAAATAGAGGTAGAAACATATATTTATTAAGTTATCATATACTTTGCTTACAACGACACTGATAAAACACTTTTGTATCTTAAAATATATAAATAAGTGAATGGATGAATCCTTAGAGAATATTTCAGAAAATTCGTAAAACTAAAAACTTTTATAAACATGAATCCAGCAAGTAAAATTACCAATTGATTATTATAACCATCATGACATAAGCTGATAACTCTGCGATGTAAACAAATTAATTTCTGGTCTACGTAATCTAAAAAACTAAATAAGCAATCAATACTTTCAACATTTAGTGAAATACGTTCTCAAATAGATGTCTGTCATATTGCAACATTAAATAATTAAAAATAACCATGAAGAAAATAATACATGCGTTAAGTTGGTATCAGGACTCAAAACCAGGTATGCAGGCACGGATTACAGCGTGCCAGATTTTTTTCTTTGTAAGCGGTGCGTGTTAGCGTAGCAATATATTCCGCCAAGCTTTTAACTTTGAAGAAATCTGAAAATGAATATTTCTAGAAAGGAACCTGATGTCATTTTAAGAAATGAGCCTCGAACGAGTGAGAGTATCAAGCAAGAAAATATTAATCAACAAATGCGGAGGCACTTACAAACTAGTCTACTGTTCGCGTAAAATTATTAAAAAAAAAAATTTAAGAATCCAAATATTAGTACCATCTAGCCTGTTTTCTATTTGATTTACAGCACTCTGAGACGACGCGACTGCTTCTGACACAGAAAGTTTGGTTTGTCGCGCAAATGTATTCCATAGAAATAGATGGATGTAATTACTGATATTTTGCGAGCGAAAACACTGAACTGCAGCAACCATTGAGCAATTGTAATGACCTAAAGATAGCAGCTAACAGAAGCTAAGAAAAATGCGTTAAAATATTCAGTAATAGAAGTAAAAAAAAGAGTTCAAATATTTCAGGCATCCAACAGTTTAAAAAAAATTTTTTCCATAACATATATTAATAATTAATATGAACACAACCTTCTAATGAAAGAGCAAGAAATTTGTGCAAATTCGATGACATTCGATAAGGAACAATTTGATCAACTTTCAATTTCACTGAAATTAAAATCATAAAAATGTTTCATGTTCTTGTAGCGTTAAAAAGCTTAATAATTTACATCTTACGGACATTCCCTGAAGATGACATTAAAGTTGTCTGAAAGGTCTTTGTAACACAAGAATCCATTACCAATACAGTAGCAAAAGTGACTAAAGGAATGATCTCTTGAGGCAAGCTTACTAGTTTCAGCTTCCAGCCTAAAACAATAATCTAAACACGATGTTTGTCCAGTATTCATATTTATGAAAAGACTGTGCAACCTTGCAGGACTGAGATGAAGGACATGTTCGCAAATTGAAAGCAAAGACATGCTTAAAGCAACCTGTAAACGAAATACGAAAAGATAAAAGACAAGAAATGAATTAATTAATTACAATTAACCCTTGTTTCTCCACTTGTCAATAACTAGACAATTATTTGTAATTATTTTCACAAAACAGGAAATTTTCTATGAATGACAGAAATTCAGCCTTCTGAAGATCTTTTCAGTCATTTGAATATAAGATCTAGTTTACCAAACTGTGCAAAAATGGTTCAAGCCCAGACTAGAGTATTATGACATATCGTCGTACTACGAAGCAATCCAAAAAAGCATCAGTTATATATTTCGATAACATCAAATACAGACCTGCTTCCTAAAGATGTATAAGTGAGTAGGATTTTCAAAGCGAGGAGTGACCCATTTAGATAGTGAATCTACTGGTAACATATCTCTTGAAATGATATGATGAAATACTTTTAGCTTCTTTTGATCAGTCACAGCACCCGATTTTGAGATATTATCATAAAATCTGTAAAGGAAACATATGGACTCAAAATACAAGAAAAAATGATGAATTCGGTTAGAAGTGAGAGAAATTTATTTCAGATCCTAATTCAAATACCCTGCATTAGCAGAGAAATAATTCCAATAAATTTCAGTTAAAAACGATACATGGTCTCACTAGAATTTCATAATTAAAAAAAAGTTAACATGAGTAAAATTGAAAGTTCCCAAATCTCTATCTTGATTAAACTGGCATAAATTACAAAATTCTAAAATGCATACTAACCTTTGAATTAATTTGATTGAGGAATTAATTTCGGCATTTTTTGTCAAAATTGCATCGAGGATATATTCAAAAGAGTACAACGAATTAATTTTGTTGGTACACTGCATTAATGATACGTTACCAATATATGCAAAATGAGGTACTGTTAATTGCAGGAATCTACGACATGTTTCCTTAAAAAAATACGAAAAAAAAGTGAAGATGGTATTTTATATCCACTGAAAGAATAAAAAACTATAAATATTAATGGCTAATGCAACTAAAAGCATAATAAAATAACAAAACTACTAAAAATGTAACAAGACAATCTTCATTTTCAGTTAAAGTTAGAAATACAAGAGATGAAATAATCAAGTCCTGAAGCGTTTCAAAAATGATCGTTTAAATGTTAAACCTTTTCCTTCGTAAGAAAATGATTGATTAAAGCAAAAAGCTGATGCAATAATGAAGCGGTGCGGTTGGTATCGTAGCACTTATTTAAATAATAATAATACACCTGAAAATCTGTTACATTTTCGCAAGCTAAAAACGATAGACAAAAAATCATTGCCTTTTTGCAATACAACAGTGAAAATAACTTGAAATAGCTTCCCTTTTATGCGTCACAACAATACTTTATTCTTTAATGACGCAATAACATGATTAAGCTCTTTTAATGACAAATAAAAATTCCAAAATAACTAATAAAGTAATTCACGATTAAAACATACCCTTCCACTGAGAGCACGAAATGAAATACGGCGAGAAACTACGTTACCTTGACGAACAACAAAGTAATAAGGCATAAAACGGTAGATAACTGTAGAAAATGCCCTACTCTGCAACATGAGATGCAATATAACAGAGATATCTAGTAAAATTTTGGAATAAAAGGATAAAAACAAGTAGAAAATTAGCTCGAAGCAACTCAGCTGAATACTTAGTTAATGCCTAAATAATGTATAAAATTAATTAATTTAATTTTTACAGCTGAAACCAATTAACATAATTGAAACATGCAGGATGAGATTCTGCATTTAGTTATCAACTTTTGATAAAATTTATGCTATATAAATATCAAACATTTAAAAACAAATACCTTTTCCGTAAAATGCCCGCTAAAAATCTCCATATTGGCAATTCTACAAGAATAAGAAGCAAGAATTGGACTCATGTTTCGCATTAATTTCTTGCTAAAAATATAGATCATAATTCTAGGTGCGACTATAGAATCTACTTTGACTTCCTATTTCCATGTTGTGCTTAACTCTTGTCTATTCTAGAATAACTTTGCAACCACATTACAGAAATAATTACAAAAAGAAGCTCCATGCTACCTTTGTAATCCATCAAATTTCTGAACCAGTAGTTCTGTCCACTTTACAATAGTACTTATTAATGATAATAATCTGCTGTTTCTTGCTTTGTGAATATCGAAATCAGATTCCATTTTTCGTGCACACTCTTTAATATCCTGCAGCAAAATGAATTTAATATTCAGAAATTTGAATAGCTCAAATTTACTGCGAACAAGAACAGTGTAATTCAGAAACTGATGAAGTCAGCAGAACTGATATGATTTGATTAACTGATTATGTGTAATGATATTCTCACAGATATATACTAAATAAAGAAAAACATACTTCAGTGACATCGTCAAAACCATCGAAATTTTTTAAGGAACATCGCCAATTATTAATGTCTGTGCACAAATCAGTAGGAATTATGGCAGATGATATAGAACTAGTATTGGCATATGCAAATCTGCAATTTAGTATCTTACTTGAAATAGTCAATTAAATGAATGAAAACATACACACGAATAAATAAACAAATTAATAAAAGTCTTCCAAATAAAAATTTATACTTCAACAATCGCTCCTTTAAAAGGTCCATCATACGCAGGGTGTGTTCCAACCAATGTTCTTTCACATTGTTTAGTTCATTAAACAGACGGCAAAGCGATGATATTTCAGCAGGTCGATGTTGAAATAATTTTTTCATTATATCACGCAACAACTCTTGTGACGAGACAGGTTCATTTTCCGAATTCTCCGAAGGCTGCGTGGCTGAAAACATCAAGAGAGCATAATCAGTTTTCTCACAAATATACAATATCATGATAATTACAGATTACACAGACTAATAAAATTTAATAGCGAATTCAGACAATACTGCAGTATTGATATAGCTAAATGACCATTTAATATTTTGTATCCATAATCATAAAAAATATATACAACTCCTTTTATCATCCTGAATTTCTGATGTATTATTTCGCGAAATGTTGTCATGAAGCATTTGAAGAGCATTCTCGGATTGGTCAACAGGAAACAGATTGTTATTAGCTTAATACGATTAGGAGAAGAGAAATATGCTATGTGACACAAACTAATTGCTTACTGCGAGTCTCAACTGCTGAAAAATAAGAAGTTTTACCAATGGAAATGCTATTGCTAATAAAATCAAGTGGCATTGTAGCAGCAAGAGCATAGAAAACTTGTTGCTCATTGGATTCTCCAACAGATTCGATGATATGAGCAACTGCAGTCGAAGGCCTTATCTTTAGCTCGTCGATCAACTGTGGCAGCCTAGAATCGACATTAAAACAAACTTCCAATATGTTCAAAGCAAAAGATAAGGGATGCATTCAGATTGACAAATAAATGAATTAGTTCATGGGGGTAGTATATATTAGCATAAACTAGCATGTATGAAATCCACTTGAAAAACTGTCATTATGATATACATATGCATTTTCATCAAAGGAGAAAGAAATATCATTTTCGTTTGCATTTGACATGACAACAATGTCAAACTCTCACAAGGAATTAGTAAGTTACATAAGATGCAATAAAAAACTATTTATATTAAAAATAACCATGGAAGCCAGTTGTTTGACGGTATAGACTTTCCATACTTTTCTATCAATTCATCCATTTTTCCTTCTACTTTTTTTCCGTATCCACATAGTTTCTAAATAAGTGTTTTCAGTAACTTTATCTATTTTGACTCAAAACACAAATGAAAAAAGCCCCTTATTTTCATCAAAACAAATGCATCTTTTCTCATAAAATGAACTTCAAGTAACAGAAAAGTAAAAATCAACTTTCATAAGCCACAGCAGTCGTGCACAATATTTCCTTGCTTTATGTTCACTTTCTACTTTGACACCCTCCAATAAACCACTCAGTGCTCCCATACCAGTACTTAACGCAGCTTCTTCAGTGCTAAACATTCAATGCATGATTTTATGTGAATTACCAAAATAAAAGAGCAGAATTTTTCAGTGCCTGAAAAAAATCCCAATCATACATTAGGATTTCGTCATAAAATCACTCCTTACAGTACAAAAAATCGCGGCTGCACTTCTCTTCAAAATTACTTAACACTAGCTAAAAATATGAACGAATATTTCAAACTACTTTTCATTATCTAACTGGTTTTCAAGATATTGAGCCCAGTGAAACCAGACGGAATATCCACTGCCAACACTTTCTTGTAGTGAACCAGCAATTTGAAATGAACGATTTGCATCTCTATACCTTAAATTTGTGAAATCGTTAACGTTTGTAAATATAATAGTAATAAGAGTATTCTTATCTACACAGAGAGAAATAATAATGGAAGAAGCATAGAAACGAAATGGTATCTACGGCTAGCACTCTGGTAAAAAGCATATAAAGATAAAAAAACCTGACTTTTCTAATTCTGCTAAAATTCTTCCTCGGAGAGCATAGAAACTGGCTAAATTCTCTCTCGTAAAAGACCGAACAGATGTTTCTTGTAACAAAACAAATGCATCTGTTAATATATCATGTTTCTCTTTTTTCGTTACGAAAGGCAAAGACGCTCGTTGGATCAAGCACTTCATGAGTTCTTTTACTGATTGATAGGCATCTACAGCTGGCAACACTGGTAACGTGTGCATCCTTAACAGCATAATTTATGCTTAAACATTGCAAGAGTAACTAATAAGGTATGTGGATAAGTCTACTACAAAACATTTTAAATCTCAGTAGTTAATAAAAGCAGAAAAATTCCTGAAGCATAAATCTAAGTAATGTTAATTATATAAACATTAGAAACTACTATTCTGATCATTCTTTACCTGTAGAGTTTGTTAAATGCAAGATCTAATAATCCAGCCTTACGAGCTGCACGAGCCATCATAAGCTCCGACTGCGCTGCTGAATACACAGGAAGTAATTTTTGCTGCGGTGAAACCAGTTTATGCTGCAAAAAAGCTCGTCAGGAAAATTCTTTCCATATCTTTGAATAAAATTCAACAAAAGTATTGCAACTCTGCAGACATCATTCTAATTGTATAACTTTGGTTTCCATAACTTTTTTAAATTTTCATCTAGCTGATATATAGTTCCGCAATACTACCTAAACAAAATGCTCATTTCTAAAATAAAATGGAAAGCATAACGATAGACAAAACGAACATCATCGACACTTTTCAGCAGGTTGAAAAAATTGCTTAAGTGATGAATACGCCAATGATAAATATCACCAAAAAATGATACAGGATCTGATAGAGAATAAGAACGACTCCTATAAACAAACAAACTGAAGCGATTTATTTTACATAGTACACTAAAAATTTTGGATTCATATACATTTATTATAGTCTTCACTAGAATCAATTAACTTACTTCCAATTTTTTAGCACTATCTTCGTTTCAAGAACAGGATTTGATGATAGTGACGTCTGACCACTAATTTCTGATTGATTAGCAAGTACACTCGCCTCGTGTACTTCCTGAATTATATTTGATGCCTGAAAGAGTGCATAGCATATCGGTACTTAATGACTTGAAGTACAACACAGAATATAAAAAGTTTGGAGCCAAATAATCACTGAATGATGAAGATTGCATGAATTAATTCTTTTTTCACACATAGAGCAGTTAAACAATGAATTTTTATATATAAACCAATTATATATATATAAGAAAATTCTTTCCATATTTTTGAATAAAATTCAACAAAAGTATTGCAACTCTGTAGACATTATTCTAATTGTGTAACTATATTTAGGTTCAAGTTTGAATGGAAGATAAACGAAAAAACCGAGTCTGGAATCGTGAAAACAAATGGAAAATAGGCGAAGTTGTTAAAGAAAGCCCCATGAAGGACATGGGATTGCAAGAAAAAAATTAACGACCTACTGAACATTATATATATATACATATATTGCGCTTCACTTTTTGAATGAGTTGTAATTAGTAAGATGTTGATAAGCACACTATGAATAGAAAAAAATTTATTGTTCACCACCTGAAGTATGTTGACATGGCTAAGAGAAACAATATCTGGAAGTCGTTTCCACTGTGCCACCAGAATATCTCTAGCTTCTTCCAGTTCTTTGGTTATTTGGTCACGAGCAGTTTTCGTAGTGAGATCATCTTGTTCAGCTTCATTATTCTCAAACAAGCAAATATTCTAAAATCGTTTGAATAGTAAGAAAAAGTTATGCTAAAATAGATCTTGTGATACGACATGAATTTGAAGTGAGTTTAAGCGCTAAAACCCATGAAATTGATCAAGAAACCATGAATAAAAATTTGAAATAAATTGTTCCTGTGTTCCAAGTCTTTATACTTTACTTCTGACTCTTGCACTACGAGGTTCACAAAAGATCACTAGAATAGAGATGCTATAATAATGCAAGAAATTACGTAATAACAAGACCGACAAAATCTAGCACAAAGTTCCTAAAATTTATAATCAGCCTTTTCAAGATTTTAACAATAATTGAACGTCAATAAAATGTAATGCTAAATTTTGAAGTAAATTAATTAAAATACCTGAACTTTTCATCATTACCCACCCAATTTGCATAATAGCAAAAGTTTTGGAAAGGAATTTCAAGAAAAAAAATGTAATCAAAATGGAAATGCTCAACATGGTAATTTGCAAACTTCACTTAAAATGGACTGAATATTCACCATGAGCATAGCTTTGTAAAGATTATATTTATAGTACAAATCTGGCCGTGTACACCCTTCAAACTCAGTGAGAGTCGACCGCAGTAAATCCCACTCTCCAAGATGCCACGCGACATCTGCTACTGTATTAAACTCACGAATGACTGGAGCATTACCAAAAAGCAACAAAGCGTCCCACTCTCCTAACTCACGTTCGCACCTGAAATTTACAAATTTCCGATTACGGCTTCAAATAATGTGCATGGTAGTAAATGCTAGTAAACCCAAAATGGTTTTTCAATTAATATAAAATCTCAAATTTCTATTTTTCAAATCCAAGAATTTTTTTTGCATATTAATTATACACAAACAATGATATATTTTAATTCCTTTCGATTTGAAAAACATAGATCATAAGTCTAACTCAATCCACAGTTTTTGCCACTCTCGCAGTTCAAAACTAAGTGCAGGAGTAACATGAACTTGTCGATTGATGATACCAGGACTGCTACGATTACTGAACGCATCAATCGAATTTCTTAAAATCTCTTCTGCTTTTACAAAATCGCCTAAAATTTTTTTGTCGAGACAAAACAATTACTAGCAATAAGCAGATAAAAAGTATGAAATGAAAAATGCAGGGCAAAGATTTTTTAGAACACTAGTGCATATATGATGCACTAGTGTTCTAAAAAATTGCATCACTGCACTATTCAATGCTGAAAATTTTGTATAGAAGTTTGTGCAAAACTTCCTACAACAAAATTACACGCAATAATTTTTTGTTCTTCTCTCTCTAAATTACTTCACAAGATATTTATTATGCAAATAGAACATTTCCCAATAACTTTTAGTGATTAGAAAGCATTGAAATATTAACTCCTATCTTTCAGTAGGTGCAAGATTCAGAAAATATTAGACAAAATAACTAACCTTTATTGTAATATTCAATAGCTTTCGAAGTATCATTGAAATAAGCACGCTTTTTCCAAACTGCATAATATTGATCAAACTCAGATAATACAGAATAGCATATGATCAAGTTGTTCAGCGTTACCTGAATTACCGCTCAAGAAAGAAACTGGAACCGATTTACCGAATATAATTAAAGAAAACAAGTGTTTAAATTACAAACCAACTGCGTATTTGTTCGATCTACCCTTGAAAATTGTCGTAATGCCTCATTGTTGGCGAATGGCGAAATATCCGAAGCATCTTCTTCAAGCATCAATAACCCACGATGCCATGCACAATGTCTTATTAATATATACTGAAAATCAATGACAAAGTTTTTTTTTTGCATGGTAGTTGTACACATACAATGATATATTTTTCTTATTTGTGATTTTAATCAAATAGCGAATGACTTGACACTTCAAATTTAAATGATGCTCATAATGCTATGTGATTAATAGTAGCAAGGATAAATACAGAAAAATTATCCTTATATAGTGGTCTGCTTAAATTATTTCTAGAGAAATAATAGACGTAGTTAGATACCAACAACACATTCGGATGAACAAAGATACGCGGTTGACAATGATAAATAGCTTCCAAGAAGACAGCCAATGCGGAATGTGGTAGATCAACTTGTGTAAGATGAGATCCAGATGTGAGGAATGGCATTATTTCAGCCTCAAGACTGGTACGCTCAAAATCACTCATATTCGACCACAACGATGGAAACAACTGTATCCAAATTTTTGATGCAAGTTCAGTACCTTTGAATTACGGAATTAGTTTTTTTAGTAACCAAAGCAAAAAGATAAAAATACTTTTACTTGCTGGTATTTTTTATTTTTTTTTTAAATTTAACTCCGATATTTTATGCATTATGCATTTTGAAGCAAAAAGTTATATGAGTTAATCAAATATAAAATGAACTTGTATCAAAAATGTGATGAAAACCGAAATCTCTATTTCCAGATATACATTGATTCAAAGACTAACATACTATTATGAATAAGTTCTTCATAACTTGGAAGAATTTCCATAGCTTGAAATTTTCCAGCCATTTCCAACAACTGAACTTCTTGTTCAACAATTAAAGCAATTTGAAGATCATGTGCAGTTACAGAACTACAAACTGGTATGTTTACTTCTGAAAAAAAGATAAAATTTTGTTGAAAGCAATAGAAACAACTGCCTCAATATATAATTTCACGGGTATGAAGTGCAAAAAGAGATCACATTATAAAAACCTGATAACGTCTGAGCCCCAGAATGTTCAGAGAAATCTTCTCGCTTGCTTTCCGTTACATTTTGGGACGAGAACACAGCGTCATTATTTCCATCATGTTCTCCGCCATGGTCGCGACGGAAAACTTCAAGATCGAGCGTTTTTTCAAATGTATGCCAAAGAGTAAAGCAATTTACTAAGACAGTCTGTTGGATTTTAGAAGACATTTTGTGTTCATGTTTATTCCTTATCAAGGAGAGCAAAAGCTGAAAAAAAAATGAGCATGAAAATTTTCAGTTAATTAATGAATGGCTCAGAGTTTGCAAACACCAAAACTCCGCTCCGTGTAATGACATTCGAAAAATGAATGTAAGCAACGAAAAATATATTTCAACTAAAAACAACTTACGGCAATGCAGTGTTTGATCCAAAAAGTTTGTTGCATATATGCCCAATTCTGTGATGTTAAGATACAATATAAGCGGTCGCAAACATTGTCCGGAAACTGTCTATCAAACAATTTGAAGAATTTGGAGCGTAATGATTCATCCTACAAATTAAATAAATAATTGATCATATAGTTCCATACAAGTTCCTAATAAATGGGAAGAGTCTCCGCAGTTTAAAATTTTTCGGCCATTTCGAACAACTGAGCTTCTTGTACAACAATTAATTTGACAAGCACCGATGAAATCATAAGAATCTTTTGATTACATCTGCTTATAAATAAATAAATATGACTCTTTACAACCAAGATCCTTACTTATCTTTTAATCATAAAGTAAATTTCATTAAAATATGAAAATTTTAAATTTGCCTGGGAACAGAGTCCCCAATAAAAAGCATTGTTAAGTTTTGATAATGTTTCACTAGTCTGCAAATGTGATGTATCATAAACATATAGAACTGTTTCAAGCAATGTCTTCAATAAATCTCCTGATTTCTCATGACGCTTATGCAACTCCATTGTCTCCACCAATCTTATTAATAGAGGTACACCTTGATTGAGTTGATTCTGAAAATAAAATTAGAGAAATTCATTCTCTTCCCATTTGATGGATCATACATTTTGATACACTACACAAAATGATTTAAATATCATGACTAAATCTTGATATTGCACGTATCATTACAAAGCTTCCGTCATTTTATACTATAATTAATAGCTTGTATATGGTACAATTGAATTTATTCATTAGATAAGCTAATTAATTTAATAAGAAGGTTAAACTTCTCTCTTGATGTGATTGAACCTTTAAAAAAATGCTGGCTTGGCAGCAAATTGAAAAGCTTAATTGATACCAACAGATACTGTCAATTATCTCTCACATCTGTACTCGAAATATATTCATTTTAATTAGTCAGATAACAAATTTTAAATGAACCTCATCTCCATTACGGACCATAATGTCAACAATACGAATTACAATATCAATAACACGATCGAAAAGAGTTTTATCAATCAGCGGTGCTAAAATACATTGTCCAATATTACGTCGAGTGTCGGGCGATAATGCATGTATGCGCGGCCGAAGAAGCTCCAGTGAGAAAATTATCAACTCTGTCACAGCATGTCCTGAAATTGATGCCTTACTGATTTTTAAATTCTAATCATAATACAAAGAGATAAAAACATTTAAACAGATTCCATCAGTAAAAATAAGACTTTACATGTCTGTTCTTCCAATCATTAATAACAGCAGAAAAAATTAAGGCATGGTACTACTATAAATTCATTAACAAAACAAAAACAAAAATGATTCACGAAATATTCATTTTCCTTTTAAAATAAGACCTTTATTTTCAGTGCATGAAATGATATGTTCACGCACAAGTTTTTGAACTGTTTTAATGAATGGACTCAAACACGTTTTATCGATATACGCTGGTTGAATAAAACAAATAGTGCGTAACAAGTGGATTGCTGTAAATACGCCGGCCATTGGTTGACCCTGATTTCTGAAACTGACTTTCTAATATTTCACAACTTTCAAGAATTTTATAAAGAATATTACAGAATATCAACGGTTTCAATTAAGTACGAATTGATAATCATCATAAAATATTTTCCAAATGCCTGAAAAATAATCATGCCTTATACAGATTTTCAATATCAATAAAAATGATGCACAGCACTATAATATAGACATCCCTAGTCTTACTTATCATAGTTGTTGAAAGTGTCATTGATGAATCTTGTGATATACTGATTAATAGTTTCCAAATCCAGCAATCCTTCGGGTGAACACTTTGTTCTTTCAAACAATTTACCAATTAATTGGCAGAAACTCCTCATTACCTTTAAATTCAGTTTGATCACCGATTTATCAATAATTACAGTAAACTATATAATATGATTAAATATGAAAAATAATTGTTAAATATGATTGCTAAAACTTACTGTGTTATCCTGACAATTTAAGCAGGCAATTATTCCACGCTGCAACATTTTCACATTCGGGACAATGACTTCCGGCGGCTGGAAAAATTATAATAGTTTCTTTTCATCGACGTGTAATGTACAAATTAAAGAGAAATTTCAGCAGCCGTGCAAAAAACGTAGAAACAAAAAATTAAGTGGCAGAAGTGATTTTATACATACTGTATTTTCATTTTTAAGCTAGAATTCATAGCAGTCAATATATGACTTTAACTTCAAATTTTTAGAAATATACCTTTACAGTTCTAGGTCATATTTAAGACTATGAAGGTATATTTTTACAATTTCAAAGTTAGATTCATGTATCGATTGCTGTGAATTCTGGCTCAGAAAATGAAAATACAATTAGTATAAAACGAGTTTTACCATTTAATCAGCTAGAAGTTCAAAAGTGTGTTATAGGACAAACAAAGTGAAAAAAGAAGCCAAAATTGAAATGTGATGAAAAACTATATATTGTATAAAAACTTTTTTAAGCTCTACTGGTAGACAAAAAAGTAATCACGAACCAAAATTGAAACAAGATGCGCAATTACATCAAGTGATGACTGTAACACCGAAAGATGATGGGCTACTGCATTTTGTTCTCGAAATTGCTGAGTTACTGCTTCTGCTGCCACTGTCATTTGTTTCTCAACCCTAAAAATATTTTAATTGTTGATTCATTCTATTTCGTGACATAAAATACCAGACAATCAAAATAATTGAGTTTTTCAGAGAGCTAAACAAAATGATGCATCAGCATGAAAATCCTGTCGTTCAATTACCAAGCAAATTTGAAGTTCACAGTAAGTCCCCAAAGGTTACTTTTCAGACAAGCTCGCAGCAGACTATAACATCGTTTACCGAGTTGCTCCACAGCTAGAACATGCTGATTTGGACTGGGCGTACAATACTGCAACTTTTTGATCCCACATTCAGCAATTATTTCAATTAATGGGAATTATTAGATTCCGCTACAGGTCTGACATAATTAAAGAAATGTTTTAAGTCAAATTAAGTATATGAAGATGATAATAATTCAAGAAATGCAATTAATAACTACATCAGAAGACGACGACAATTTGAGAAGCATATTTACAACATGATCCACATGTGACTGGTCGATTGGACGATGTATCTAGAAATTGCCAAACCAAAGTAGTCTCTTTAAATCAACTCTACAGTGCATGCTTCGCTCATTAGATATACAAATTTAACTTATAAATTTTAGAGATGTTCCAAAAACATTTTTTCATTCTGATACGCAAAAATAAATAATATAAATTTAATTCATCAAAGAAGTACATTTTCTGCATCCATGTTCTTCACAAGGGATGATGAGGACTGTTGCTGCGATGAAGAACATTTTGCTAAATTTGCTTCAGATAGAGACTGCTTACTAGCTTCCGACCTCCTTTCCTGAAACTTAATACCGTAAACTTTTACATGTACTAGTGATCACGTAAAAGGATTTCTTCCTAATCACTATGAAATTACATTCTCAAAGTACCATGTACTTTTCAATACTGCAATTTCAATTTCGATCTAGTTGCAATCCTTCCAAAAAAAAGTACCAAATCCTCGATCTGTTTCAGCCGCCATTGTTCCCATTTAATAATCATTTCACACACATCAATAACAACTCTTCGATGTTCTATAGTACACTGCCCCATCAACAAACGCTGAACTCCATTTAATATCACTTGAAGCATTTGATGACGTACATCGTAGTAAATCTTGTAATGACGAACTATCATTGACCTGAAAATATTTATTCAAAAATGAAATAGAAATTTTTTAAATTTAAAACATGAAAAACAATTAAAAATTTAGTGTCAACTCACAAACAGTGATAAACTTGAGCAACATTATGACCATCTTCTACTAGTGTTTTCTTGACAATGGACAGCAACTGCTTATGACCATCATCCATACGTAATGGCACAGAAGGAGTCAATATATCAAGTGATCGTTTTATGATTTCTTTTGGGTCAATAACGGTTGCATTGAGTAGACTAAGAAATACCTGCAAAAGTTAAAAAAATTTACTAGAATTCGTTTTAATTAGTGTAAATAGATTAATGAGATCAAATAGTTATCATCTAAATCATCTGGCCGCGCCGGTATAAAAAAAACTCGTGTTCAAGATTCATTTTAAAATAAAATCTTAAGCAAGCTTTAACATTGAAAATCAAAATTTTTATATCTCAAATAACCTAAGATTAAATTGTAGTAATTCCATTATCTCTCAGAGAAAAATGATAATTAGCTCCTTTTCACAGAATTTAAATAGCGATGGAATTGAAATAAGAAAATGAAAACATCAAAAGAACCTGTAAAACTATCTTTCGATTAATATTAAATTGATTGATGATATTAGCAATCAGCAAATGACCCATATATTTCATTGTTTGGTCTTGTGATGTTGACGACAAACATGGCCAACCCAAAAGCATTAAAATACGTAGACGATTACCTTGCTTCCTGCAGTCTCTGACATAACAAACAAATGATTAATTGGATCAGTTTTCATGATTTTTGTATAACAAAAATTTAGACTATTTGTTAAATCAATAAAAATGTTTTCCACTTAAATGAATGAATAAAATACAAACTTTTGTGAAAAATCGTGTATGTGAGTTGGACAGTTGCTAACAAATAAGCATCCCAAATGAAACAACTGAATAAGCATTGCATCGCTCATGTGAAATCTATTTCGATCGAGAACTTTCTGGCAGATTAATGAAATCAAATTGTTATCATCTACATCATCTGGCCTCGCCGGTGTACCAACTACCTAAATCATGGAAAAAATTTTCTTGTGCGCACAGACTTTTGTATACATCTTTTTTTCAGGGATACAAAGATGTATTTACTCCTTTAAACAATGCCATATATTTATTTTCAAAGAGTTCCGCATATATCTGGAAATAAAACTGAAAAAAAAATAACCATATCAGCGTCGTAACGCTCAAACGCATAATGTAATGAAGGGATTACGATATATTGCAACATTTTAACAACATTTGGGTCACGTGCAGTCGCTGGATCTTTCTCGAACTTTTCAACAACGAGTTTTAACGCATTTTGTCGCCATTCAATAGGATACTTCTATACGTAACAAAAATTAAACTAATAAGAAAGAAACAAATCATTATGAAATAAAATCAGGAACAGTGAAAATCAATCAAGTTACTGAGTTACCTCTCTAAATACTCTAATTTTTTCATTTAAAACTTTCAGTATAATCTATACTATATTACTGAACAAAAAGTTTTTATGCCTCGATTTAATGGATTATAAAGTGTTCATATTTTTGAATGACAAGTTTACTAAATTTTTAGTGAAAAATTTACCGGTACAATTTCTTTTTCAATGAATAATCTGAGAAATGTGAAATCACCAACATAGTGACTTGAAAATACATAGCAAAGGTCGAAAATAATATCGATTCGATCAATGTTCGCTCTGCATTAAAAACTCAGTTCACTTTTAGGTAAAGGTAAAAAAGGAAGGATATAAAAATAAACAAAGCATAAAAGAAGTAGAAATTAGGAATTAGTGCACCAATGATTAAGATGTAAAAATTACTTGAAATAACGCAACATGATCAGCGCAGCTAATTTGGGAACATCATAACGCGATCCTTCCAAATAATCCTGAAATGATAAATAAAGTTTTTGAACTACACATCAATATGTGCAAAAAATCCCATAAATATCAAGTCCTTCAAACATTTTTCAAGGATTCCTTTATTCAACTGCTACACTAGACACAAAAGTATTGATGAAACATGGAACCCAATTAAGATAAGAAGGACGAGGAATAAAAACAACAAACATATAACACTTTTTTGAGCTGAGTTGAATCAATAATCAAAAATATAAATTAAAAACATCTATTTCAACGTTTACCTTGGAAGAATATCGAGTTCGAAAACTTCTATCATTCCATAATGCTTGTATAGCTATAACAATATCACCAATACCTTTTTCAGCCCAGTTATAATGATGTTTTCCAATACTAATGGTTAATTTCATAGCTAACATTTCCATTTGATAAATTGATACATTACATTTCATCCAACTTTTGTTCTCACTCTATAATTGAAATAAAGAGAATAAAGCATGTGGGATGAGTGTGATAGAATTACGAAAATTAATTTTGAACAACAAAAATCATGATTTTGAATTTAAACATGTATAAAAACAAATCTCAATCGAATTTACTCAAAAACTAACCAATGCTTCTCCATGTAATATGTGAAGAATGTAACTGCTATTTTTCATAAGTTTAGCTCGAAGCGCTGTAGCTTTCTCATGTTTCACTACATGCTGTAAAAATATTGGACTAGATACAAGAAACTATTTTCCCCCTAATTTCTTCATTTGTTTGATTTGTAAATATGTCTAAGCATTTTTGCCAGTACTATTTTTTCAGCTCTCAATTCTGCAAGGAATAAAAAATATTAAAATAAAAGTAATATTCGAGAAAAACTGAGTAGTCACCTCAGCCATTTGCAGTATACATCTTTATATACATGTACTTTAAGAAACTGAAAGTCAAAGAAACCTTGAAAAGTTCCCGATGTTCTTCCTTACAAATATTAATTCTCGAGACAAAGAAATGAAGAGTTTCGGAAGGGAATCGAATTAAATACTTAATTAATGGATGTCGCCAACTTGTACTTGTCTATAAAAAAGTAATGAAAATAAAAAAAACTGTAGTGCCAACTGGAAAGTAAAACGAATCTTATTTTACAGCTTATTTATAGTCTAATCTGAACCAAACCGATTACATATTCTTGAAATACGAACATAGTTTAATACGAATTCAGAAAACATCACGAAGAAATTAACAACTTTCATTTTCTTTTACTTTTCATCTAGTTTTGCACTTGAAAGTTTAAAGACTTACTCAAGCTAAGCGTCATTAATATAAACAAAAAAATGTTTTCAGATGAAGAAAACAAAATATCATCACTAGGCTAATAAGAATAAGGTTAGCACGTTTACTGACAATTGATAATTAATCCAGAAAATACGAAAGATTATGAAAACAACGATTACCTCAAAAGATATGACTGCTTCCCATCTACATACATGAGATATTATGAATGGTACGAAACGAGCATCAGCAGAAGAGAATTCTGCTAACACCTCCAATAATATTTGCCCTATTTCAACATCAGTCTTCAAAATAATATTCCGGTTGGAATCCGGAAATTGATGAAAAGTGACCTGAAAATTATGAGATAGACCAAATCAGGCAATACCTTTCTTTTACCAATATTTCTTTACTTAGTCGGTTGCTTGTAAATCCAAATATTTTTCTTATTCCAAGAGCAAATAAAAACATTATTTAAAATTTCGCCAAAATGTTAAAATAAGCGTACTAGTAACTTGTTACAAAATGTCTGTGGGAAAATATCCGGAAATAGTCTAATAAAATAAAGAAGATGCAACGCTCGATGTTTTTGTGAATGGCATTCTGAATGAGATAAAACACTCATCGTAGACTCCAAATCTAATCGCTTTAACTGAGATCGCAATCGTGGTAACATTAATGCCTGCAAATTAAACGTTGACAAATCAGCTTGGAAGAAGACGGCACAACTATTGGATTGAATATTCATTCGACATTTATCCAAGTTACTTAAGAGATAAAAATAAGATTTTAAAATGACTAATCCAACCTCTTTTAACGCGATGAATGCTGTATACTGAATTTTATAGTTTTTTTCTGCAAGACATTTCAGAAGCGTTTCCAATATTTGTTTGTGGTATGGCACCAAAGCATCATTTTCTAAGGATTCTTTTACGTCTTCACACGATGCAATACAGCAAGCTATTAATGCTTCTAAAGTTCCATAACACATTTAATTAATATTGTCCACTGTATGGTGAATTATGAGGAAATATGAACCAATAAATTGAGCGACCGACAATACTAAATTTAAGAATAAAAGTATACTTGAAGTAGAAGTAAAAAACAATATAAATGTATGTAAATCGAACTTATAGAAGAAAGCCGCAAATCAGTGATACGTGAGGTAAATTCTGAACGATGAATGATTGCAAGAAAACGTGTCGATGGCTTATAGTTTGGCCAATTCCTTATTTCTTTTTCAGTAGCATTGCAAATAGACAAAATATAAGAAATGAAGTTGTTTTCGGGAAATTTGTGAAAGACAAATTTCAGTGGTACTGGTTGCATGGAGAAAATAAAAGTAATAGATTCCTGAAACAAATTACGCGGGTAGGAGAGAATCATCTAAATTTGCAACACTACTTTGTTTCTGTCTTTTGAAATAATTGGAATAAGTATTCCAATTTTATGTTTTTGGTGTCTTTAATAATTTATGCTTATATTATTGTAATTACTGAAAAAAGCATAAATTATTAAAAACACTAAAAACATAAAACGATAAACGACAAACAGCCCTAAACTGACTTGTTTGTAAAAGACAGCATGTATAACGTTTTCAATACAGAATTTCAATTATTAATAGGAACAACTATACACACAACAAACCTCGAAAGCAATCTGATGATCAAGAGACATTCTTTTGAAATCTGCCATGCCATTATCAATGAATTTTTTAAGTAAACTTTGATGTAAAGTAACCAGTTCACAGAGAGTAAATCCAGTATAGTTTCCCAATGTCGTAAGCAATTTGTGACACTGCAAACTGAGCGAATTTTTTCACTGATTTATTATATATCACAAGGTATCATAAGACATAAGGTTACTTATAAATCTTCCAAAAATCAACCTCGCGACTAAGAACTTCGGAAGGGCTCTGAAGATTCTCAATAATTCGCTCAACTACACACTCAACGGCTTTCTTCCTGCTTTTACAAATTGCTGAATGCTTAAAACAAACCTGCAAAGAAGAAAATTCAATAAGTTTGATGATGACAGAAAAATGATCACGACATATATGGCAAAGAACATACTTTCAATAGCAAGTGAGATGTAGCAATTGCAACATCAACTGCGGAACTCGAAACATCCTCCAAAAGTCCCATTATAACCTACAGAAAATGTGATTCAACATTGCTTGGAACGTTCACAGAAATTATTATTTGAATCATCGCAATATAAAATGAAATTAAAGAATTACTTCAAATAAAGCGCAAAGTATAACATCGATATTGCGAATTATGAAAGCTGGAGGAAAGTTCATCAAAATATATTTGATACCCAAGCATCCACCAAGCCGAATAGACCATGGTTCATTATAGCAAAGATTTGTTAATCGTTCTAATATTTGTTGAAATAGCCTTGAATTAGCTGCCTACAATGACATCGTCGTTTACGAAAAAGCGGAAAATATTTTCAACTACATATATTGCTTCAAAAAAAAAAAAAATTCAGAAAATGAGCAATAATGGATATCGTGATTTTTCGGGCAGAAAAATATTTGCATACATGAACATCCATACATCAGAAATTTTAAAAACTTTAGTCGCTGAAAGATTAATCAAGATTACTCTTTCATTTTTTCAGCCTTTGAAATACAAAAAAAAAATTTTTTTTACACGCATAATACCTTATCTATGCTGCCGAGCAAAGCTACTGTTGTTTCAAAAATAAATTTTAGTGCTATAAGACTTGTCTGACACACTTCTTTGCAGGGATCAGCTAATGCAAGCAGCACAGTATCAATAAGAACCGTGTATTCTATAAATCTTGAATTCGTATCAAGATCATCACTTGCTTTCTCTGAAATAACTACTACTTTACAAAAAGTCTCATTTTCACAAAAAGAAAATATCTCTTACAAATCATCTCTTGCATACTTTACAACAGTGTCATCAAATATTCCATTTTAAAGTCTTCGAAAACGAATAAAGTACGATTACTAGAATAACTGGCTTAAAAATAGACTAAAAAAACTCAAAAATAAAAAAACCGAGTTATTCAATAAAATTATTAATGAAAAGCTAGCTGACCTTGATATTGTTCAAAAACAATTTGAATCGTTAAGTGCCTTATAACCATTGAAAAAAAATCCATGACATTACTGGTGGCGTCTTGTATTATAGCTGCCGTCGCATCTAAATGATAAAATTGCCAATGACAATTACATTTCCATAACTTTAGGATTTTTTTTACATTTAATTGAACTAGCGATCAAAGAACTCGTTTGAATTTTTAGCATCTAATATATACAAAATCGAAACTCATGCATTGAACAAGACAAAAATTATAAGGCAGAATTTTGTTTATAATGAGGCAATTAGTGTACCAAAATATCTAAAAACTAAAAGCTCACAAAACAACCCAAGTAACGCATCTCGATAAAAACAACGGGAAGACCGGTCATCACAACAAAAAGATGTCATGAAACTGTTTTCTTTCTTTGTTCGCAAACTCTAAAATTTGGTTACACTTTTTATTTGACAACTCAACTTAAATCATAGCTTACATAAAAATATGAATGAGAAATGTGATTTCTGTGATAATGAATTTTAATTTTCTTTCACCGCATTACAATGAGTGAGCAGAATTCTACTATTACTATCTTTTGTTTTGCTTTCATATGAAAGAAAAATATGACAAAGACTTAAATGTTTAATGTAATAAATTCCTGGAAATATTTTTATATTACTTTACTAATATATTTTTTAAATAAATATTAAAAAACAAAAATTATTACCAGAATTTTGTTTGTAAACTGTTTTTTGAAATGAGGGTTCTTCAACAATCCACGTTTAGTAGGTGCCAGACCACTTAAAATAACTCCTTTAATTATTCGAAATGAATGTCGTCGTAAGGCTAAAGAAGAAACTCGTAATCCACCTGGCACAGATTGTGCCGTTGCCATAACAAAGGATGCATCCACCAAGAATGGTGAACGCAAATGCTTCAGCGCTTCTTTCACTACTTCCGAAATATTCAACTCACAGAAAAACAAAGGATAATCGATAGTAGTCTAAAATATAGAAGATCATTTTCGCAACATAATTTTATCGATGCAACTTTAATTTGATGAAGTCCATTCGTTAGTGCACTGAATTCAAAGTTGCTATCTAATTTTAAAATTTAATTTTGATGCGTTAAACAAAGCGATTAGAAAAGCCTTCATATCAATTGGTGATTGATATTAACAGTTACTTAATTATGACGAAGCATGAATAAAAATTTAACTGTTCTACATAACTTGCTTAACTTTTAAATCTCAACGAAAAACTCCTGTCACGAAATTCTTAGATGCACACATAGCGATACTACAAGTACTTATGAGCAAAAGTCAACAACCTGAGCTCCATCGACTGATGGCTGATTATATGCAACATACGCCGATGCAGAACGCTGATACACCAATTTAAACGCTGGTGATGCTGCCTCACAGTTATCTCTATACGCAAGATTTTGTGGGTCAATCAAAACTTTCCGATTCGCTGCTCCAAACTTGCCCAAAATTCTAAATATTTAAATGTAATCCAGAATTAAACATATCCAAATTGAAAAGAAAACAGATTTCACTCGCAAATTTCATAACGTCCAATTTTTTTCGGTAGAATCTTATTTGTTCCAGATTTTACAGCAAACAAAACAAATTTCTGTTGCCATTATTTCCTATTTTTGAGCGCAAGCATTCAAGTGAACCAATAGAATTACAAATTTGAAATGAAGTAATCGCATTAAGAAATCAGTTCAGGACTGTAAAAAACAAAACAATATAACCTGAATGCAATTTCTGCTGCAACTTTATCCTGACCTGACATACACTGCCATAAACCACGTATCAATTCAGCTTGAACAGGTACCATATGACTGTAGAGATAATCTGGTTGTAAATTGTCCACGCACAATTCTAAAGTCCGTAAACCCTAAAAACTGCTTTGGAGATAAATAATTTCCAGTCAAATTCATAGCGAGATCAAGCGAGTTTCTCTCGCTATGAAATATGTTGAAAAAAAAAGGTCAGAAGGATTATATAAATAGATATTGCTTACTTTATATATACATAAAGTACACAAAATAGGATCCACAGGTTTGTATCGACATGATGTAAATCTGAATACATATATAAGCAAAAAAAATGCTAGATCTGACTAGTTTTCTTAAACATCACATAAAGCTATAGATCCTACTTTCGTGAGTCTTCAGAAATGGCTATTTTAAATTTTATAAAACAAATAAAACTAATTTTAAAAAAGCTAAACATGTTAGATAAAAATGAGCAGTAATGAAAAGACCTGTTGAATCAGGTTACAGGTGCCATTCAGTGCGCATACTAACGGGTCCATCAACAAAGGTAGATAAGGTAGCAGAGATGACAACCTAAACAAGATGAATACGTTATTTCCCTTGTGTAATGCCAGGTAAGTCCAAATTGAAATACTATGAATGGAAATGATTCTATTTTACCTTACAGGAACAGTCAAGCATAATTCAATATACAGTTCACGCATCTGAGCCCGATGAGTGTTAGACTGAAGACGGTTTAGTTGATGAAGAAGAGTTGGTAACAGTGGTAGAAATGTTTGGTACAAAAGATCATAGCTTCCACCTCCAATTGACCTAGAATGGTTAAAAAAATTGCATTTTAAAACAAGACTAAAGTACTCAAAAAATTAAGTTCTATTCATAATCAACTTGAATTAAACTGACACAAATCAAACGAAATAAGAAAGCATGAACATTTTACCCACTACATTTTTCGCTGCATGAAATGCACTAAATGGTTTTTAAAAAACATATTCATAAATATGCTGGTATGTTTAGGTTTTGCTGCTATGCAAATATTTTTTTGCTACATAAATTTATTACCTGTCTACACCGTCAAATAAAATCTATTTTATTTTTTTAACATCTAGAAACACCGAGGGCTTTTTGAATTCCCTATTATGATCTATCAATTTCAGACAAGCTTTGTTTCTACTCGCTTCTATTCAAATTTATAACTTACTAAAATAATTTATTCCATTTACATTAAGTGTAGCTCTTGAGAGAGCTTTTACCACTATTCCTTTTTAAACGAAACTCATTTCTCTTGTAACATAAAACTCATTAAATAAGAAGAAGGACAGAAGACAAAAATCATAAGTGACTCGAGCTATATAAAAATTAAATTAGATTTGGTAGTGAATAATTCACCGAAAAAGCGCTCTAAGAAGAAGAAAATAATTGATGGGATCTCGAGCGCGAAGTGCCAATTTGATTGCTCGTAGAACAAGTTTATGAAGATATGGCTGAAAAAAATTCGAATTTCCAAATACTCTAACATAAAAGCCTGCGCGAAATGAACAGAAGCTAGAAATTATAGCGAAAAGACAACAGGAGTACTTCAGCATCAAAATAATATCAGACTTTCAACAAAAAAAACTATTAAGACAGCAAAAACATCTCAAAAGCTTTTAATGCATCTTAAATACCCGAAGCATTCGTTCATTTTCTGCACACGCCGCAGGCTTAGAACCGACTGATGAAAATACAATTTTGAAAAGTTTCAACCAAAGAAATGACTTTTCAGTACAATCTGAAAATACTGAAACTAAAGAATTCTTATCGTATGAATACATTTTTTTTACACATTTCTCAATAAGGCCACAAAAAACCGGCATCAATTTGCAAAAATGAAAACCAGTTCTCGATAAAAGTTATAAAAACTCAACATACAATCTCGAAATTTTAGACGAAATTATGAGCATAAGCTAATTTTTGACATACCAGCTAGGTCTGGTAATCTTTTCATCAAAAATTGTATTAGTTTGTCACCAAAATTCGCTGACGTGACAGTATTTACCAGAAGAGAACTGCATATAACTTGCAGAGCATAATTTGAAGTCAATCTCTCGATGAAATACTATGAAAAAAACAATTTTTTTTCAGGAAACATGACTAAATCATACAGTATTCAAAGTCATTAAGTATAGATTATGTGCAGCAAATATAATAAAATTTCGAAACTCACATTAATTCGTTTTGATATAATTTTTTTGAAAACTGATGGATTTACTAAGGTGAAAATAGATGCAAATAGTTCCAAAACTTCTTTTTCTTCTTTAGAGCGTAAACCACTTGAAAGCCTAAAATATCTATACTTCAATTATTTAATCTTTTTCCTATTAATTTGCTTGATTTTTTATTCCAATTTGAAAAAAGCAGTACTTTTATACACAAGATTTTTTCTTTCTTTTGACTACTTTATTCATGCAATTAGTAAGAATATTTGACCTTTGATGAGCCGATGAAATTTGATTTGGTACTTGACAAATCACATATATATCAAGACATTGCAAACCGTATTGGAAAAGCTGATCAATTATTTTTATTTCATGATCGGGAGATATAGCATCTGCAATTTGAAAAGAGATGGATTCCACTGCGAAGTTCCTTTATAATTTAGTCAGCAGTATTATTATAGAAACAAATTCAGTAGGATGGTCTATACTATTGAGAAATGATATGTTGTAATAAAGTTTTTTTGACTATAACACATTATAGTTCCACAATTTGAAATAAAGGCGAGAAACATTTAAACTGGAAAAAAATCTGTGAATAAACTGAACGTCAAAAAAACCAAAATAGCAGAAATTTTGTTAAAGTACACACAAACAAGATAACTGAAAATTTAAAAATCTAACAATTTGTGATATGAGTATCTTTCAGAGCATGAACAGCATGTTTACATGCTTGCATAAGCACTCGAATCATGTTCTTACATTCATGCAGTTGATACGGAAATATACCTGCAACCCAGTACTGGCTCAAAATCTCTTCCGGTACCGATGTCTGTAAAGAACTAAAAATATTATCCTAGACAACTTGGAAATTAGATAAACCCAACTAAAAGACATATTACATGACAATAAGAACCAGAGAAATTCTTTTGAATCCAATAAATTCTTTTGAAGTCCAATAAATTGTTAATAAACTATTTTAATAAACTATAAGAGATCAAAGCAAATATTCAAAGCTGCAAGAACAATAATTACTCTATTTACAGTACACTAAAATACAAAAATAATTTATATTGCTTCAAGTTCGCAATAATCTAGCTGAATATCAAATTGTGCAACAAAATTGACTTAAAGAAAACTTCCCTCCAAACAATGTTTAATTTTTATGCAATAGTCCACAATAATATAATCTCTGAATTTATATCACAAGAGCTCTGGTACTATAAAAATTTCGTTATCTTCGAAAATATATCAACCTTTCCTATCTTCGTTGGAGGTGGAAGAGAACATGCCAAGCTTTTTACATTTTTATCCTGCCACGTAAGCAAGTCAAAATCATTTTCCGATGAAAGTGGTGATGTTGGGTCCTCTACAACCGCTTTCACAGAACTGATTAGCTAAATGTCATAACAATAGCAAAATATAAGTAAGCTTCACAGATTGTTTCTGAACTGATTACATATTATATAGTAACTTCATACATGCTCTTGTTCAGTGTTTTTTCCTGTTCTTACACGTCAAAAAACTTTATTTTTCAAAAGCTAAACATCTCACTTTATCTGCTTCATCATTTTGGCTTGCACAAAGAAATTCGACAGACGATGCTCGAGAAACGCTAAATATTACGGAAATATTATAAGTCTCACTAAAAAATCTGTATTTGAAAGGTGAAAACAGAATAACTTCATAACTGCTTTACTGAAGTTCAGAATATTTTTTCTCGCAAAAAAAATAAAATCTTAGATGTTTCTCGTTGCAGGAATGATTGCGTCACTACAAAAATATTGAAGAAACTGAACCTGATAAATTTATCTGTATGAAGAAAAGCTGTATTCACGATGTTACTGGCATTTTTTTTCAGTATTATGGGTAACTGATACTGAGCTAACCATTTCAGCTTCCGCACATAATTTTCCAACAGACAAAAAAGTATATCACGACACTAAATATGAAGATTTTTTAGCGCACTAAGCAACAACAAATCATACAAACTACTTCTAAAAAATGTTACAGATAATTTTAATTCCTTACAAATAGGGGATTGTATTCTTGAATTTCAACAACGCACAAAAAAGCTTTGGAGTGAATGTATTATCAACAAAAACTTACTGGTTGGTCAACATGATTTTTCTCCAAAATGACAAATGACTCAATGAGATTCATCATAACTTTAATGCACATTGACTGCACTGTGGGTTGTAATGCGGAATCAAACATGCTCTTTGTGAATGCATGCACTGTGCTGAAGAAATAAATTTTCAACATAACTAAACCACGGCTACTTTACATAACATTGGAAATTATATTAAAACACCAACCAACACAAAACATTATAAGACAGCCGCCCACGAACATGATGTACAAGATCTGCTAGCATTGAATACATAGTTTGCCTTAAAAAATCAAAAAAATCATTAAAACACTAAAAATATTCTTCTGTGGAAGATTAAAAGTATAAATGTTAATGAAAAAAGGATAATTGAAGGAAAAAATGATGTCGCCAGGTCGAAGGTATTTTATTCGCCAAAATAGAGTAATATCTAATACTTGTTGGTACAACAGTATTTACCTTAAGAAATCCACAGAACTATAACCAGATCCCAACATAAGTGTTTCATCGAATAGTTTCGGAATAAAGGGAATGAATTTAGTTTGTAAATCTGAGACAAATATACTCTTTAGGTGGCCCAACAATTCACGCCTCATAGCATAATTTTCGTGAGGACAGTGATTCAACATCTTTATTATTGCTTGAACTATTTGCGTCCCTTTGCTACTTATTACTTCACCAACGTTGAACTGAAATAATTGAGATGATTAAAACGAAAATGAAACGTTTCACGCCAGCCAGCTGCAGTCGTATATTGAGAAAAATTTTTTTTATTACATAACATTCCTAATCAGTTTACAGTTTTGCTGTCAAAGACCAAGAGTTGTCGGACTAAGTGGTGACTATTATTACGAAAAGCAGATAAGGATTTGTCAAATTAAAAAAGAATGTGACAATAATTATCAAAAAAAAAATTAACCACAACAGTTCGAGCGGCGATAAAACCCAAAAATATCAATACTCGCATTTGAGAAAAATAAAATTCATCAGCCAAAACTGAGCTAAATGAAATATTACTTTGCTGATCATCTGGTATTGAAAGAGAACAGTACTGCACCATCAATGAGATAATCTCAGCTAGCTGCAAAAATTTTTCAAACAACTAAAAATTTGATAGTGATTAATAATTTTATTCATTAAACAGTTTTGTTGTATGTAGTTTCTTATTGAGTTACAAAGAAAGCACTACATTTTACATACACATTTCAGATTTTATAGAAAGAGAAACAATTGTGAAATCATACGAAAGCTATGATTTTCATGACAAATTATTAGAATAGATTCTAATATTTCGGTAAAAATAGTTGATGCTGTAAAAATACCTCATTTAGCATATGATGCCGGTGAAATTGACACATGACAACACTAAACATGGGTAATTCCGACAAGACTTTCACACTCTGTGAAGCACGAGGAATCAACGAGTAACCACTGTCTCTTGGAGCGCCATCTCCTGAACTTTCGGGAAGGTACACGATTGTTGGCATATAACAATTTTGAAGTGACTGAAAGGTTTATTTCTTAATGAATAATATCTAAATTCCTTGCCAGCACATTTTTTGCTTGATCCGAACCAGAAAATACAAACTGTTAGCAAACAGCAACAGCAAATTAGAGACAGATGAAAAAATCAACACTAGAAATTCTGCACCTTTGGCCAGTAGTAATATTGATATCTATTACTCTAGCCCAAGAGTAGAAATTTACGCTTCATATGTATGCTTGATTAAATTTCTTTGACAACTGAAATATTTTTTGCAATTTTTTGAAAATCTGGTTACAAAACAAACTTACAGATTCAATAACACTATCTTCTATTCCACAATGTCGCAAGTTCTTTTGCTCAAACATATGTCCACTTGAGATATGTTGAGGCATTTCACGATATACTGCTTTAATGAATTCGACAATCTCTACGATCTCAAATTGAAATTAATGAAATTACTTGCTACTATTTTTCATTGTGCTGCGTTCAATTTTATGAACTTATATTTTCAAAATTTATAAGAACAAAATTTCCCACCCTGAAAAAAGTTCTGAAACAACTTCTGAGATAGTGTGCAGCATAAAAAAGAACCTCTTGCGTACAGCCCATCCTGAATGTCCTCTGATGTTCAATAACTATTCGAATGGCAAGAACAGCATTTTCCTCATTTTCATTCTGTATGACTTTCGTTAGTTGTGCCAAAATTGCCCTAGTATACTGTTTAATGATATCATTACAATTCATGCGTAATATTGACTCAAGGATCAACTTCCGCAACTGCTGAAACGTTAACAAATTTTATTAACATCATTAACTAATCGCTCAGATAGAAGTCAGAACAAAAACAAAGATGTCTCTGAATTCTTGTGCACTTTGTTATAGACTTATGTAAGTAATTCCTGCTTGATTTTATAATCCAGTTATTAATTACAAAGTGATATAATTTCTTCACACACCTCATACAGCAGTTTTCGTTTCACGAAAAAAAAATTTTAATACCAAATGCTTAAAATTAGAAAGCTGAATCTTTTCACAATGATGGTACCTGTGTATTATTTTCTCCGATAAACTGAGGTACAGTATCGTGTAAAACTTGCACATAGGTACGAAGCAGATCTTCTTGCAATAATTGGAAAGCAGGTGTATATGTCATTTCCTCCGAAATATTAATTATTTCCTATGAATACAAGAAAGCAATACTGGTATGCAAAGCTATAAATTAAAAACAAAACAAAACATCAAAATGCTAAAAACTGGAAGGTCATTCATACAGGCAGACTATATCTGAAAAAATTTTTGATATTAGCTAAATAATTTATCACGATGTTAATTCGATTAAAAAATATCATGTGCGTTATTTTGCGCGTTTAGCTATATGTTACGAAAATATGCCAAAAATATTTCATCTTTAGAAACAATACTAAAATTTATTAAAATTTGACAGTTTCAAAACTATCAAATTCTGGAATGTTGAGTCCAAAATATTAAGAATATAAATTTCAACTGGAACATTCTGAAGTTTGAACTGTACATCCCAAATTTTGATGAAATGAATCGAAAAAATACATTTTTCTGAAATACTCCAACCTCATTAATAATTTAATTAATTTACTTGTACAGCTTTGAGCTTTACGTCATCTCGTTGACTGACATCTGAAATTGAATGGATGAGTAATTCGATACGTGATATCCTTTCATTTGGAGTTTGAGGAGTCCGTCTCGTAGCTTTTACCACTTGTTGCTGTAAATGCTGATGATGATTGTGTTGATGATGATGATGCTCTTCATGCTGCTGACTCTGCTGATGCTCTTGACGTTGCTGATATTCTTGATGTTGTTGATACCCTTCATGCTGTTGATGTTCTTGGTGCTCTTGTTCCTGATTTTCTCGATATTCTTGATTCTGCTGACGCTCTTGATGTTGCTGCTCCTGACTCTGTTGATGTTGTTGGTGTTGTTGATAGTGATGATATTGTTGTTGTTGCTGTTGATCCTGCTGTTTATCTTGCTGTTGCTGGAACTGTTGATGTTGATGATGCTGATATTGTTGATGCTGGTTTTGGTGTTGCTGTCGCTGGTGTTGTTGATGCTGCTGCTGACGTTGCTCATGATATTGGTGATGCTGATGGTGCTGGTGATGCTGGTGATGATGGTGATGATGCTGATGATGCTGATGATGATGAAGATGTTGCTGCTGTAGTAGTATTTGTTGCTGCTGTTGTAAATGCTGCTGTTGTCGTTGTTGTTGCTGATGCTGTCGTTGCTGAAGATGTTGCTGCTGCAATTGATGATGCAGATGCTGATGCTGCTGCGGATGATGATGGTGATGCTGCTGTAGTTGTTGTTGCTGAAGTCGTTGTTGCTGATGCTGTCGTTGTTGTTGCTGATGTCGTACCTGCCTTTGCTGTTGCTCTTGTTGTTCTTGTTGCTGTTGGAGAGAAACCCTCTGCGCATGCGGAACAACATAAGTTCCAGGATTATTCATCTTAAATAAAGACATAATGTGTCATAGTATTTGCAAAAACGAAAACAACGGGAATACAAAAAATATTCTCACCAAAGTAATACAAAGGGGGGATGCTGCGTATATGAATAGTACACAAACAAAATTTTCTCACTTTAATGCATTACTGCGTAAAATTTAAAATAAAAAAATATAACAATTCAAAAGCAACTACCAAATTATAGAGAACTATTAAGGAAATATGCTAAGGTAGTAAAAAGCAAAGAAAAAGATACTTAAAGTGACCCTCATAATTAGAGCTTCCAGCAATATTCCATCAATTGCACTTACTATGCGAATTTCAAACGTTAATACGTTCAAGAAAAGCAATATCGGAACTCGGTGGTTCGTCAACGAATTTAGCACATTTTTTTATGGTTAAAATAAATGGAATCTTGATTTTATCACGAATATACCATTGCAAGTGTAATTGAAATGAGCAAGTATTTGTAATTACATCTTGAATGAGTACTTTATGTATTAATTAGAAGAAGTCCACTTTGATGAAAATGAAGCAAAACATGATGAAAACGATGAAAAACGGCTTTTCTGAAGATGTTTTTTTCTGCTACTAATTGCTCTTCTTTTTGTAATTGCTTTTGCAAATGAAATGAAACTATTTCTGGAATCTGTTATGCCGTCCTTACATGATAGTAGTAACGTTCTAAATTTATTGATATTACTGTAATAGTTACTTTTGCTTTGCTTTTTCATTATAGTTTTAAAATTTGCTCTAATAATCCTCACTGTTATTGCTTTAATAATTACATGTAAACATAAAATGTCAGAAATTTGAATCTGTTTTCGTGTTTTCTAATCTTGTTGTACAGATTGATATCCGTTTATCTGCTTAAAAAATTCAGAAACGAAATTTTATAATGCTTAAATGAGTTACAGGCAACAAATGATTGCTTCCTCTTCTTTAATGCAATGATTAATTCTTGCAAAAGTAAAGTAAAGAAAATGGCAACATTTGCTAGTACTTTAGATGGAATAACAAATTTACATGCAATGCAATTTGTCGTAAAGTAAGTGCTGTTACGACAAAATGGCGCTGAATGAGCCAAGTGAAAAAAAAATACGATAATTCCGTGGAGACAGTGTTACCTTTTCTCGAATTTACACATTAAATCGTTGTTACATAAAAACAAGGGCACTCAATTTTGTCGCTATTATCGGATAAATGAATGTAAAGTGATGTCTTTACATTCATCTACTGCTACTTATTTTTTTCTGCATTAGTGTCAAATGTCAGAGGTTATAAAAAGTGTCAAGTTTAAGAACTAATGAAATTAAACTTTTTGCATATTAGAAGTCACTGAGCTTTGTTTTTAAATATAATGCGTATGTTGATTTGACTTTTCGCATCTTCGTACAATTTCAGCAAAGATTTAAGTGTTCATTACACATATCAAAACAGGATAAAATTAAATGCAAAAAAAAAGAACTTATATATATATATGTCTTTCATGCTTTTTCATCAGTTGCAAATCATGAATTATTTGCTACTCAAAATGCAAGCTAATATTATACTCATATCTATGCTTTTTTCACTTGTATATTCTACCTTTTGTTAGTTAATATTCAAGATTTCATTTTGTTAATTATTTTCAGAAGAACTAAAGACAATCAGTTGATAAAGTGACTTTATGTTCTGAAACTTTTAACAAGCAAAAAGCTTAATTTCATTAGTTCTTAAATTTGAATGCTTTTTATTCCCTCTGACATTTGGTACTAATGCAGAAACAATATAAGTAGTAGTACAGCAATGTAATAACATCACTTCACATTGAAAAAAGTTTTCATTTAATGATTAATACTTCATGATGAGGTGCAAAGTGTCAATTTTTCAGAGACTTAGACGACTTAAGCTTGTAAAATTTCCTTGAGAAATGGAGAATGTCTGCTAAATGATACAGTTTTTTTCTTGCTGCTGAAATAACCATTTACCTTCAGAAATTACATTGCATTTCAGTCCAACTACTACTATTGGTAGCACGAAATTCGCTACATTCTAATTTTAGACGCAAATCATTTTTACAAGTTTGTTCAAAATTGTAGCATAATTTCCTAAGCAGAATGAAGTGAAAAAAATGATCGGTTGAAATATAATAAATAGGGTGATTGCTCCAATGTGTTTTGTGCCGAAGAAACAATTTTCACAGCTGTACAAATGGCTAAAATTTATTTATAATTTTTGTCCTTTGCCTTGCACTAAGATATATTATCATTCATTTTTTTTGCGTAACAAAATTTGTAAAACTTTGTTTAGATTTCTACTGAAGTTAAAATTTTTTTCACTTTTAATTCTACGCCAATATTGCATTAAACTAATTTAATTGATCACTTCGAAAGGTTATCTATAATTTAAACAAATGTGCCTAATACTTTCATGCGATAAGTCATCTTTTTGTGCTAATCCTTGCTAGACGATTACGTTTGTTATTGAATAAGTAAGTAAATCTAAACAATTTCTACTCATATTTTAATTACTTGTCGGAAATAATTTTGAAAATTTAGAATTATCATTTTATAGTAGTAAACAATGTGTTGCATTTGTATTTCACTTATTCTTAAAATACTAAATTTTTAAAATGTAAATGAAAAATGGTACTTATGCACAATTAATCTAATTTAAGTAAACTAGTGCTGCATAAATATGATTTATATATGCTTTAAATACATTAAAAATTTAAAAAATAGATTTAAAGTAATCGTCTTTGAGATATCTTCCTCATATATACAGCATGCTTAAAACAAATATGGAAAACAAGCCATACTTAAGCAGAACAAAGTCTAGAAATTAATGGTGAGAAAAAAGAAAAATGATTTGTGTACCAACTTTCTAAGTATTTTCATTATGAATTTTCACCATTATATTCATTAAATTAGCCGCATTAGTCAAATATGCTACATATAGTCTATATAAATCCTAAAATGAATTTACTACTTGGACTTAACAACTTTTTTAACATACATTTCAATAAAGTTTGCAGATATTTTTAAATTCTTAATTTTTGGTAATTTATAGTAATAAAATGCTAACTATTCATGATTACATTTTATTACATTTAAAATTTAAACCATCAAAGATGCTATGGCACATTCAACATACATAAGATATAAATGATAAAAATGTTCTATAATTATTACCTTTGGTATGGTCTGATGTGAAGCACTGATGACTTTTTTTGAAATTTTTTAACATATGTAATTATCAACACAATAAATTGTTTTTTTTAATGAGAATATTGCTATTCCCTGGAAGTTTTTCACTTTTGACTTCAAAAAATAAGAACAGAAATACTCAAAATTTTTAAAAAAGTTTTCTGTTCTCATACTTCTTTTTGACTGTTACTTTTTATTAAGGACTTATTTTTGTAATTAAAATGTTCACATCACTTTCTACAATCATAATTAAGAAGTAGATCACTTTCATGTTGAATGTTGAGCAAAATGTGCTCAGCTTTTCTCTCTTAACTTCTCTGTTCTTTCAAGAATATCAAAAGTTTATACTTTCTTGCAAAATTATATCTCTCAAATAGCACAGTTTTATTTAGAAAAAATATGTCTTCTATAATACGTAAAGGATTAAAATTTGGAAGAGAAAGTTTTAAAAAGTTTTCATCAGTTATGTTTAGATTTGAGAGTGTACAATTATTGCTTTGTAATGAATGTAAAACTTTTTTAAGCAAAATTATTTACTAATAAACAGAAAATTAGTTTTTCAAAATGATGATATATCGCTAAGCAATTATTATTTTTTTGCCAAATATAATACTGAACTAATTTTTTATTGTATATATTGAATTTGACAAATTATATGCTCTCAACAAATTGTAAGTGAGAGTTAAGTACTAATCAAATTGCTGAAAAGGAAATGATTTGGTGCTGATATTGCGAAGGCATCATTGATAACAATCGCAGGTGAGAAAGATCGCGACACTTTCTGCAGTTTACGGCTTTCGACTCTTGAAATTATTCCTAATAATAAGTGAGAAATATGTATTATGTGCACATAAAATATTCATACACATTTATTATCAGTTTCGTTAACAGAAATGATCACGGAATTTTAAATCTCTTTCTCGACTTAGTTTATCATTAAAATGAAAATTTATGCTTTAATGAGAAATTATTTATGACAACTATTATTTTTGTTGGGATGCGTAATATTTCAAGTGTGATCAGCTATAACTTTAAAAAATTTTCAAAAATTCATGAACTGGTAATTTGTGAAATTAATAATAAAAACAAACATCATAAAGGGTAAAACATCATATTTGAGCGCTCATGAAATAATAATGACTGAACTTTGTTAGTGATAATTCAATAATTTTGAACAACTACTTCACTTTCTAAAAAATTTATGGTTAAAGATTGTTCATGGATAATTATTTCTTGTTGTGAAAAAGACAATGCCATTATTCAATTTTTTATCCATTAATTAAGTACAAATTTGTCACTGATAAATACATTCTACAGATCAGTTAAACAGCTATATGAAGATGTCTATCTTATACAGTCACAGTCGGTTATAATACCATTGTTTTAGATTTATTAAATACAAATAGAGTTTTATGTTTATTTGATAAATCAATCGAATTTAATGGAAAATAAAGCTTAAATAATATCTTATTGAGATGAAACCAATTTTAACATCGTTTCTGCTGCTTGTTTTTATATTCTTGTTATAACTTTAATTAATGTCGTCACTGTTAATCTTGATTTCATTCTTTTTCTATGGTAGATGAATTAAATGTTACTAGATATGTGAGTTTAAACTTTACGAGTTCTATGGAAAAACGTTTTGTACGTGAACTAACTTACGAGTAATTAGTTCACATACATATTCCGCAATATACGCATTTTTCAGTAAAAATTGGTTTACACAATAAATAGTAACAAAAAATAATTGCTTGCATTAATATTTTCATAATATGCAAAATATTTTTGTCGCTGATAACTGATGAAGTGTGCATAATTTGCGCGTACTTCATTGAATACATTTGATCCTATATATGCCAATAATTATTCTTTTTTAATCATTTGTATCAGTCTTTAACAATTAATTACAAATTTTATACTATCTTTGGTATTACAATTTGAAAATGAATAAAAATGATGACAATAGAAGTCGACTTAAAGCTTAATCTTTACCTTTCAATTATACATTAAGCATTTATTGGCATATATAGGATCAAATGTATTCAAGAAATGAATCTAAAAAAGTCAATAAAACACATTCAATCGCTAAATTTCATTGCTTTTGAGGAACAACTTTAAGAACGATTCTAAAAAAGTCAGTAAAAAGTAGAATGAAACACGATATTAAATAATAATTACTCTATTCTCAGCTGTACATCATTCATTCATTCATTATTTTTTTTGTACTGTAAAAGAAAAATAGTCTGAAATGAGCATAAGATGATAGTAGTAAGCATTCAAAAAATGTAATTGTGAGAATTGTTCCATGTGATGAATTACAAAAAATTAACTCTCAGGGAAAGTAATAAAAATTATAGAATGAGTTAACTAGTTGTAATAATACTTTAACACTTGTGTTTCGAAGGCGTAATTGAACATCATCATATCATTTGCTAATCATGCGAAATGAAATATGCAGGAGGAGTTTATCTCGTTTGCTCATCTTGTTCTGACATGATAATTTTGCTTTCAGGTAAGTACCATTTTGCCCATAAAGAAAAAGAAGTAACGATTTGAAAGATAAAAAAATGAAGTGTGGGAAAGTAGTCAAAAGAACGCAAGGTTGTTGCATTCTATTTAACTTTTTTCGCCACATTTTATTTTACCACTTCCACCGCTTGTTCATTTTCTGTTTTAAATCCATCCACCATGTAGAATGCCGTGACTTAACTCTTCCTTACTTTATTTTATGATATGACTTATATTTACTTTTTTAAGATATTATTAATATTATTTAAAAAAATGAATATTTTATATGCATATCAATCATAGAAAATTATACCTGATGAACGATAACGAACCTGCGATTTAGTATAATGATACTGAACTGTGAGTTACAAAAATGCATTGCCATGAATGATTTTGGCATGGACGTATGCTTTCAAATTTTAATAATGTGAAATTCATAAATAAATGAAAAACAAAATGTTTCCATTTTCCTTTTTTTCCAATTTTTCGATGATTTTTCGGAATTTTCAGTGTTACTCTAATAGTTCCCTGGTAATTTTTAAGACAATATGATGGTTAAGAAATTAAATTAAAAACGAAATGAACTGATGAAGATTAGTAAGATAATATCGTTTTTATTCATATTTTCATTTTATGAATTATTTCACTAACTTACATTTAAATACCGTGCTTCAAATATGTATAGTATTGTTACTGTAATGGATGTGTGATTCTGCTTTTTCCACATATCATCTGTTCTATGATACCAGACGTAGCAATTATCATTTTTTTGCATAGTATTTTCATCAAAAATTGTAGATGGTCAATAATTTTCATTTTCAATTTGTTAAAATCTGTTTTTTCGATTTTTCCTCAAATCACTAAAAAAAATTATGTTTTTTTTTCAGTGATTTGAGGAATTTATACTAATTTTAAATATATATATATATATAATTAATCCCGCATATTTAAGATCAGTAACTACAGCTGGAAGTAATGTGCGTCATCTGTGGGCAATTAATTAGTAGTATGAATCTTACTATAGTATGGAACTAAATAAAAAATTTGTGTAAAAAGCATCTTAAGATATATACAGATCAGATGATTAGCTCTTGTGTGTGAGTTAGGGAATGATTTTTTGGTATACTTCTCTTTATTACATATACTTATACAATTAAGTAATTAGGTCTTAGAATCCTGTATGTATGAAAGCTAAATTTTTCAAAAAGTTCAATGCACATAAATTAATGATATTTGCAGCATAATTTAACTTACTGTAATTAGAGATGAAAAATATTTGAATTCGCTGATAACAGTATTCTCTGTTGCATTATATATGAATTTCCAAGGCATTCTTGTCTATACCCATCATTCATTATATCCTAAATGATGACTAACATTCACTGCAGAAAAAAGTGACGCGGGAAAGCGCCACGGCAAAAAATTTTTTTTTGAGTTTTTATCAAAGATAGTTTTAAGAATTTTCCCATCGTATAAATGAATAGATCGTCATATTATGTTTTTACTGCTGCGGCACTTAAGTGCGAGCCGTCATTTATATTTGCATAGACGATGAGTGGGATAGATAGATGGATGGGTAGGTAGATTGACTGACTGATTAATTGATTTTGTGAATGTATGGACTGACTGATAAAAAAGATAAATTGATAGAGCGAGCATATTTGTAGTTTATTTTACTAAATGTTGGTAGCAAATTGTAATCAGAAGTTAACATTTGAATTTATTAAATGTATAATAATTTAAAAAGTTTGATTTATTCACTACAGGTAACGCTAAGAACACTGACTGATTTATTTGCTTCAGTTGCTTTTTGTTGCAAATTTGTTAGAAAAGTGAAAATATAATCATACAGATAATTACATATTTTTTTTAAGAAGTACAAACAAAAAACGACTAATTTATAATGGTTCTTTTCACACAATAATCGCCAAAAAATAATGAAGTAATTTGTTTTTCTTTAACATTTTCAATTAAGTCAGTTATTTTTAATTGCTTGTGTTCTTTATATGATGTTTTCAACTTATAATTATAATTAAAAGTTAATATTGACAATAGAAACTGCTATTTAAAAATCACTGCATCAAGACAATTAACCATGTTGGCAATAATCATTGCTAAATAATAATTATTATTATTAATATTGTTATAGCTGCGATAATAAAATAACTTTAGTAGTACTTTTATCATTAGTATTTAAAGATAAGAATAGTAAAAAATAATGTGAAATAAAGTGAATATTGTATATAAGCGTTGTGTTTAAACAGAAGGAGATGCTGATAATAGAGTTGCGTGCGTGGCGCAGTCACATGCAGTGAAAGGGTGATAAGTGTGTATAGGCACGCGTAGATTGCGTGTAAATGAGAATAAGGTGCCGTCGGTGCGTGCCCTCAAAGAATCGTCTCAGAAATATTATGCAAATGTAATCCCATTATTACTTGTCACGCTAATAACGATGGGAACGAATATTGTAGCATGGGAAACTGCACAAACATGACCTCGCAGTCATTCTCATCAAACCTTCAGCTGTTTGTTCACTTTCTCATTCGAATTCATCTACTCATCACTTGCTTTTTTCCAATGTCTTCCAATTTTTATTTTATTTAAAAAATTGTATGCTATTTAATTTTATGGCACGGATATTTTTAATAGTAATATTACCTATACAAATTTATTTACAAAAACTTAAATAATAATAGCAATAAGTGGTTGAATAAGGCGCACTTAGTAACTCATTTCAAGAGCAAATTGCACTTTCAAGATTTAATCGAGTAATGTAGATAAACTAAGACTGAGAAATAAAGCTATGATTATTTTAAAAAATACTACGCAATTTTTGAAACTTTTCGTTTTAATTTCGTGTCGTGACAAGTAGTAATATGAGAAGAAAACTAAAAAAATTCATTTTTCATTTTGGAATTTAGAAGTTTTTGCATGAATAAGTTAGCTAATTAACCACTGAGGAATTAGTGTTAATTGTTGATGTTAGCATGAATGTTTATAAATAAACTGCATTTCTAAATTTTTTGAAATAGTGGTAGATTTTGGCTGCTTTCTGCATTTAACTGACATTAACTATTGAAGTTCACATAGATTAAGAAATTGAGTGCAAGATTAGTTAGACGTGATAGAGTATTATTGGCCAGGTGTATGCATGAATATAAATTTCATGTCCGTGTATCATATGCGCTGACAGAATAAATGCATTTTAATTTTTAAATGTGCAAGCAGGTAAGTAGACAGACGGATAGACAAGCAAACAAGTACCGCACACAAATAAATCTAAGGAAGGTCTCCCACGCTTCGCACATTTATGAGCATTGTTAAATGGACGGTGTCCACTTGCCATCAAATGACACTCAATCATCGGTGTGTTCCCCGTGAGAAAGCCACTCCTTCAGCAGGATTCATGACGAATCTTTTCTTTTCCCTGTACTACTCTTTTCTTTACTTTTCATTTCCTTCGTTTGCCTACTGTCCTTTACATGCAGCTGTTCCGAAACAGTTCAGTTCTAGAACACTACTGTTTAATTAACCAACAGATGTTTACTTTATTAAGCGTGCCGAGCCACGCGTGTAAAATTGTTTTGTTCAACTTCTGCACTTAAATACTGGTCAAATTTGGTTCTTGCAATAATAGTTATCAGTTTCTTATTATAACTCAAAAGTGATAACATGATTTTACTTTGGACATTTTCATTAATATTCTAGCATTATCTCACATCATTTTGAAAATTCTTTTCAACTGAAAAATTTTATAAATTATTGAGTAAATAAATAAATAGGTAACTAAATAAATAAGTGAGTAATAAATGCTTTAGTAGAATCTGAATTACTTTTGCGTGCATTTCATTCATTTTAATTATTATCAGATATCGTACGAAAATTACACCAATTTCACTGGTTTTAATTTTTTCCTTGATTCAGTTCAGCCAATTACTGATTGATTATCTGCTCATTTCAAATTTGTCGCTAATAATATAGTGGTAAATGAATTATGACATTTTTGCATGCATACACTTTCTCATTCTTAATTCGTCAGGATTTGCTTTTCACAGAATTTCGGCGTTCTATTATATTACATTTGTGTTCATATGTCTGTAAATTGCAATATATTTCAGTTAATATTCTTGGAGTCTTTTTTCTTCATTTTTAAAATAGAGTAAGCGGCCTAAATTTGAGCAATAATCATGACATCACATTATGCTTCTCCCAGTCCACCACAGTATTCAGAAAGAAAGGTTGGTTTATGAATGGCTAGAGTATATTATATTAGTATCACAAACTATAAATTCAGTAATAAGTCTGAAGAGATAATCAGTCATTTTGTTTTGATTGTAAAAAAGTTTGAATTAAAAATTAACAATAATCATTACGATTGTAGTTAAAGAAACCGTTGATGGAAAAACGTCGTCGTGCTCGTATGAATGAGTGTCTAGATCAGTTAAAGCATCTGTTATTACATATATCTCCAAATCAGCGGACAAAGTTAGAAAAAGCTGATATTCTTGAAATGACTGTTGCGTATTTAAATCAGATGCAGTGTTCATCTCCACCGTCTACATCATTTGGTAATTTCATTTGAGTTATAACTGTCAGCTCATGAAGTGCAAAAAAATTATTTACTAAGTTACAAAAAAACTGTTCATTGATTGGTATTTGACATTATTTATAGCAATAGTGATTATTTTGCTCACATAACTGTGCGAATTAACTGTTTAAGCAGTCTGTTAAAATACTATTTTTTTATTCGAAAGTTAATTACACGATATAAGCAGTGTTAAAAATAAACCACTTCTGCAACACAGTAGTAATGACTAGGTTAAAGAGAAAATATAATTGAATTTTCGCAACCTCAGACTTTTCCATTTGGAATCAATTAACCAGAATTAAATTTTAGACAATAGTGCTATTTACCAGCAGTCTTATGCAGAAGGTTTCTCATTAGCAGCATCAGCTTGTCTAACTTATCTTCAAAATACTTTGCCACCCGATCAGTATCTACCTCAAGCACAGCAGTTGAAAATTGGACTGATGCAACATCTTCAGGCCGTCATGTCAAATCATATAAAACCAATAATAGATGATTCAGGACGAGTATCGTTGCAGATGCTACAGCCATCACAATCATCATCATGTTTGCAGCTAAACTGTCAAGTGCAAACGCCATTTGCTATTACTTATCCGACATCAAATTATGCGACAAATTTACCTTATCCAAATGCACAATATACTACATATCAAATACCCAATATACCAGCAACATATTGTGGTACAACAATTCAACCATCCATTGCTGGTTCTGTGTCGACACCACTAAGGATCTCTACTGTGCCACAGAAATTTGTTTTACCACCTGCTCATATCATTGATTCTTTATCTGAGTTCGAAGATAAGCAACCTGTCAATTCATTCATGAATATGGAGAAAGTTGATGAACTTAAAAAAGCTAAAAAAACAAATGAAGTGAAAGTTTGGCGACCTTTTTAAACGAGTATTTTGTTACTTTACAATAATTTTTAAGGACTTTTCTGATTATCCTAAAAATAAAATGAGTGAGTCTAAATGTAAAAAAAAAGTGCAAAAAATATATTTTGTGACTGTGTTGAAAAATCTTTCCATAATGCAGGTTTTATTGCACCCATACCCGTGGTTTATATGGAAATTTTATCACTATAAATGCCATTTCAGTCAAATGTGAATTTTGTGTCTTTTTAAAATTTCTACGAATAATGATATTTTAAACCTGAAATGTCTACCTTTTTATCTATCTGTGGTAAATTGTACTACGCTTTTAAACTATTTTTGTTCTCTTGTATTATTTATCATTTTGTTTGTTCATATTTGGTCCTAGTTTTTTGAATCTGTTTGGAAAAGAATGAAATATGCGTTTATAGTTCTCAGGAGACTTTGGTGAAGTTGTTTGAACTCTAGATAGAACTAATTTCTTAGCAACTTTGTGTATATTTTGTTCATGATGAAGTCATAATACACTGTATTTATTCACTATTTCTTGTACTATACTTACTATTTTGATGTATACTACATTGTCCAATTTATTTTGAAATGTTCCTTTTTGACTCTGTTTTGGTGAAAGAAAATTTTTGCAATATTTTCATTTTATTCTTAAACTTCAATCTATAAAGTTTTTTTCGTCACTTCAAATTACATTTAAATTATTCTTAAAACAGATTTTGATGCTTAATATTGGTCATTATTTTTGGGATCAAACATGAATTTCTTGAATTTTGGAAATCAGGCTGATTTCCACTTCATTCGCTGTTTTGTGTTGCTAAAGGTTACTGAAATGTGATGATCGGTGAAAATGATATACTTTAATTGGTACGAGCGAGTGATGTATATAAGAAAGGTAATGATTAATTTAAATTATTTTTGGGAGCAAGATGCTGTCATGTAATATTTTAATGTTCTGGACAAAAAGTTTGAAAGGATTACCTTGTTAAGTCCAAATAAACGATTGAAAAAGCATCAAAAAGTGTAGGTGAAGATCGACCATTTGTGATCTTCATGCTAAACAGTAAGAAAAACGGTGATAGACTATGATAATTTATTCCATCAACACGTTAAAAAGTGTCTTTAAATATCTGGTTTTCATAAGCAATAGTAATGGATAACTGAGGTGTTTAAAAACTAGCCACTAGTAATGAACCTTTTATTTCTGCCAACGAATTATCTGATGACTGTAATCTAATCAGTTTCCAAAAAGCATTCATAGCGTAACTTTTGACATTTTTTCTCTAACATGAAGAAATGTTAATCATTTCATATACGTCTGCACCCGAAGTTTTTCAGCTTTATCACATTTGATTTTAGCCAGTTATGTAATTTAAATTTTCAAATTTTTTTAATCAGTTAATGAGCAGCAATCAGTGAAAAACAATATAAATAACAAATATTTTGAAGGTATAAATTAATATTTGTGAGACGAATTACATAATCGAATACAATAATTACCTTTTATAATAATAAATTAATAAGCTAAGTGAAGAAATTTTTTTAAAGAAATTATCGCTGTGCCTGAGATCATTTTGAAGTGAATGCATCAGTGGTTTTGTAAATTTATTCAGACCCCTAACGGTGTAAGAATGAATATGATTGATTCCGAATACGTAAGTGCTTGAGTCTGAATATGACCATCGAAAAATCTGAAACCCTGAAAATTAATGAATCTAGTAATCAGTTCACGTTTGAATTTTTCAGCGTTCAGCTAATTATTGTCTATAGCAACAATTTATTTGTAAGCAGGTTAGACAATTTAATCACTTTTATTCTGTCAGTCTTATAAAAATGCTTTTTTTCTTTTGTGCTCAATTCCTTTGAAAAAGAGCATTAAATATGCTAAACGCACAATATCCTATTTTACTGCTGTGATTGTGATTCACTTCACATCAAAGTAGTGCATTTACTTCATGAAATTATGATGTCATGATCTTCATTACTTAACCATGAAATTCAGTAAATAAGTGAGAAATAATTTTTTCTGCAGTGCAGGAATTTTCAGAAAAAAAAGAAAATAAAAGGTATGGAAGTAGTGATGAATTACAAATATCATGAGAAGAAAAATATTTTAAAAGATTATCAACAGCAATCAAAAATTCTATTTTGACTGACAAGATAGCTAAGTCACTGCTAACTAAATTCCTGAATTTTTTTTTAAAACTTCCAGTGAGTATCAGGGAGATAAATTTTTATACTTCTGAAATTCTCAACTATGTAAACATTATCTTAAAATTGGGAGGGGCTGTATTACTTACTCTCTTCAAAAATTAAAGTCTTGACTTTGGTACTGGCTGAACTTGTTTTATTCACGAATTTGCGACTAATACTTTACTTTCTGCGCTACAAATTATCATAGAATCACTTAGTAATTGCAACATATTAAAGTATAATTCCTTTACCTTTAAAATATTTTTGAAAAAAGTACTGAATACGTTTGCTCAAGTAAATGATAATTTCGACAGCATGCAAACTATCTTCTCAATACCGATCAAAATACATGAAGAGATCAAGAAATTCCATTATGATCTTGTATGATTAAACAGTACTGCTTATTTTTGCTTGCGTAATATTTCTTGTTCTTCATAATTTTCTTTCTCTCAAAATTTTCACATCCAGTGAAAAAAAAAACTTTTTTATCTCATAAATTAAATGAAAATTATTAATACATCATCGTACGAAGTAACCGATAACATACGAGTTATATGATGCTTTGATGTTACGTAACTCTCCTGATGAGTCCAACATAACAAAAAGTAAATTATATTAAAAGAATAAATGGAGAAAAGCCTGTTTGTTGAGATTTTGCAGGACAACTTGGTTACCAGTGACATTACTGAATAGAAAAAAATTCTATGTTTTAAAAAAATGAGTATTTCCCGAACTGATAATAGGACATTATAATATACTACATTTTTTTTTTCATGAACAGATAACTCTAATGTACTGAAATCCTCAGTGTAAGAAATGTAACAGAGAAATATGACTGAGGTGAGAATTTAGTGAAGCAAATGATGCGGATATGTTACCAACTAATTAGACTTTAATAGAAAGCATATGATTTTATAGAATGCTCCATCAAGTTTTTGCTTTGCATAATGACGCATGCTATAGATAAAAGTATATCCATGTTTAATATGTAGCATACAGTTGTTATAAAAACAACAGTTTCACCACGGAAATAATGCGGTAGTTTACTTTTGCAAAGGCTGTCTTGTGTTGAGATGAACAGATGGGATGGGAATGCATTTATTTTTTCTGCCATTTTTTCACTGCATTTGCTTTGCTTTGCTTTCCGTGCAAAATAAGTTGATAAAATGTCAAACAGAATGAAATAATACAAATGATGAAAATCAAGTTAGTAGTAGCGTGTGTTGGAAGAGTAGTAACAACCACTCCATGAGTCCCTTATTATCAAATTAAATTAGTCAGCTTAACTTCAGATTGATTTCTTTTCATTATTTCTAGTCATTCAATCATCTACTGATGTGTCAGTTCAGTTAAAATCAACTAGATATACTAATCTTAATCTACATATCTAAAAAAATTTATCGAACTAATTAGATCTATCGACTTGTCTATCCATAATATTTTAATCATTCTAGTTTTTGATCAAATTTCTTGCTAATCACTTACATCACTGTCTAACTAAAGGTATTCTTTATTCGCTGAAGAAAACTTGTAAAATGCTTCCTTTCTTCCAAACTACTTCTAATTGCCACACTTAAGCAAGCAACCATTATCTATTCATTCAGTCACACATGACTGCCCCATTGCAACGTCAAAACCAAACGTTTCACAATTTGTTTGTTGGCTTGTTCGCGTTTACGTGCTGCAACAATATAAGAGGCAGAGAGAAAAAAAGAGGCAGATAGAAAATCATGAGTGAATGGGTAGATACACCTGCTTCTGATGTGAAGCTATGGTGGAAAGAAATAAAATAAGTCATTAAATGAGTGAATGTAAGCGAGTGAGTGAATGAGACTAGTATTCAGATGAAAAAATTGAGAGAATGAGAGAAAAAGGAGATGGAAAGTTTGCTAGGTTGAATAACTCACTGCATGACTGACTAGCTAGTTGGCTGGATGTTGCTCGAAGAAGTCATGCGTGTACATTTCATGAATTAGAACTAAATGTCATTGCATGTGGCTGCAAAATTCCGTCTTCTGCACTGCTTCTTTTTCTTGGTGATTAGCTCGTATGAAGTTAGTTTATCGAGTAATTCATGTTCTCCAATAATTACTGTTTGATTGCTATAAAAGCTCTGAATTTTTCTTCCACAAAATTTGCTTATGACACTGTCAGTGATTCACTAACTATAATTGCATATACTCTACAAGATTTTCATACATATTCCATTCATTCTATAATACTTATTCTATCTCTATAACTAGCGTACACATCGCTTGTAACATTTATCACTGCATACTTTATCAGTAAATAAAAGCTCTTTTAGAAAGTGTAACGAATAACTTTTATTAATAATATGCTTTCATTTGAAGTTGCGCCTTTCAAAGTCAGCTGATCAACATGTTATTTCACGAACAAAACTATGATTATTAGACATAGTAAATGAAAAAGTTTGCTTAGAATTTGAAGCAGTTGTGACAGTGTTAAGTGGAGATATTTCAGGTTTGCAATTAAGTGCTTTTTGTAGAAATTGCTTTGCAAGGCAACATGTGAATAGCATAATGGTATATTGAGAAAAGGCGATGAAATTCGATTGTTATCAAAAATGTGGACTTGGCGCATTTTATGCTTTTAGATGGTGGGAATGGTAGCCAAGTTAGCCTGAGGTTTGCCAGCCCGACTTTACTTTATTCACTTCCCAATTTGGATATTCAGTGCTTCTTTTCTTCCTGAAAGGGCTTCATGAAAGGGATAGTTGGTTGGATAGGCAGATCGACAAATAGATTAATAGGTAGTAGATGGATGGATAGATGGATACATGGATAGATAAATAGATAGATAGATAGCTAGATAGATACGTACATAGATGAATAGATGAATTAGATAGACGAATGGCCTACGTAAAGCCTTTGCTTCAACAGGAAATGAGGATCTGACGGATGTGTCTGTTCGAGAGTGAACATCTGTGTGTGTGAGTGTGAATGTGTATGCCAGTATGTCAAAGTAAGTAGGAAAGCATTGGTAGGATGAATGATAGGCCTGTCCTGTTGGGAAGGGAACGCGTGCCATGCCTTTGTTATCGTGTCAATAATGCTGTTTAATTCTACATCGCATACGGCTGGCTGGGGGCTCCAGACTTTGTTCTGTCACGGACAGGCCTACTCGTCGTCCAGTCATCACGCTTTTACACCTCGCGTCCTCAGTGTTGTGCAAATTTTGCATGTGCTCTTTATGACTTACACCGCATTACACCACACTTCACTATAACTGCATGTCACCTCACAGCAAGACAAACAGGTTAGCCTAGAATAGCATCCAACTTTGCCAGTCGACTTACTTCCCTTACCCTATTTTCTACTTTCTTACCCTCTCCTTACACGTGTGCGTGCGTGCGTGCGTGCGTTCGCAGCCATGGATGCTTGCGAGAGACCCTTAAACGTTGCAGGCCCTTACTACCGCATTGCAGTTCGAGCGAGCCCTTAATCTGCTCCTGCAAACAATCTCATCTCCTTCTCTTCTTTTCCCTTCCTTGCCTTACCTTGCTTTTCCCTGCTCTGCTCTGACGTCTTTCCTCTGTAACATGCGTGTACAGCTGTGTATGTGTTTGCGTGCATGTCTGTATCTATGTGTTTGTATAATGTGGCAACGACATATGCGATGTAACTGCGTACTATTGCTTGCTACTGCAGCACCGATTCAGCCCATCGGGCTATTCAACACCAGCAAGCAGTGGCAGCAGCAAGCAGTTTGCAGAGATTTCATTGCTGGGCGGTAAGTAATGTTGAGATGGAAAAGAGTTTGGTACCCGCGAGAGTGTGCATGTCCACTTGAGGTTTGTCATTCACGTACGGGTTTTCGCATTGAAATACAGAGTGTTTATCTGGTGCTCCCCAAGATAATTCTTAATTTTGGTTTTTCTGCGTTCATAAAAGAAGCAGCAGAGTGCTGTGAGTGCTGTGTGATATTTTTGCTAGCCGCTGTTTCTTATTGTCATTCTTCATCTGTCTTGAAATAATTGTTTTTTTGCATACGTGAGACTCACTGCGCGTTATTACTCACATCTGAACCCTCTATCAGTTTGTTTGCAATCTGCTATTCTTGAACAGTAACCAGCAGATAGCAAGCACTCATATTAACTCTTCATTGTACCTGAGCTCAACTCATTTCACTTCAATCCAATCACCACAACATTACTATTTTCATCATCTCATTCTTGTCTTTTTATCTTTTTACCACATTTTAATCGTTTGTTTTACTGATTCCGCATATCAGCTAACTGCTACAGTTCTTATCAATAATTTTTAATCATCATATTATTACTGCTCGTGATTGTTCCATCTACGTGCCATTCTTATAAAATGTCAAGTACATATTGTTCAGACATTATCGGAACGTAAGCAGTGCTAGAAATATTTATACAGCAACACGAAATAAAGAGAACGCTTCGGTATGAGCGAATTGGATCAGCTCAGGCAAGAAGCCGAACAGCTCAAAAGTCAAATCAGGGTACGTTTTACTTAGGTCAACTAGTATTGATTGGTTTGTTTTGAAACTATCAAACAGATAAATTCTGAATCATTAATACTTCTTAATTTGGAAAATTTTTCACTCGGATCTCCCTTTTTTCATGTTTTCTTTGACAAGTATTTTACCTCGTAGTTTGCGGTTCATATGTGGCTGATGACTTCGATTTTGCTGAAATCATCTAGTTATCAAAGAAAACATGAATATTTATTTCTACTTTCAGTAGGAAGCATGCATCATTTAGAAAGTAAAGTCCTGTTCAGGTGAACAAATTTCTCGTAAAAGTTTTCAGGAAATTCTCACAAAGTATAAATAGTAGTGATTTTGAAGTGGCGTTAAGTTCTTGCGAATTATTTGTTGCTTAGCAAGTTTATATTCAATTTTTTTGACAGAGTATTCAGAACTCATTTCTCACTTTTTAATATATTATGTTAACATATTAGTCTGAATCTAAAGGAAAGTGTAGGATAACGATATCGTTCCTGTTCCTTGCTTATTTTCTTGGACAAAGTGTCTAAATAATATTTTGGTCATGATGATAACTTTTGCTTATTAATTGCTCACGTTAGTGCACTGGAAACAATATCTCTATCACCAGAATTGGAGAATATGATGTGATCAAATATGTGGTGTACTGAAGCCACGGAATTAAATTTTACTACAAAATCAAATTTTACTGTTCACTTTATTTGTAGGAAGCCCGCAAAGCTGCCAGTGACACGACGTTGGCTTCCGTTGCTGCTAACCTAGAGCCAATTGGCCGGATCCAAATGCGTACACGGCGCACTCTTAGAGGACATCTGGCTAAAATTTATGCGATGCATTGGGCATCTGATTCTCGAAATCTTGTTTCAGCCTCACAAGATGGCAAATTGATAGTTTGGGATTCATATACTACGAATAAAGTAAGTTTATTTCGATTTTTTTGAGTCGGGCTAGAAGGTTTGATTGGTCACATTAAATAATCCCTTGTCTGCTCATTAAATACTGTGAATTCACTCTGTGAATCATCATTGTGGTTTGCTCAAGATATTTTGGTCCGTATTGACCCAATGCGAATATGTTCTATAGCTTATTATAGTTTAATATATTCGCATTTTCAAATATTATTATGCTTAAAAAAGTATGTGCTCCGCTTTGAACTTAATATGATTAGACTTTGTCTTAATTTTTGTCAGATTGTTAATCTTGAACTTTGTGTGAAATACTTGGTGACGTAAATTAATTCATTGCATTTTTGAAGTTGTGGTACTTTCAGTAAAGTACTTCTTCATGTAACTTGGAGCAGTTACTTTAGTCGGTCAGGGAAACATATGGAACATATTAATGAGTATTAATTTAAGCTCTCAATGACTCTTCTTTGTCTTTGCATTTTGAAGTCATGCTTTTCAAACTGGGGAGAGTAGGCTGCAAAGTGACAGTACCAACTATAAAATGCAAATTCCTGAGAAATTTAATAGTATATTGATGATTGATGTATGGTTAATTAGTTAACAGGTTTAAAAAGCGTTATAAATATATATATATGATGATTAAAATTACGTAGTTTGATGACTCATTTTCATGCTTTTTTTCAATTTTGAGAGTAGGTGATTACGAAATTTCTCATTGTTTTTTATCTCAAACTAATAATATCAAACAAAAGGCGCCTTCAGCTGTTTTGACTTCTTTGCGTACAAAATTAGGTCCGGAAAAAATGGTAATAATTGAATTTAGCTCAGAAATATTGGCTGCAATTGTATACCAAAATAGCTTTGTTACTTATTTCTCGAAGTATACGAGAACACAGGTGATAAGTATACTGCCGCTACTTGCTTCATCCATTCCACCATTGATTGTCTTTATGAGTTTGTTGTGAATCATTGGAGATGAAAATTGGCTAATCTGGATTGATGCAAAAGTTATAAAGTTATATTTGTACTTTCTCTTTGTAATTACGAGACTCTTTAGTCGCTAATTGGTAAGACTTTCATTGTATGTCAATCTCTTTGTCTAGCGATCTATGCAACTGCTTCACTGATATCTCAGACTGCAAATAAGCTATTCTGAGACATCACTATAATCAATGTGTTTATCGTCGCCTGGCAACGGGCATGTTTATTATTCATTCATTCATTCAGTTAAATACCCTCTCACCTATTTTCTATCTGCGAAGTAATTTTCTGGCACCATTTGGGAAAGAAATATAAAATAACATATGTGTATTCATACTCCTCTTGTACTATAAATAAGAACACAAAAAAAGATGGAATAATCGACTCAAGAAATGCAGAACCAAATAACTCAATACTTAATTTTGCTGATGCTAGAAAGTGTACGGTACAGTGACGTTACACTAAAAGTACACTTTAGTTACATACCTCATTAGATTCATATCCTTATTTCGTAGCATTTCAATTCCAGTATGACTTTGCAACATGTATTACCTCATGACCTTATGTTTGGTGTTATTTGTCTTGAAGATCAATGCGTTGACGGATATGGCTTTTTTTTAAATTGTTTCTGAAACAACTTTAAAAAGTTGTATTCATTTGTAACTGGGATCATCCTTTCAATGCTAAAATCATGTGGTTTTATAAGAAGAAAACTGAGTAGTTTATGATAGCTGATGGTATTTCAAAAGAAATAGTGGAAAGTTAATTTGAAGTTAATGTCTAGTTTTTTTCGAGGGGTTTTTTTAAAAAGCTGTTTCGTAATTATAACTGAATCAAATTAGTTCATGCTGTGTTCTACAATTGTGTTGATTATTTTGTTTGATAGTTTGTGTAAGCTGAGTAAATTTTAGGTTCATGCTATTCCGTTACGATCATCATGGGTAATGACTTGTGCATACGCACCATCCGGTTCTTACGTAGCGTGTGGTGGTCTCGATAATATTTGTAGCATTTATTCACTGAAAACGCGTGAAGGCAATGTGCGTGTTTCACGTGAATTACCGGGCCATACGGGTTATCTTTCATGCTGTAGGTTCCTCGACGACAATCAGATAGTTACCTCTAGTGGTGATATGACATGGTAAATCAAGATTTGCTTTCTTTTCCTATAAAGTTCAGGATGAGTTATATTGTTATTATGGAAGCTTTACTTTACACCATAAAATTAGTTGACGAACTTGATTTTTGGATCAAAGTGAATGTGTACAGTTTTTGCATGCATAACTTTATAATCTCCAAGTAATATAAATTTGCACACTAAATAGCATAGATTCTTTATCATCTGTAAATATATTCAACCCTTGAATCTTTTATTACCGATATACTTTTCAGTTTATTTCATTTCATGCGTTTTTATAGAGATTTGGAGTCTTTATCTTAGTTCATCCCTGCCTTTTTCTTCATTCGTAGTACGAATGAGTTTTATCGGGCATGTCTCCAAGGATAAGGAACAAATGTTCTTACTACAAATGTAGATTTTCGCACACATTAATTGCAAGTCAAACTCTCTAAGTAAAGTTTTACTGTCTTAAAAGGATTTGCTGCCTATTACAACGAGGTAGTAGACATTTAGCTGGTTGTGAGAGATAGTACTTAATATGAGATAGAAACCGTCTGGTAAGTGTTTAAGAAGTACGGCGATTTTTTGCAGTCAGTTTTGTGTGGTTTCTAAATTAGCAAGCTGCCAGTAGTGGGTTGATGTAAGTAATCAGAAAGAAGCAGTAATTGCAATTATTCACAAAGTTGCTGGTTCCATATAAACCAATCACTTCATTAACAAGTCTTTAATTGTTTTGTTTATTGTACAATGATCTAATTATTCACACTTCACTGTGCTGTTGATGTGTAAAAGCTTCTCTTTCCAAATTATTGATGGATAGGATACTATTAAATAACTAAGTATCCTAATTATGAAGACCGTGAAGAAATATTCTTAAGAAATTACCTTTATTTTTTTTCCTTCTCTATCACTCTATCTGCTTTGATAAATTGATATGAATTTTTCCGTTTTTAAGGAATATAGAAGTAATGGCTATCACTTTGTTAATTTATTTTTACATTTATAATTTCATCAGCTATTTGGCCAGAAACGTTATTGTCTGTGTAGCAGTTGGGTTTCGGTATGTTGCGATAGATTAGAAATGGAATTTGTTGTATCTAAGATTGGATTTGAATTGTAGTTGTTGACTAAGCTGCTAATAACGTGTTAGTTGCAGCTGCATTTGTAACTGTAGCTAGCAGCAACAGTTTGAAGAAGGAGGTGTTATTTGCTGCTGATAGTAGAGGTGTGCATAATTTTCGAGAAATAAGAAATGAGTAGTAGCAAACTTTATATTTGTAATTCAATGCAGGGTAAGACGATGATTAGTTGTTAGGTGCTAGCAGGGGATGCTGCCAGTGCTAATTGACTGCTGTGTGGTTGTCTGTGGCTGTGCTATTGCAGTTTTAGTAAACAAATGCCAGTTAATTGTTGAAGAAACATGCATGAAAGTGAATAATACCAATTCAAAGTTGTATGCATTCCTACATCAATGTATTTATGGACTTATGCTTGAGATGATTGTTTGCTTGCTTGGCACCTCCCTCTTCTATGCTAGATTACAAGTGCAACGTACATGTAAAGAGATCTTTACAGTTTTTTAGGCCCTTTGACTGATGAATGCTTCTTACAAATTAGCTACAAGCAGTGCGTTACTGAGTGTAGTATTGTTATGTTTACGTGGACAACACACTTTGCAGTTCAAGATTTATCTGGAAATTAATCAGAAGTACCTAAGTATTGATATAAAACTGAGGAACATGAAGTAAACTAGACGGTACTTGGGACTGTAAGCCAAGCATCATATGAATATGCCACACAGTCGATAATTAAATATTGCAGTGCAGCTCCAGTTAGCACAGTAATGCTAATAAGGAATAATTAGACAGGAGAAGAAGCCTTCGAGGTGGAGGCACGATAAGATTAAAAAATTATGTTTGATAGCTATTACTCTAATAAAGTAATATTTGACTAAAGAAACTCTTGTAAGTTAGCATTTAAAAGAGGCCATGAAGTGTAAGAAGGGAATGAATCTCATACTTGTCCTTAAACATGACCGTTATGAAGCTTCTAACATGCTAGCAGGGCATGGTTTGGAATGTAAATTTAATATTTATAAGTTTTGATTCAAGATCCAAAATGCCAGATTTGAGGGAGTTATACAAGAAATTGTCCAAGGCGAACGTAGGGACAGATGAAATCAAAGAATTGTGGGTCAAGATGTAGAAGAAATGGCGATATCCTATACAACGAATGTCTGGAAGAATATCTTTCAGAAAATGATTGGCAGAGTAGTACTTCCGCATCTAAAACCGAATTTCTGTTGTTTGTTTTGTGTGGACTCGTTAAGCTGTCTGCTCATTATTAGGGGATTTCCAGCAATTAAGGAATCCACATAAACCATTTACTATTTGTTGATGATCTTAAGCTCTTTGAGGAGGATATCGTGCAATCTGTGGCGGAAGAAGTCAGAGTTCTTTTAAAATATTAGAGTTATAGATGGATTAGCAAAGTCACCCACTAATACTGAGGCATGCTCGGATATAGGCGGTGCTTTTCAGAGCAATTCAACAGTATAAATACCTTAGAATTATAGAAAATAGAACTGGTGCAAATCTGCGATAAGGTGCGAGCAGAGATTTTATTTAAGGTTGAGCGATTAGCTAGAACTGTACTAAATAGCAGAAACTTTATAAGAACAGTGAGTGAGCACGTCATAAGTTTGGTAAACTATTACATTGGGCTGCTCAAATCAGAACTAGAAGTCTTTAAAGCTGTAGACGACAATATAAGGTAATTTCCAAATAAATACGTATTGCTTACCCAATCTTTATGTTTGGAGGAACTGTTTACCAGCTAGACATGGACTTCTATGTTGAATAGAGAAATGAGCTTATACATCTCCAGCTTCAAAATGTACTTGTATAAATTGCAGCTGTAGCCACCAGTGGGGCGGCGATTCTGAAGCAAGAGAAGGCTTATGACATGTTCATAGCAATTATTGTACTTCATCTTAAAAGTAGATGCAACTACGCAAGACATCGAACAATTTGAAATCTGAACATGTAGCCTAGAGAGCATCCTTATATATCGAACTAGAGAAGAAAACCCCTCATTCAAAGCTGTACAAGATGCGAAGGAATAGTCTACCTTCAGTGTCGGTCCATCAATGTGGATGTAATATGAAACTCATGAGACAAGACGCGATGCTGTCAATCTAAGATGGAAATACTAGGCAGTAGTAGGGAACATGTGAAGGTCTACCATCCGTCTGGTAGCGTATTGTAAGAAATGCTGTATGATGACTATATTAAAACACAGTAAAGTAATGCAGTGCATATACCTGATTTTCTGTACGAAGTATAGTCTGAAAACATTCCCATGCATGCCATGGCATTCTCTTCAAGAGGTAGTCGTGAATAAATTGAGATAGAAGTCGGTAAGCGCCTTAGTACAGCGATGATGATGAGTGTAGATCAACCGGATATCACCCTGATGCACGATAAGAAACGAGATTAAGTATTCATTTGAGGAGGGATTGTAGTACAGAATGAAGATAATTCCTTATATGATAATATGGGGTGAGATAGAACAAGCTTACCAAAGCACTTTGCGAAGGAAGTACCAGAAAATCACTGCTGGTCATATACTGAATAAATTGGTCTATCATTTTGCTGCAATATTTAGCAGGCTGATCTCAACAAAGTGCATGTTGCTGTAAAAACTCATACAGTGTATGCTCAGAACGATATCTTTACATCTCCCCAAAATGGAGTTAAGAAATATTAAGTGTGACATACTCTTGCAAAATCACTCGTGAATATAGCTGAGGTTAAGTTGTCACTTATCCAGCTTAAAAGAATGAAAATAGTCATTAGTCTTAGAACATAAAATTAATTTCAGTGCTCTATGGGATATAGAAACTGGGCAACAAGTGACAGCTTTCACAGGTCATACTGGTGATGTAATGTCATTATCTTTGTCACCAGACATGCGTACATTCATATCAGGTGCGTGTGATGCATCCGCCAAACTTTGGGATATCCGTGATGGAATGTGCAAGCAAACATTCCCAGGACATGAAAGTGATATCAACGCTGTTGCTGTGAGTCTCAATTTGTATTCCCACATTCCAATAAATTTTTTCTTGCAGTTTTACCAGAGTGTGAGAAAAATGTGTTATTGCTTGTTACCATCAGTGTTTCTTCTCTATCTAACCTGTATTAGAAACCACCTAGCTGAACTATATTCATTAAAATATTTGCTGTAAAGTACTTGCATTAAGAAGTTTCCTTACACTTTATCATTTTTTATATAATTGATAGTCTATGATTCCTTTAGTCAAGAGCTGAGTCGAAACAATTATCAAATCTGTCATAGGCTCGTCAATCTTCAAAACTATTTTTCTGAAACAACTTTTTGAACTTTCAGTCTCTTATGATTTATTTTCATATTGTCCTGAACTTTTTCTTCAACTTCATGAAATTCTTTTCTTGTATTTGACTCTAAAGTTGTTGAAGTGCAAGCAGGAAAGCTTTGAAATAATTCTTTTCGAATATTAGGCATATGATTGTCGTTAATCATTTCAATAATCATGCAAAAATTTATCTGTTTATCTGTTTAGTACTTCCCATCTGGTCATGCTTTCGCTACTGGCTCAGACGATGCTACCTGCAGATTATTCGATATTAGAGCTGATCAAGAATTAGCTATGTATTCTCATGACAATATTATATGCGGTATGTAATTCTTTCTAGAGTACGTTATAGGATAATGTGTTGTATCCTTGTCATAGATCATGTTTCAAGATGACATTCATAGATTTGATTTACAGATTGAAATTTTTGTTGCGCCATCTTTATTTCTTTTATCTCGAATTTTCCTGAAACTGTCTCGTCCCTGTCAATCTTCTAATTGTAATTATAAAAATAATGTATTTTTGATTTCAGTGTGTCCTGTAGGGTTTTTTAGTTTGCGATATTGCTTGTTACAACCATTTGTTAACAACTTTTGAGTAAAATATACTTGTATAGAAATGTTTTAATCATTTTTTTTCAGGAATCACGAGCGTAGCATTTTCAAAGTCTGGCCGATTATTGTTTGCAGGTTATGATGATTTCAATTGCAATGTATGGGATTCGATGCGACAAGAAAGAGCTGGTTTGTGCACTATTTGTTTTGCATGATAAAGTTGAACGATAGGTTCATGCATGCGTCAACTACTTTTTCTTATTCACAAAAATTAGTTTCTCAGTTGTCATCACTTTTAATTGCTTGTTTTTATTTTTGTGATTAAGAATCTAGAAATAATTTTTCTCATTTTGCATAGGTTGGTTGGTATTATATGTATTTATCCGTAAACCAAAATAAGCATATATTTGTTTCATATTGCAACGTAAAGTGTAGGCTAATTAAAAGGGATGTATTTTTCAAGGAAATGAAGTTTAGGCGAAACATGTATTTATGGATATTGCAGTCTCAGTTTAACATTTTTTAATCTCAAGTTAGCATTACTAGCCTCACTAAATTTTTTCATCCGAACTGTTTTTGACCTAAATTATTTTATGTAAATAGATTTTGTTATCGTTTATTTTTATCTCCGTGTATCGGTCATTTTCGGGTCTAGTGTAGATGTGTCTGAAATATGAGAAACGCAGTTCTCGGGATGAAGTAGATTGGTTCATTTATTCTGTAATTGGGTTCTTAATTGCTCTATAATATGGTAACACTGGTAATAATATTGATAATTTATACCATGTGTCATTTAATAATCAGAATGTTTTCAGTCTTATAAGAGAAATGGTTTTCAGGCGTATTAGCTGGACACGATAATCGTGTGTCGTGTTTAGGAGTTACAGAAGATGGAATGGCCGTTTGCACTGGTTCTTGGGATAGTTTCTTAAAAATATGGAACTAGTATGAAACTTGAGAACAAATCAGAGCACAATGCACTTTTTACTGCTGAATTCGTTTTACTTCTCCATTTCTCAGACGAATAACAGGCTCATCTGCACTGGGCCTTTTTTGTTACTCAATATTATCTGTTTGTGGAATTCAAGTTGTCAAGTTTCCATGTTCTTTAATATTTGATACGCTCTTTATTGCTTTTTTAGAACTTATTTGATATATGTGGGGTTTATTGTCGGATTACTGCTTCAGCTTGTTTGGTAGCTTGTACATGAGGACTGTTCAGTTGCAATTCTGACTAGCTTACTAAAACTTAAAGCACTTCATCGCGGTTTTTTCTTCCGTTTATAATTTCAAAACAAATCGGTGAATTTATATTGTTGGAACTGCGCTCCACTAACATTTATATAATATTGCTGGCAGTAATTCTCTGGTAATATAACATTGAGTCAGAATTATAATCATATACTACCCGCTCATTTCACATTTTCGTAATTTTTTCATAACAAAAGTCATTGATCTGTGTTGACTGATTTATATGATTTCGGCATAATTAAAAAACTGCCGTCATTAATTTTATCTCTCATAATTTCTAAAATATTTGCTTTATATGTGAATTCTGGTAGTAAGTCATTTTCTTTGAAAAGTAGGTAGTGTGGAATTTTATGCTATAACTCTATGTTTGTTATTTATTTTTAAATATATTGATATATTGCAATGTTGCTATTATTATTTGATTATTTTCACCAGTAGATTGATTGGATTGTCAGAGATTATTTGCAGAAATTTGCTTCGATTTTGTATTCCAACATGTATAATATTTCTTGAATATTTTCTGTTTCTCTTTTGTATATCGTTAGCGATTTTAAACAGTGGTTCGATCATAGCTTGCAAAGTTGGTTAGTGTCATGAGCTTTTTTCAGGAAAATCTTAGGTGTTTTTGGAGTACAGTCTCGTCACTCCTATGTATTTACTACTCGCTATGAATAGTAGTCAGCAGTAAGTGCCGTTGAATTTGCATTTAAGAAGCAGAAAATAAATTTTTTTTTCGAGTAGGAATTAAAGAAAACGAGAAAAGTGCTTTCATATTTATAATATCTGAAAATATGAAGTCGTTTTGTTTCGTAAAGTATTGAAGTCTTGATTAAAAATATTTTAGATTTTAAGCGTTCTTTTCTTAGCGCTTATATGTGAACTAAAGTGAACATGTTGTCATGCTTTCTAAGCTAATTTTAAAATTTTTTAGATTTCGGCTTTGATTTGATCCGTTTCTCCTGCCATATTATATTATTATACACAGTTTATGTGGGAAGGTGCATGTGTACGTGTGCGTATATGTTCTTTATCGATGTATGTCTGCATTCTCTATTACTTTTTTGCAGTTTATTTGGACGAAGTGTTTTTTGGTCTCATTTCCATGACAAAACGTTTGTTTCATCCTACGTAGTTTGTGGTAACAGTTATCCGCTTTACTTAATTTATCTTTAACAATAATTGAAAGGGTGTCCCCAAAAGCTGGTCAGCTTTAATGTTCTCCGTGCTGTCAATACTATTTTTTTCTTTACCAAAATTATAGTAGTAATATTAGTTCACTTTTGCAGTTTTGGTAGAGAAGAATACGTGAATTTAGAAATAATTTTATTCTATCATCATTGCGTTTATGAGAAATTGCTTTCTGTAGTCAATTTTCCTGTGTGAACTGATTGAGTGAAGAAAACTCACTAAAGTGACAAGTTAGAATTTCAAATGTTGATTGGTGCCTGTCTATTTGTGTAGGCTCAAATAGTAAGAGATCAAATTCCTTAACGTTCATCATATTCATTAAAAGCATCCTCTTGGTTGAACTCAAGTAATCTTGAGGATTATTCTTACCTGTTTTTATATTCGACAATGTATTTCCTGCAAGCTGCTGATGTAACAAAGCATGAAATTGCTGCTTACTTTCAAATGTGAAAGTTTTACTGTGAAAGACATAAGTGACTCGCATGCACCTTTCAAAATTTTTGTCCTATTTATCTTTTCTTTGTCATTTTATCATTATCACTATAACTGTGTTATCATAAAGTATGATGCTTCGTTTTCTGTCTATTACATAACACTTTATCTTATTACTCTTGAATGCAGATCAAGCATAACTTCATTCCTATCATTTTTGGAACTGCAAACATAAGAAAATAACGACATATTCAGTAGATGCTTGTATTCATTTCTGTACTTTTGTGCTCTTCTAATATTTCATTTGTTACTTCAGGTAAGATGAAGCAAGATGAAGATGTAGCAGTAGAATTAAATTAGAAAAGGAGACTATATACGTCATATTTGGGACCATTTGGTTTTCAGTAACAGTTTCCAGTGGTGAGTGGGTAGTAATGGTGTCCAAATTCTACATCACTAATACTGCATTGCTTACTCTTGTTGTGTAATGTTTAAATATACGAAGTCCAGAATTGATTGATCATTTCATAGATTGGTAGGGTGTTACGGACGGTCGTGTTTTCATTGCTACTTCTAAACTTATAATTGCTGTAAGTATTCTTACCAAAGACAGCGCAGCTTTTCAAGAATTCTAATTGATTACAAGGAGGTTGAGTCGTATTTGATTTGTGAGTTTCGGCGACAGCCTCCTTTGGTTGTTTGTTATGACACTTTTCGAGAGGACTGCTTTCAGAAAGAACAGATCAAATGAATCTGTTGAAAAGGATTACTATTTTTAAGAAAGAAGACAAAAGTGTGGATGAACAAAGCGGGAAAAGTTCACAAAATAAGGTGAGAAAGGTTCACTCTGCACCTTACTTTTAATGTAGGCTGGTTTTTTTCTGACTAAATTGTCTACAATTCAGTCACAAATTAAGGTCGCAACTTCTGACATTCCAATGAAATAAAAGTGCCTTTGAAGTCATGCATAGTTATGATGTATCGATGTGAAAGTAGCAATTTTTAAGCGTAATGAATTATTCAGTGGAACGAATTTGAAAGACTTACTAATTGATTCGCTTGTTCTGACATAAAGAAAGAATATCATTCTAAGTAATTTGCAATTATTCATTAAATCGACAATTCTGAACAGAAAAAAACTGAAGTTTTTTAGCTGTCAAATATAAAGTTTTATTTTGGATGAATTTCATCAAAAAGTGTGTGAATAAACAAATTTTAGAATTGCAAAAATGTTTTGAACTTTTCGTTTTCTTTATTAATTGGAAAGGCTCACACTTAGTAAGCTTAACAAATTCTGCAACAAATGAAAATTATTTATTTTCACAGTGTGACAAGCAACAATTTACAAATCGATTATAGAGTACAAGTACGTGTGTCAGCTTTGCTTTTAATGACATAAAAAGCTTGAGAGGCGTATGTATGCTATGAATATCATTTGCAGTTAAATCTAGCAAATTATTTGCACCCCAAGTGTATTTTATCGATAAAAGTGACTTTTAACATTTATTTTTATTCTGCTTTTGGTAGGAAACAAACTGTTTGATTTTCTTTTTGTCTGCAAAGAAAAGGCGAAAAAAAACGACAAGCAATATAATGATGCATTTTGTATAATTTCATGACGACTAATATATGAGTATTGTTATCGAACTACGAGAATTATTACATGCACTGAAGATCAACGTTTATTTTACGTCACTTTTTAATCGATCTGCTGACGTAAAAAGGAAAATTTTGTTTCAAAACCGAGTTAATTGTTTTAAAAATACAACTACTAAGTCATTTATCATCAAAATAACTTATAAAAATTCAAAAATAAGTATGACTAATGCAGGTATGTAACAGATATCATTCGCTACTTGTCAACAAATTATTCTCCATTTCTTTGCTTACTATGAGAAAAAGCTTACTGCTAGCATATTTTGGTGAAACTTACTAAAGTCGATAAGATTCTATAGATTTTTATAACTGATTTACTGAGAAAGGTCGTCTTTTACATATCATGAAATATAAGAAAATAATAAACTGTGAGAATGATATTAGTTACAGTTATGACAATTGCGATATTTATAATTGCATAGGTTTTTATTGATGTGATTTATAAAAAAAGTTTCTTCGAGTGGTTTAAACTAATCAACAGAGCATCCATTTTGTCGATAACTTTTATATTTAAAAATTCCACATACACATCAGTTTTAAATTCTTAACTTTTGTTAAATATTTTTTCCACAGGTTAATGGGCATCCAGCGTTCACAGGTGAACAAGCAAATAAAGCTCTCAAAGCTTATAAAGAACGTAAAAAAGCTCGTCAAAAGGCGCGTGAAGAAGAAGCGTGTTACGTAGAATATAGAAAAGCAGAAATTTTAGCGAAATTTAAACCAAGAGTTGGAACTCTTAGAATTGCTGATGAGGCAAATTCTTGCATCTTTTTTTCTTCACTATTTACTTTTATATTTTTTGGAAATGAAAATAAATATTCAGTATGATGCATACAGAATTTCTAAAATAATTTAAACAAAATTACTTAAAATAAGTAAAAAATGACTGCTAATTTTATTCCGAAAAAATGCATTACTTCAGTCGTTTTGCAAATTCATAGAGAACTAATGATTTTAATTAAGTACCTGAATTAATCAAGAAAATTGAAAGGTATTTTTGGGAAGGAAAAATTTTTGATATCCTTTTTTATAAAGTACATTAAACAATTATAGGAATTTAAAACTCTGATTTTTGAAAAATTTGATTAGAACTGGAAAATTTTATTAAATAATTCTTAGGTATTTCCAAAACGTCGCAAAGGAGCGATGGGTTTTGGTGAACGAAAAGCACATTATTTATCAATTCGACCGAAACCAATGTATGCAACTTGGCTTGGAAGACGAAGAAACGTAATTGAGGCAAAGTTCGTTTGTTTTTCAATCAATCTATTTTTCATATGCATTTCAGTGAAATTTGCATTACTGAAAACTTTAAAATATTGCAAGAGTTATTTTAAAGAAATTCACACATGAATATTTGGGCTTTTTCAGTTCGAAATTCTAAAAATATTTTTTTAGAGCACTTTTAATTTTTAATTAGAAAAATGGCATGCAATCAATCGCAATCAGTTTTTTTTAAGCTTATTGAAATACAATCAAAAAATTTTTTGATTAGCCATAAAAATGGATTACCTTAGCCAGAATAAAAGCATAATAGTGATAAAGTAAAGTCGCTGTTAACAAATACGATTTTAAATTATGACAGTTATTTTAAAAAATACATAACTTGATTATTTAAAACAAAAATCTATTCAGTAGTATTCAACTTTTTTTGAGTTTACATTTTCTCACTGATAACTTCCAGCCAAGAGCTGGGTATTTAGTGAATTATTCACTTTAAAATTTGTATTATCACAAAAAATGTAACCATGAAACTCTGGAGTTATTTTAATGTTTTACAAAATAGGTAACAAGAGGTCAAAATTACGAATTATGAATCAATGTATACTTATATCGTACTGTCTAATGTATCATGTATGAAGAAAAAATAAACTTTGATGGTTTAAATTTTTGAAATTATGGTAAAAATTTATCAAAAAGAATAAAATATTCCAGCTATAACTCTATGCATAGCTTTTGTAAGCAATTTTTTTGATGGTACTTCTAGACCTTCTCCAATGGCAATTGCTGCATCAGTTGATATGACAGATCATTCAGCTTTGCCAGAATTCAGCAGATTATCAGGCAGAGATTATGACAAGAGTGTGGATTTTTTGGGGAAAAAATCATCATCTAAGGTTTAAGTTTTGATTACTATAAAGCAGTAAACTTTTCGCTTTAATATTATTAAAACGAAGGTGGATACTTTTAGGATTTGCAACTGTCAGCTATTGATAAACGAAGTCATTTACTGAAGACAAGCACTGATTTCGAATGTGAAGCAAGCCAAATTAAAGCAGGCATATTTGGAACAAATGCAGATTGTCCACTTATAAATGGCATACCTTTCTGGCTCGTTGAACTACCACAGCAAGTTTCGCCTTTGACCTCTTTGATAACTACTTCATAAATAAATAAATAAGTATATATATCAGTCATATCTCAGTAACCAGGTTATTTTTATTAAATTTGAAAATTCAATTTTTTATTATTTTTCCTATCTGTTTAATGGTTGGGTACTTAATTAATTAAACAAAAACAATGTCCTATTCTAAACTCCTTAAACATCTTTTTTGTTTTACCTAATTCACTTTTGCAGATTACCCCAACTACTCTTGTCATGATCTCAAAAAACTGTAAAAATAATTTAACATTTTTGGATAATCTTCAAGCCTAGTAGAAAGAGATTTATTTTTTCGCTGCAAAGTAGGAAAATGACATTATTTTGCATTTTTAGTGCACAAAACATGGCTCATTGACTTTTTAGGGAAGAAGATGAAGTTACTGACGATGATTTGCCAGTTGATATGGATATTTTAGAAAAAGTCTGTACTGGAAAAAAAATGATTGATCCTAGACCGTTTGAGAAAATCGAATTCAATCCATTTGGTCCAGTAGCTAAAATGAAAGCGGTGACAATTAGTATTTTTTCATTAATAAAAGTTTTATTATAGGAATCTTGTTGCTAATATCATTTGGATTTTGAAAAATGAAATTTAATTGAATTTTTTAGATCATGTGGAAAAAGGTTAACCGTTATGCATTAGGTATAATATAGTTTTCATCTAATTTTGAATTTAAATTTCTATACAAATATGGAAGTTGAAATTTAGAGTCAGTAAAAATTTTTGATCAGCATAAATTTACGACGAGTCTTGAAATCATTTCTTAAACTGAACTTACTTGTTATACATACTGATTGAAAAAGTTTTAATAAAGAGATGAAATAAAATGCGTTTACAGGATGATCCATTATTTGATCGTGATACAATATTGTTCTCAAATACTGTTGAAACTGTCATTCGACTTCAGCCTGAAGGTGATGAAAAGGTAGGACACGGTAGAGGTCCTATGAGGCATCGAATTCGTTGGGTTGATAAAATTAGCGTAACATGCTTTGACCCTAGGGATCGTCGACCAAAAGAAGTACAAGTTTTACTTTTAAAATTGAAATATTGTAATGAAGTCAGCTTGCTTTTAGAACAGTTTTTATCAATTAAGCATTATTTTAACAACATGTTCAGAACAATTTGCAGCTTTCACTTGACAAGACTATAAAAATTCACTAACTAATTTTTTGCTCCCTTTTTTATTTTCAATTTTTTATGTTCACAACTTTCATACAAAAAAAATGAAATGATTTTGCTAGGTCCTATGAAAATTAGGCTTTTTACACGTTTATACTGCATTATTTTTGAAAATTTAAATTTGAAATATTGACGGAACTAGAAGAATAAAAATAGAAATCTCAAAATTTTATTGATAATAAAAATAGAAATTTCAAAAGTTTATTTCTGATTTTTGTTAGCAAAAATGTGCAGTATTTAATAAATTTTTTACGTTTGTTTTTACTATACAAAAATTGTTTGTATCTTTACACAATATCAAGTACTCTCTTTGATATTTTGCTGAGGTACTTTATTTGTGCTTAATTGCACCAATAAGTGCTTTCTTTTTTTGATTTGCACGTTGAAGAAAAGAATTCTAAGCAATTAAAGTGAAGAATAGAAAATGAAAGTTACTGTTTTTGTTGACATTTTTCCCATAATTTTTATGTTTTTTTTTGTTGATTTTTAATGTAATAATGGAATGAATTGCTTTCCGATCACAGAGTGCAACAACTGATAAAAGATGAGAAATGTGACTAGTCTTGTTCAACAAGAAAATGTTTATTACCTCTCTGTGCTATTTTTAGCTCATTAAGTATTGATTACATAAGATGATTTGATTATAAAGTTTATAATTGTTGCATCACTATATGCAATTATCTTGATCATAATTTATCATTAATTAAACTTAATTAGTCTAAAATCACTTAAAATAATACTTAATGTATCAAAATTTTAAAGCTTAACTCGCATTTTAAGTTTTAAAAGTATGTGTACTGAAAAAGATTACCATGAAAATAAATACTAAAGCGGTTTTGAATAACAAATTGACGCAAATTTTTCTTCTACTTCTTGTTAAAATTTGTCATATTATTAAAATTCATGCTATTAAAAGGTATTTAAGCAATCAGTGATCATCTATATGCTTCATAATTATAGGTTTTGGTAATGAAACCAAAGTTACCGATAAATAAATGCCAAATTAGAACTTTTATTGTTGTGAAAGTTATTGTTAAAAAATTATTTTATTGAATGTTTTATATCCATTTATTCGTTTGAATTATTGAAGAAGTAATGCGTTAGCAAATGATTTGATCGTGTAAAATTTGCGTTACAGAAGCGAATACCAGTAACCGAACCTTTGAAAAATGTTTCGCGAGATAAAAAGTCGTCGAATGAAATTTAATGCCGAACAATCAGCTGATCTGTTATTACTTAATATTTATTATACATCATATTTTGATGAAAAAAGCTTTGCTTTGTTTGATAGTAAGTTTTGCAAACTCTTATAGTAATTGTTTGAAATTATGAAAATAATATATTTACTATGCATTGTTTACACCTAACTTACTATTGTGAATAGCTGCTCCTCACATGTACTAATAAATATTTATCAAAAAATTTTCAATTTATTTCTGCAAAAATTAGCAAGTGTTAGTAGTTGCAAAAGCAGTAATTTATATAACGTAAAGAAAGTATCATTTTTACGTGTATTAATTTTAATTTAATGGATCATATTTGTTGTTCAATAAAAAATCTCAGTTGTATTTTTGCAAAACAGTCACAATACCGATGACTGTATGAACAAAAATTTTCCAAGAAATATTATAAAATTTTCTGCAAAATAAAAAAGTAAACTATAAATTTCAATTGTGAAGTACTAGTTACTCCATTGATTGTAAGAAAAAAATATTGCTTCAGAAGAAAATTAACAAAAAAGCTGCTTTAGTTTACTAATGAATTTTATTTGAAACATTTGAACAAATCTATACAATAAAAATACATAAATATGATGCTATAAAATAGTGACTGATATAATTTTGATTATTTAAGTACTGATATTTAAAATACTGACGTAAAATTGAAAATATTTTTAACTCTAACAAAAATTACTCGTCATAAGGATGAAATAATAAACAATGTTGACTAAACTGAAAATATATGACAATATACGAGAAAGAATTTTTTTCAGTTTTTTATTAAAGTTTATTTAAGAATGTTATTTATCATTTATGGAAATTATGAAAAAAAAAGCAATTGATGAAATCAAATTGCATCACTCTACAATACTTCATCTTTTTTAGATCAAAAATTTAGTGTTATTTTGTTAGACTGCACTTTAAAACTTAAAGATCATTCAAATTACATCACTGAACACGTCAGTATAAGTATGTCAACATTTCTTCTATTTTATTATCATGTATTTTTGTTCATTTCTCAAATAACTTTCTATTTATTGAAAACAATATATTTATTGAGTAAGCTTATCAAAGCTTAGATAAGAAAAAAACAAATCAAATGTTGCCTTGTATCATAATTTGCATAATATTGACATCAGGGATGAAAGTTAGTCGCAACTTTTTCAATTTTTTAAAATAGTAATTGCTACAATAGACTTACTTCCTTTGATTACTTTACTAAAATTGATGGTATAAAAAAATAAAATCATATTTTTAATTTTATTAGCGTTAAAAAGTAAGAAATATTATTCATCATCATTTGTGAGTTTTTTTTCTTTTAAATGGCAATTTGTTAGTTTGAAAATAATTAAAAACTTGCAGACTTGTCTGTTATCATGCAAAATGCGTGCGACGTGTTGTGTTTGTTTTTTTTTCTTACAATTTAATAATCATTAACTGATAAAAAAGTTAGCAAGCTTTATAGCAAACGAAAATTCTCTTTTATGGCATTAACAGCTTTAAAAGGATGAAAAAGTATTAAAGAATTATGCAGTAAAAAGTGTACAATAATAGGAAATGAAAGAAAAAGCTTATCATGTGGGAAAATGACTATTTTTAGTTTGAAACAATTTAAAGTTGATCACTGATCATTAGCTTAAAATGGTTTGATCAATAAATAAATTAAGAATTTGAATTAAGATTTTATTTTTTTAAAAATTGTTTGCATAAATTCTTCGCTCTTTTTTTATTACTCCTAAATTTTTAATGGTAATAACAAAATCAAGCCGTTATTAATTGTTAAATTTTGATTCTCTATAAGAATAAAAAAAGCAATTAATAATCTACTGATCGAGAATCAAAACCATTTCTTAGTAAGTAGAAAATGATTAGAAATGATTGGCACATAACCAATTTTCTACCGGTGGGCCGCCTCCACGTGAAAATCTATTTAATAGAGTCTTTTTTTTGTGCTTCAGTCAGTTTTAATATCATTCTGTTACTGCAGCAATTCAAGGCGCTTGTTAATTTTGCCTGCCAAAAATACTCTGTATTTTTGCTGAATTATTCTGCTAACAGAAATTAAACAACTAATTTATCTCAGCTATAATTACCATAAATAATATTATGATCCATATCGTTGTATCTGTTGATGACATATGCATCATTGCTGATCGCTCTACGCAGCATAAAGATCGATTTGGTAATATGCGTTTAAGTGTTTCACGAAGAAATCAACAACAATCCAAGCACAGAAGTAATCCAATCAAATGATCAATACAGTAATTATCAATATTGCTTCTACTTTTTAAACTACAATTTGTCGAGAATTGCATAAATCGAAAAGCTGAAACTGAGAGAAAATCCTAACAAAAGTACGTGTACTTATACAAATCATTCATTATTTCTTATTCAATATGTAAAAAGAAATGCTGCAATCAAATGCTACAATTTCAGCAATAATTGAATATTTACCTTATTTGTTATTTATTTCAGTGACAAATGTTACATATGATCTTTTCGATCATATCCATTATCATTATTTCGCACCATTCTATTAAACTAAAGGAGAGAAAAGAAAACAGCTTTATTAATTGGCAAATTTTTGATATCTCTTTAAATGCTTCTGAAGCAAGTTGATTAACAATCAATTCGTCATATTTTTTAAATGAATTGATGCTTTTTAATTCGTTTTGTTCATAATTTGACTTGTGCATTTGTAAAATTGAAATATCAAAAGCAATTTAATTTCAGTATAATTATTGACGAGAATGAAAGTAATTCAAGAGGAAAATAAGAGAAAGTGTGACTTTAACACATTCATTGCTAACTGTTTTCTAAGCTATACTTAATAAACAATTGATTTTAAAAAGTAAAACGAAGTTTCTAGAATGATTCCTTCTGATTTTAGTAAATTCACTTTCTCATTTTGAGCTTTTGCTCAGTTCAAAGTTATCTTTTTTGCAAAGATCTCTCCATGTCATATACTTTCATATGTATTGTACTGTTTGATGCCTCAAAAATATCTTGTGTGTTGTACATATTGATCTGTAATAGCTGTCTTAAAATGTTCATGTACATACATTTGTAAATATATAAATATACATACTGGAATAAATTAATTCTTGCAAATTGTCTTCTTACAAAATTCAACTACAGATAATTTGTTTTAGTAGTTCGTCATATCATCTGAAAATATCAAAATAAAATACGTGTTAAAAAATGACTATCAAACTTTATGAGTTGTCATCAAATTTATAACTGTTGTTGACCAAGATTTTTTAATCATGTGACGACATAAAAATTGTCCACAAACATACAAAAAACAGAAAAACATGACATGCAATTTCTTTTTCTGTCTTTTATTAAACATATGGAAAGTATTACACATGACTGATTATTTAAATGCTTAAAATTTTTCCAAAAACCTTACAGAACTACATTACAGTGGAGTAAATGTTGGCAGAAATAAAATAAGATTTGCAATAATATTAAAATAAAGACTGAAAGTAATTCGACTAATAGTTTTTTGATTAATTTGCGAACATTTTATTCTATTTTTCTAAACGCAATTTTATTTTCAAAAGCATCAGAATTATATTTTAAAAGTGTAACTGTTTTATTCTCAATTAATTACTATTATTACTTGTAAATAATAATATTCATCATTAGTTTAATCTCATGATAATAATTAACTTGAATAGCAGTTCATTAGTGATAGCAAACACACAAGCGATAATTCATTTCACTCGATAAGCACTGACCGACTGCTTGTGCAGAAAGTTTGCAGTTGAAAAGATGCAAATTATGCAAACAAACATGATTAGCATTTCCCCTCTGACCCTCTGATAATAATACACTCAATTTTCAAATCAAATCACTTTGTTTCTGTTCCTTGTTACTCTTGTGCTCAGTAATACAATCATCAGTTACTACTATCTGTCAACCAATTTTCACAAATTACAGTATTCATCAACAATACGAATTATTGCAGTAATATTTTCTGTTAACTTTAATACTTAAAATCCAACTTTTGATAAAAATGTAAGTAATAAAATATATTGCTTGCGATTAATAAATTTTTTTTCATAAATTAAGGAATTTTTGCTAAATTAACATATTTTTATTACTTTTGTTTTATTTCTACTTAAGTAATATGCAAATAAAAAGGACTTGAGTAGTATTTTAATGAGGTATATTGCTATCATTATGTAAATTTGAAGAGTAATAAAATAAAAAGGTCACATGAAAGTTGTTTTGCAAATTTCAAAGAAATATAAATGTTTAAAAAAATATGAATACAGTATTTAGTTGGACCACATTTTATCACAGCTACAAAATTCCTAAATAAACTAGCTTACTTAACAAAAAAAGGAAAAAAACATAGGTAGTGAAAAATATATACAAAATTTTATTTAAACCTTTATAGATTGATGACCAGAAAGTGCGCCAAAAATACAAATCTTAGCTGCTGACAAACAATATTATTAGCAATAATTTGTATCAAAGTTTTACTTCTCAAAAAATATTGCGAAGATTGTAAATGAAATTTAGTCCAACAAAATAAAATAATGTTCTGCAAAATATTTGCATATAGTATTCTGATTTTAAATTTAAAAAAATTTTAACCTTAAAATCAAAGAAACGGATTATTTTTATTGTTAATGAATAAGGTAATTTGTAGAAATTGGTTGACAGACAGTAGTAACTGATGAAAGTATTACTGAGTATAGGAGTAACAAGGAACAGCAACAAAGAAGTGATCTGATTTGAAAATTGATAGTATTATTATCAGAGGGGTCAGAGTGGAAATGCTATGTTTTTTGCAAAAATTGCATCTTTTCAGCTTCAAACTTTTTGCATGAGCAGGGTCAGTGCTTATGAAGTAAAATGACATGTCGCCGGTGTGTTTGCCATGTTGCTTGGAGCATATTACTAATGGACGACTATCCAAATTGATTATTATCACAAAATGATAATTTTGATAATAAGATGAAAAAATAGTAAT